TCCCGCCCCCCCCCCCCCCCCCCCCCCCCCCCCCCCCCCCCCCCCCCCCCCCCCCCCCACACTTCCTAACACCTAGTAGACTCTAGGTAGAAAATATAGAAAGAGGAAGATGTTATGGACGATGATGTGAATTGTGTTGATTGGTGGTGGATGGGGTTGGTCTCTCGATTGCGGGATGTTATAGAAGAGAGGTATTATGTTGTAATTCCAGGGAAGATATTGGAAGAGTGAAGGGAAGCTGGGTAGGTAGAGAGTAAGACATGCTATATCACTGAACATGAATCATGAAGAACAAGCTGAGAAAATTACCTGTGTGGTATCTGCAGTAAGGTATCAAATAATGGAGGAGAAGATTGAGAGGTTAAGTGTGAGATAGAGTCACGAATGAAGAAGTAAGGTCTTGAAGTAAGTTAAAGGTTAAGATAGACTTGAAGATAAGACGTTGAAGGATTGAGAAGGGCAATGGATCTCTCTAGGTACGTGTATGTATGTGTAGTAGGTATGATTGAGAAGAATAAAGTTGGATGAATTGGTGGGAAGAGAATCAAGTTAGGACTTGAGAAGAGGGGGGGGATGATTTATATACTAGTGGGTGGATCAACAACTAGACAGAACAAGATTGTGCCTGCCAATTTTTTCATCGAAGTTAAGCAACTGAAATTGGATGGGTATGGATGGGATGAAATGAATGTGCCTTCCTCGGATAGAAGTCGACAAGAGCCACAAATTTACTGGGTACCATGTCATTCTTGTGGGGATTCGAAAGGTAAAGGAAAAGACTTGATGCGTAGGCCAACTGGAGACGATACTTCATAGGGGAATATGGAATATGAACTTACAGTCTGTACCCGTTTGAAACAAATTTTCTGTTCTGGCAATAGTAATAAGTGTACGCCGTGTTGACTGGCGTCGACCACCGGGTACCTATCCACCTTATATGATTAGAATGTATTGTGGAAGAGAAGATTTATTATGAGTACTAGGTAACTGTAAAGCAAATAGGAGTTAACGGTTCTATTGATCTGGTAAGAAAGATCGGGTATTTTAGATTGATATGTGACACGAGTTCGTAGAAAGATGCGGAAGAATTAAGTAGTTGTTCAATGTAAGTATGATGAAGATATAGGAAGCTAAGACTTTAGGTAGGGAATCTATTATATGTGGGGTGTTGAGAAATAGAATGACAAATTTGACTTCAAGGAAGGAGCCATTACAACAAATCGGGGTTATATTTCATATTATCAGCTAATATCTCTCTAGGTAGGTACCTAGGTGTATAGGAGAAGTGATTAACCGGGGGATCAGTCATATATAAGGTACTAGGTACCTAGGTAGGTAGGTAGGAAGGTATATATATAGTTAGGTTCGAATGTATAGCTATTTAGCTCAGCTGTGTATTTTTCGATAGTCCGCCGTGTGTCATGGGAGAAGTATAATATCCCTAGACGTTTCCCTCTGTTATCGTTCTGTGTTTGATCTAAGTCGGCAGCAAAAACCAAAGCACTACTTGCAGAAGATGGCTCTAGTTTACAGGACGCAGAAGGTCAAATATGAAGGTAGATACTTCTCCTTTATATATATCAAGTTAAACCTACCTATAGTATGTCCAAGTTGGCTTGGTTTTATAAACTTGCCAGTGACAATCAAGGTCCTATGCAAAAGTAGGGACCCAAACTCAAACCTCCCACCAACTTCCATGAATACAAAACACGAAGCTCGATTGCAGGTGTCTTAGAGGAGATAAGGATCTGAACCTCAGATCTATATAGATTTCTAATATCTGGATTGTCTTATTAATCTACCTAGTAGGTATCAGTTTATTTGTGTTGAGAAAATGTTATAATTTTGGGCATTAGGTACTTATGTATTTAATAATTCTTAGTAGCTAGGTAGTTTTGTACGATACGGTGACGAGAAATGAGGTTTACTTAGCTTAATAGGTAAATAAAAGATACGCACCTGCAACTAACAACATTTTAATATCTCTTTCGGAATATTGCTAGCCTAGGTAGGTGAAGGGTGGGATATATGGATTGTCGAAATATTGTGGTATCGCCTGAGTTCATTTCCATAGGAAGTCAATTTGTTGGTACCTAGGTAGGTATGGGTAGTGTCGGATGACACTATCGTGCTTTGCGGGTAGACGCCAATGCTCACACAGTCAACTAAAAAAATACGTGGGTGGGTAGGTTTGCCGTGCTAGAGTGGTCATAAGTAGGTAACTAAAGATATCCAAAGAAAAACATATACTGAGGTAAAGGTTGGAACCACCTGGAAGACAACAACCAACAGCTCACTAAAAGTGGTAGATGTTTGACGGTGCCTTTAGAATAAAACTCTAGTAACTTATCAGCGTGGAATGTGGGATCTTGTAGTTGTACTCGCTTCGTCTAGGTACCTAGGCATCTACCAGGCATTGATTTTATTGGTTGTAAAGCTTTGGAAATCTATAACAATACGCGGATGTAATGCTTTTGACTTTATCCAGGTGTCTCTTATTGTTGATGGAGAGGAATGTGAGAAGAGCAGAATAGTTAAATAGGTAGACGAAGAACATAAAAGCCCTTGGTTAGATCATAGGATGGATTAATTATAGGAAGTTGGGTGGGGGACTAGGAAGCCCCCACAAGTTTGGAGGGCAGGCTGAGTTGAAGCAACAGGTAAACTTGTGAGTGCGTAGGTGTGGTAACACAGACGGGTTGTTTCTATTGAATAGGTACCTACCTACCTAGGTATTTAGTAGGTATATATATACCGTCTTATGGAGGATCGTGTAAATAATTCAGAATTAATTCGATCGTCACCTATGAGTTGAGGGGCTTAAAACTAACCACTTGCGTAATTTGTTTGAGGCATTGAACTACCTATTGCTTGTAGTTTGAGTACGGCGTAGGTAAATATTTTTGATACGCGATAAATAAATTTTACGATAATATTCGTGGTTGTTGATAAAAAACTTTGCGATGAGAAGCTGAGTACCTCTGGACTTTCAGCCCATTCTACTGGCTACGTCGACGTAGTTCGTAGGTTTCATTCACCAATTATATTAGAAATCCTCCTCTCGGTACCAAGTACCTATCAATCTTTCCTTGTTAATCAACATGTGGCCGGTGAGGCTCAAGCCATGGCCTTGGAGCTAGGTGACGTCGAAGGATGAGACAGGGGTAACCATACTCCGTGATCCTCAACCAGCCTTTGATTAGCGATCTCAAGGAATTCTCCTATTGGCTAATCGGGATACCCCAATGCTAAGAATGTGACAGTGGCTTGCTGGACAGGGATATCCTGCCATTTCTGGGGCTGGGGTCTAGCGCCCTCGGTAAACTGTGGATCGCAAAACTCCCCAACCGAACGAGCCCGAGGTCTTAAATCGGGGAGGAGAGAAGATGTAATCCGCTATACACACTGTGGGGAATGGAAGGTTTATGTATGAGAAACTCTCGAAAAGTTGCTTGACGAGTGATTGGAAGGAAGGAGCCAATTCAATGGAAGCAGATACTACATGTAGGTAAACTTAATAGAGATCGAATTGGATGTGATTGGATTGTATCTTTTAGTACATGCCCAGTATATTAATCTGGGGTTGCCAAGTACGGTAACTAGTACGGAATCTAGGGGTTTTATTCTATTACCGACTAGGGTACCAAGAAACAATGGTCAAGTGGGGAGTAGTTGAATTCTTCGAGGTTAGCTCGATACTACGAGGTACGAACTGACGAACCATACTGCAACGGCCAATTCTTCGGCATGCTACAAGTCGCACAATGGCTGCTCATCAAATTCGCGCCGATGTTGACCGGGGCTAATAACCGTACTTCTTTCTGGCGTCAGCTTCCCTTTGTCATCGTCTTGCCAAAGGCTTTTTGTTTACGAGTGTTGTAAAACTTCTTACCTTCAAGGTTCTTTCCCAAATTTCTCGAACGCTTACGCGGTTCACACATACATTGTAACAATTGTACACGCACTCCAATCCGTCGGTAATCGCTACGATGGTATTTACCCCGCCGGCTTGGGTACCTCAGTTACCCTTCGGTGAGTTCTATGCCATATCTCACAGAAGACAGCAATGGTACTTACGAGACTTTTCTAGACCCTCCCGACTCAATCCCTCTCCACGAATTTTGGAGCAGTGAGAGATATGGCAGGCAACCGCTCGCTAGATCACGAAACCCCTACACTTGCGGCGTCACGGGGAAAACCTATACGGCTACTGAGATGACTGAGCGATACCAGCTATTAGCGAGGTCATTGGCCAAACGTTTGGGTTGGAGGGCTAACGAGGAGACGCCGTGGGACAAGGTTGTCGGATTATTTTCCTTTAACTCGGTATGCCGAACGATGCTGATGGTTTGACGGGATATAAATTGACATTCATTTTAGATCGACTTCATGATGTCGACATTCGCAGTACACCGTCTATCTGGCATCGTAACACCTGCCAATGCTATGTACTCTGCCACCGAGTTAGAACATCAACTTAAGTCATCTGGTGCCAAAGCACTCTTCACGTGCATCCCGCTCCTTGAAACGGCCCTAAAAGCATCAAGAGCCTGTAGCATCCCAGATGATAAAGTGTTTATATTGCAGTTGCCCGGTCAATTCGATCCAGTCCCCTTTAAGTCACTGGACGATCTAATTGAGGAGGGAAAGTCGCTTCCGGAACTGGAGCCTCTAATTTGGTCTAAGGGGCAAGGTGCTCGACAGGTTGCTTACCTATGTTACTCAAGTGGTACATCTGGTCTTCCTGTAAGCTGTCTCTGCCACGCCTTCATGGATTGTTAGACGCTAACTATTGAAATAGAAAGCAGTCATGATTGCACATAGAAACGTGATTGCCAACGTGATGCAGATCCGATGGCACGACGACAAAGGAAGGAAAATGAAAGGCGTTGAAACCCAAGTTCAGCTTGGCCTCCTCCCGTTCAGCCATATCTACGGACTAGTAGTAATAGCGCAAGCCGGAACTTACCGAGGAGACGAAACAATCATCCTGCCGAAATTTGAACTTACAGCCCTATTAGAAACTATCCAGAGGTTTAAAATTCAGTTCATACATATTGTACGGGCCACTTACTCCTAATGCGGCTGGCTGATGCTAATCAAGTTCCTAGGTCCCTCCTATCGTCATCCAGATGATCCGGAACCCACAATTATGCTCCAAGTACGACCTTAGCAGTCTTCGGTTTGTCTACACAGGGGCTGCGCCGCTCGGTGCAGAAACGCATGAAGAAATGGTTAAAGCGTTTCCGTTCTTGCAGGTCGGCCAAGGATATGGGATGACTGAGACGAGCACTGTCGTTGCAAGCACTGGCGAAAACGACGTACTGGTGGGAACGTCAGGTTCTCTCGCACCTGCATGTCGGGCTAAGTTGATAGGTGAAGACGGCCAAGAGATTACGGAGTACGACAAGCGCGGAGAACTTTGGGTCCAGTCGCCCGCTGTAACTCTTGGCTATTTGAACAATGAAAGAGCTACCTCCGAGGCCTATGTGTGGGATCAAGATGGTCGTTGGATGCGGACTGGAGATATTGCAATTGTCACGAAATCACCGTCCGGATACGAGCATATATCCGTTGTAGACCGATTGAAGGAGTTGATCAAAGTCAAGGTTAGGCGCTTCCTCCGATTTTAGCCTTGATATAGAAGTGTCATAAGTGCTAACAGTAGCCATTCAGGGCCACCAAGTTGCTCCAGCTGAGCTAGAAGCTCACCTCCTGAGCCACCCAGACGTCAATGACTGCACAGTCATCCCCGTTCCGGACGAAGGATCCGGAGAGGTACCCAAGGCATTTGTTGTTAAGTCGGCTATGGCAACATCGAAACCAGATGCAGAAGTCTCTAGAGAAATCAACAGATGGGTCGAAGATCATAAGGCCAGGTACAAGTGGTTGAAGGGTGGAATTGAATTCATCGACGTGATACCGAAGAGCCCGAGTGGAAAGATTTTGAGAAGACTCTTAAAAGATAAGGAGAGAGAGAAAAGGAGAGCAAATGGGGCAAAGTTGTGAGACTTATTGTGCAATACCATTGTTCAGCAGGTACATTAGACCAGTGCCCATACCGGGCTGCATATTTGAGACTCAATTTTGAAGGATTTTTGAAATTTTTTTCTCGTCCGCCGATGTTTTATGGGATTACTATAGGAGCGCTATAGGAGGACTATAGATTGATTATAGATGGGCTATCTATATCCGTAAATAATGACGGCGAGGGGTGCTCCAGATGCCGATAGATTTATTTCTTATGCTTCCGTCGCAGGTATTCCTCCTCCTCTGCTTGCAGATCGGCGTCTACCTTGGCACCTTTGGATGGTTCGTTGCCGTGTAACTTGGCCTATAATAGGAATGAGTTGAGAGTTCTGTACTCTAATGACCAGGGGTGGCTTACTGGTAATGTCGGATCTTGCTTTAATGCTTTGGTTTCTGGGCTGTCTTCTTCGCGATTTAGTTTGCGCTAGGAAATGTTAATTTCTTGGTCATGAATAATGGGTAGGTGGCAGTGGTGCGTGCGTCGTACCTCCTCGTTGGCCAGACGGTTGGCAATGGATCGTTCATCCTCTGTAATAGTTGTGGTTAGTGTACGAAGGAACGACCTGGGTAACAGAAGTAGGAGGAGCGACTAACTAGAGTCGTTAGGAAGGTGGGAATTTTCAACACCCTCCTCATATCGGGGACGACTTGGTTCTTCGGATTTCTTCAGGTTCCTTTGATCGCCGTCCTGATACACGGAACTTTGGCCGACGTTGGAGTAGCCAGACATGGTGAATATGCGTGACGTTTGAAATTTGTGAGATTAGAATTTAGGTAATTTTCACTGAAAAAAAGTTGTGGGAAATGTAACTGAGCATTGAAGAATAAGGCCTTCAGATTTCATTCTTATAAACGGTTTCTCTGTCTGTCTGTCTGCCTGTTCCCTACACTTACATACCTGGGACCAAGGTACCTACGTCATATAGATCTCTTCTTTACCGATGTTAATTACTTTGGCAGGTACATTCTTGCGCACTTTTCTTAGCGCTCCGTAAAGTTCTGCTCATCTTAAAATTGTTTGCAGGAGCGAACACGTAAACGTCATAGATGATGCTTTTGTTCAAGGCTGCATGTGGTTGACGTCCTTAAAGTACTTAGATACAATGGCACCCCTGAAAGAGTGGACCCGCGGAGCTTTTGAACCGCTAGTCCTTTTCAGGCACGTCATAGCTTTCCCTCGGCGGCTGTTCCCAGCTGCTGAATTTCACCACGCAAAAAGTGCGGATTAAGGAACGACTCCAAAAATTCTACAGCCTTGAATCAATTCACGACGCCAAGGACCAAGTTTCGTCAACGCCGCCAAGATGTCGATGTTCCGGGCCAAGAAGCTCGACATTGGCTGCTTCGTCAATATCAAGACAATTAGAGATCACTCTAAGAGAAAGGCATACGCTAAATTCGAGCCTGAGAGGTGCGCAAAGATGTAAATCTACTCATTTTGGTGTCTCGATTCTAATACTAGCTGTGCAATTGAACAGACAAGCCCTGAGATATATCATCCGAAACACCACATTGCCTCCGCGAGCAAGAGCCGAAGCCCAACTGCAGCTGACACAGATGCACTGCTACACCCGACCAACACAAATCCGAGGACGATGTCTGCTGGGTGGTAAAGGAAGAGGTATATTGCGCGACTTCAAACTCTCGAGAGTAGGTTATACCACCCACATACCTAGTAACTTAAGGGACAGAAAAGTGCTAATTCTTTGCGCAGTATAATTTTAGGATGCAGGCTTTAGCTGGTAATATCCCGGGTGTGAAAAAGGCCAGTTGGTAAGGCCGAACCTACCAGTGGCGGTTGTCGCAGGATACCTACTAGATACCTACCTCCTAGGTAGTATGGTCAAGCTACATCGGCTTTTGATCAGACTGCGAATCTCGGGTGTACATTGTATTTTTACGACGACATAAATGAATAAATTCCCTACATTAGTTGTTCTGGCTGCGGCCGTGTCTATGTGGAATGAAGACATGGCAGGTGAATTCTTACGTGCAGGGGTTTGTAGGTGCCATATTTCATACTGTTAATTGCTGTCCGGAATATTGGCTTTTACGACGATAATGCGATAGTATAAACCTATCTCAGGTAAAAGGTGACTAATATTCAGTTATTAGAAGGAATTGTGTCCCGGTGCGTAATGCGGATATCACCTGGTCTGCAACTTCCTTTACCTTCCCCAGTCCTCTAATGCAAACGAGCACTTTGAGCTTTGTTTGTCAATTCAATATTTCCAAGGTTTTCAGCTTGGAACATTACTTCTACCTCACCTTCATTTCCTTATGCTTAAAGCTAGTGGAATGATATCTGACCTAGCTAAGTAATAACTAGGTTGGCAGCCTGGAAAATAACATTGAAATTGAGCTGCGTTGATTGTGGTGACTATACACACCTTGGTCCTTCATCCACAGGTCTACACAGAAACCGCATATCAAATCTTGGGGGTCTAGGGTCCTGCTTCTCCCACCTTACAACAACAACAAGAATAATAGAATCACCACCTTGCTCCATCTTCAATCAACACATCAATATGTTCAGACGTAAGTGGAGTGGTCTACCAAAGGACCCGCACTTTCCTGTTGATATGAAGGAGCTTGGGTAAGTAGTACATTGTGGAACTTCATTTTCACTCTCACCCCAATACGGAGGAAACCTCGCTGACAAAATTTCCTCCGTAGCTACTTCATCAATGAAGATGACGAAGTCCGAGCCATCGACAATCCGAACAACTATTTCAAGTTCTTCCTGAACCGTAATCCGCGATGGAATGAACGTCAACGCTTCGCCATGAACAGTATGTAGATCTGCTCTGCCAACCCCAAAAGCAAGTGCGCCCTTGACTAACACAAAAAACATCCAGTGGCCATCCAAGGTGTCATCTGGGAGCGTCTGGAAAAACTTGGCATGAAGAAAGAGCTTCTCCCCTTAGGCACGGAAGACACTACCAAGCCCCATGTTCCTATCTTCGTTAGCAAGGACATCGCCTCCGCATCGCGCGTCGTCGTCATCTTCGGCGAGACACACCAAGACCTCGGCGTCCTCGCGCACCGCGTCATCGGCGGCCAGGGCGGCGTGAACAAAGGATCCATGGTATCCATCGTCTCCGCGCTTCAACAGCAGAGCTGCTCGTCCACGGACATGAGTCCACCCGGAATCATCCTCGCCAACACCGCTGAGCTCATATGGTGGCCCGAGGGCACCCGCACGCTAGCTCGCGTCGCCTTCGATGGGGTACCCATGAAGAGCGCCGTGCACAACGGCAATCTAATCACCGATGCGAACCTAGTCGAAGGTAACGAGAATACCATGCGCCATATTTCCTACATGTTCAAACACGTCATCCCGCACTTCGTCGACGACGCCGCGACAATCGATATTATCGGTGTGGGCGATGGTGCTGATTGCGTCGAGAAGTATTTGGATCTGCTGACTAAACAAGACGAGTGGAAGAACCGTATCAAGTGCCTTGCGCTCGTCGGAGGCTTGGTTCCCGCGTACGAGTTGCAGAACGAGGAGTTTGTGAAGGTGATCTTGAGAAACGTAAGTTTCCTTTCAACTTCCCCTATCTATTACCCATGTGTCAAAATCTAACATGAAACCCACCCTATATAGAGAGCTCGCGCCTACGCAACCTCCACCGAACCCGTGGGCATGGTCCTCTCGGGTCCCGACGGCAATCCCAAGACCAGGACCTTCACCGAACAAGGCTGTCCTGTCTTCAGCAGCGGCTCGGATCATTACACTGAGCTGACCTTGATTATGGCCCGCGACATCGTCCTTGACTGGCTACAGGAAGTAGCCATGACGCCAGAGGGCGAAGAGTACTTGAACCCCGAGTATCACGTCACCTTCGCCGATCCTTTCCTTGATGAGTGTGAATCCGATTGGGGCGAGTGGCCGACCGAGGCATCGGCTGGTGGCGGAGAGAAGAATGAGTTGCGGGAGGTTAAGGCACAGGAGGCTGGGGTCGAAAATGAACCTAAGGAGCTGGGTGAGGACAAGGCTGTAGCTGGTCAACCGCGTCTGATTCTTGTGGAACGTCCCAAAGCTTTGCGAGCTCGAAACAGCAGTATGGAGGATGGAGAGGGCGAGAACTAGGTAGACCACTTCGATCCTTTGCTTTCGAGTAGCTCAAGGCGATCGTAAAAGTGGATTCTAGCTTCCGGGATCTGGTATACAGGTCACAGTCATGCTATGACTAGGTAGCAAGTGAATTAAAAAAATGGCTGATGCTTTGAAGCTTAATCGTATTTACTAGCGTAACGGCATGGACAGGTTTGCAACGTACAGTATCCTAACAGTAACAGTTTACATACATCCCACCAGCGAGAGTACTCGACCCCGTGCATAATAAATAGGTCACCGTGTCTCCGTATTATCGAAAATACTGGCCTCCGGAATTCCTTGATTTCGTCGTTTGTGTTGTAAATGCCCACCTTCCACAGCATACATTTCATCTCTGAGATAGATCCAAGGGATATGTGCCGTGATACCAGAGCCATAGAATTGCGTATGGAACTAGCTTTCTCCTCCGAAAAGTCCATGGCATTAGGTCGTCAACGCGGAATACATCCCGGATTTTGTACGCAGACAGGATACCCCTTTCCCCATATGTAACCCCTCTCTTTATACCCCACATTTCGTCACGCAGTGAACAAGGACAAGAACCCAGCCTTCGGCGCCTCAATATCCTCCAGCACCTCCATCGCCCTCTTCGTCCGCTCCTTCACCACATTCTCCTCCGCCGCCCATCGGCCTCGCATAACCTGGTCCACGGTCCCCTCGCCCCATAATCCCGCTAACCAGCCGCTGCCCGTCTTAGCCGGCTCCTGGGCCTCCCTATCTCGTTCTTCTCGCGCCAGTGTTGCGACCATGGTGCGCCAATTGTCGAGTCCGCTTCCTAGACACTCCTTGCATGTCTTCTTAGCATCGGCCTTGGCGCCATCGTCGTCGCTTTCGTTGGCGTCGATATCATCGCTGTTGTTAAGCCTGTGTAGTTGCTCTTCCGCGAGATCGATGGCCTCGCGCGTCCATGCGAGCCCGTCTTCGCGACTACCGGCCTTGGAAGAAGATGCGTAGATTATCTCCCCAATGTATAAGTTCAGACCAGCTTCCTCGCAGAGCTCCTTTGCGTCGCGGACGGGCGGGGCGGAACCGTCGGGTGGGGGCGGAGGGTACACTGGTGTGTAGATAAAGCGCCGGACTAGGCCGACTACGTTCCAGATAGACCAGATCGAGGTTTTGGTTTGTTCGGTCGCTGGTTTTCTGTTGGGCTGTGGGTGGGGTAGGGATCGGCGGGCGCGGAGGATGGAGATTAGGATGGGGAGGGCGGTGGTGATGTCGCCGTTTCGAGCTTTGTGGGTGGCTAGGGCGGTAAGTGTGTTGAGGAGGTTTGCGGATGGGTGGTGTGTGACATCTTGAAGTACGTAGGCTTTGATATCGTATGGGCGTGGTGAGTTTTCCGTGGCTAGCGCTAATGCCTTATCGTACATGGCAGAGGCAAGTTCGGATGATCCCCTGAAATCTAGAAATGAGGCATATTCTAACGCGGCATCCATCTTCTGTTTGAATGTGAATCCTTTCGTAGCTAAGATCTTCTGGTACAGAACACTAGGCTTCTCGAACGCGGATTCGCAATCTTGCTCGATGGGAGCACTCGGCGAGCCATGGCGGATAGGCTTCGGGTTAGGGTTAGAAGGTCCTATTATCTGGTCGGCTGGGAATACTAAGTGTCGGCTTTTGTCTACGACCTGATCATCGAGATTCTCGGCTGCCTTGGCACATAACATCAGTGCCTCATAGTAACCCCTTCTCCATGGTTCACTCTTTGCTGTTATATCGTATGCAGTTGCCGCCTGTGACTCCCCCTCGGTGTTATCTACCACGGGCTTCAATCCATTGCCATCTATTGTCTCATCCTCTAATCTCTCGAGAACATTATTGATGTAATTTCCAATTGTGACCCAATCGGTTTCCGCGGAGTCTATCTGATCGGGAACCCATCTCGCAAGTCTGAATCGCAATCGGGTCCGGAACCCCCATTCGTCTGGGGTTGGGTATTTTGTCTCCAACCAATCTTGTTGTACGGCCCAATAGACAAGAATAAATGAGCCGCCGACGAACCAGAGAATGACAGTATACTGCAATCCACGGCAGACCTCACTGACTAGCCATCGCTTCCTCTCAGTCGTCAGATATCGGAATTGTTGATTCCTGGTTAATGGGACGGATAGGAATGGAAGCTGCGGTCGCCCTCCGTATGCGAGATTGGTATTTTTGGTGAATAGTCGGGTGGTAGAGCAAGTGATCGATGAAGGTTTCGAGGGTCGGAGGATGACGAGACGCCGTAGAACAGTGCGCGGTGGCAGCATTTTGCTAACAATGAGTGTTGATTACTTTCCTTGGTGTATGATCCGCGGTTCACGTTCACCATTAAAGTGCGCGGCTATCACACATTGTGCAACAACCTCCTCTTAATAGATATCATGTAAAACGACTTAGAACCATCCAGAGAACCGTTTGTCCAGTAGCTGTAAGCAAAGTGATGTACAATAATGAGTGGTGAAGCTCTCAAGTTCTCGTTGAATTAAAAGGTCCGTGCTTTTCAATAGAGACTTTCTATGCCCCGCCTTCTTGAATTGAATCGTTTGAATGACGATTGGCCCTATAATTTAGCGGGGTTCTAACGTGATAGCGCTACGCTAATCATGCTCATCCACTATCATCCCCCGAAACCTCGAATTCTACTTCTATAAACACTAAAGATATTTCACAAGTTTTAGCTTAAATTTTATCATTATTCCTCCTTTAACAACCCCCTAATACTTGTTTTAAAGGAGATAGCATGATGGAATCTTTTAGATAAAATGGATTTACAAGAAGACATCAAGTGTCTCAAGAGGAAACGCCCAGAACTTTCCACTCTAGAGCCAGTAGATGCCGAGAAGATGGCTCATCGCCAGCATAATCCGCGACTACGAGAACCCTCCCCTACATGAGTGGTCTTTCTCGATTTCAAGCAAATAAGCCTAAAGACCCTAACCGAATCTAGCATGAGAGGGCGAAGCTATCTATGAGAGAGTGACTCGGCCACTTATTAACGGCTACTTGGCTATTTCGGAAACCGAATTCTACCGTGTTACCGAATTGTTCAGCAACGATTTTGAAGCTTCAAATTTTAGTTTCCAAGCCCCCTTTTTAGGACGAGGCCCGCTTTTAACTGTCCCCAGCCAGTCAACGGTGCTACTGGTTAACATTGCGCAATATATACCATAGAGCTTACAGCCTCATCTTTGCATGATAACTATCTCTTTCACAACTTTATGCTTCATCTTTTCTCTACATTTCCACATCAATATAAACATGTCTCCGTCAAAAATCTTCGTCACGACTGCTACCGGCGTTCAAGGCGGAGGGGTCGTACGAAACTGTCTTCGTGATGGACATGTCGTCTATGCTCTCGTACGAGATCCCTCGTCCCAGGCTGCTAAATCATTATCAGATCTAGGTGCAAAGCTTGTCGAAGGATCTTTAGACGATGTAGAGTCTTTAAGTAGAGGAATGCAAAATGTGGATGCCGCATTTCTTAACCTTCCTGGAACCCGACCTCAAGGGGTGCCGTCCAACGTCGAGTACACGAAGAACTTCACCAAAGCCGCCCAAGCCGCCTCTGTACCCTGGGTTTTCTGCTCTACAGTCGTGAAAACGGGTCAACACGAGGAGATCCCCGGATGGGGTCCTGACAACCTTATGTACAATTATTGGCTCGACAAACACGAGATCGAGAATATCGTGCGGGGCTCCGGCTTTCAGCGCTGGACTATTATCAGGCCGGCCACATTCATGCAAAATCTTACGCCGCCATCCAGCCAATACTGTTTCCCAGGTTTCGACGAGCGGAAGGTCTTAAGGACGGCCTACGATCCCAAGGCGAAAGTAGGCTGGATCGACGGCACAGACGTAGGAAAAGTAGTTGCAAAGGCCCTGTCGGACCCAGCGAAGTATTTCGATAAGGAGATTGATCTCGCAGCTGAGAATTTGACGATCGGGGAACTGGCAAAAGAGATTGAAAAAGGTCTTGGGAAGCCGGTTACTCTCGAGCCTTATACAGACGACGAATGTGCGAAAATGGGACCTAGCATTCAACTTACGGCCCAGAAATGGGCAAGCGATGTACCTACTGGTCTTTCTGCCGAGACGGCCGCTACCGAATTCGGGTTGACTTCAGTGAGGGAGTTTTTTGCGCGTGATAGTCAGTCTTGACAGGACATTGACTTGGCTGGGGTATATTGTCTCAAGAGCATACCAACACATTCTCCGGATTGCCTTCGGCTCTCGGAGAGATAAGTGAAGCCTAACGTTGAAATCTTATGATCATCCGAAACTACCCTACTTCAATGACTGATCTAGGCAGCTCCCATACTAACAACTCTCACCTCACACCGGCATATCATTGCCAATGCTATCGTATTACCGTGCCTATTTCCTTACGGTATTCTATCCGAATAGTTCTTGATGTCCGCCCGTATAATGGTGCTGCCCCGTAAGAGCGCACGGACATTGCGTAGATGACCCCGAGGTTCTCAGCTGAACATTCATCCCCAGACTGCGCCACTCTTCTAGATTACCACGATATCTTGGCATAATCCTATACCGTCACACTGATCATACAGGCGATACCCGGACTCATTTAGGCAGCTGTATCATAGCTGTTTATGGCTCTATATCAACCTAATTTCGCTCTACGAGGCGATCGCGAGTCACGGCCGGACGCAAGGTTGCGGCGTAGACCTGACGGCTCGGCGACATTTTAAGATTGCAAATCCTTCTTCGGGTTTCTTTAGTGATGCTCCGGATAGAGGCCTGCCTATATTGCATGTTGATATCGACTTCACGTCATGAGCTCACTATGTATTGGTAAGCCGCGGACTTGTCCTTTATAAATATGGAGTCATGATGGCTCTTCTCCAGATCTGAATATGTGAGTCCCTAAGCCTCGCTCGTCCATTCTTCGCAGCCGACTACCTCTCAACACAATAAGGCTATTCATCTCCTCCAAGATGCACGTGCCATCTATCTTGAGCGCCTTGGTACTGGCAACATGCGCAGTCTCCAGCCCCGTTGGTCCGGTAAAGGGGTTGCTGGCCGAAAGAGCACCGAGTAACGTCTGCGTTCTCATCGAGGGCGATGACGGTTATGTCATCGATCCTTTCAACCGGCCTCAATGCGCCTGCAAATGTATAAAGCAGGCTTGTGTTCAGGTATGCCTAATAACCATATCTATGCCCCTATAATTCGCGCTGACTGATTCGATCTTGTATAGCCTGACCCAGCTGACACTGACTTGTGCCTCCGTACTCCCTGGCCTGATGCTAATGGTGGCACCCCGTTCCCTGACACTTTAGTACGCTACGCAGCCTGTGTAGGGGTAAGTAGATTTGAAACATATCCTATCTATAAGCTACAGCTAATGTCGTTGTTAGGGCACCCATTGTGTTGGAGGATAAACAAACCTTGTGGGGAAAGGGGGGTGCTGAGATCGAATGGAGGATGTGTAGTGGTCTCAGCGTCGATGGGGAAATTGATATGTTGGCTCCCCTCATGAGAAATGATAAATAACATAACATCTTCTAGGAAACTTTAATGTCTAATTGAGTCGAAGTTTCTTCCGAAAAGAATACAGTTATCTGAATCTATGAGTAGGTACAGAGGATCTACAGTGCCTGGAGACTGCCCCCTTTCTGATCACGTGACACCCATTTACTCAACCAGTATCACGCTATTTGACTTAAGGAGATTATTAATCACGGCCAGGCCATATCAAAGCTTGGCACATGTAGTGCGGTTTCTCCTAGCGACAGCTACGTGCTTGCTGACTTAGGTAATTGACAATAGCGCGCGCGCATCAGGATATTGATCAGGGATCTCTTGTGGAATTTTACCTACCTACCTAATGATTTCAATGGGGGATACCTAGTAGGTAGGATTTGGGAATCCGGAGTTATCTTATTCTATTATAATTCGACTGTGCCTTGATACTTAAATACGTGGCTATACCGATTCCCACTTCACACGCTGGAGCGATGCCAAATCCATCAACCCCCCCAAGTCTCATTGGCTGGGGTTTTGGATATGTTGGTTGTTAGTAGGTGAGTATTACTCTATAAGCCGGCCGATACTCCCGCTTATCTCCGGTTAGAGTGTGTGCTATGCCAATCATGAACGAGACGTCATCAGAGGTATTAATCAAGACGATGTCCGTTTTCTTACACTGCTTTTCTTAACTTTCTTCTTTTGATAGCTATCATTTCAAAGCTATATTCTCTGTGTCTAATAGTGCTTCATGAACAATATGGCACAATTTCAGCTAAACGGTTTCGCCATTGTGGTTGGAGTAAGTAATGCGCAATCATCTTCTCATCTGCTTATGCTAACTATCGGGTACAGGCAGCCGGCGGAGTTGGTAAAGAGGTTGGCCTATCATTCGCTGAGGCGGGTGCGAAAGGTATCTTATTTGCCGATATTGATTATGAAGCGGCCACCAAAGTCGCCGAGGCTAGCAAAGCCCTAGCATTGTCACCGACGTATCGGGCGCTGTCAGTGAAAGTGGACGTGGTAGATGTCAATTCAGTGCAAGGAATGATCGATCTTACAGCGAAGGAGTTTGGTAGAATCGATTATTGTATCAACGCTGCTGGAGTAAGCTGGATAAATCCTTTCCATGGGAAAATGAAGACATATTAACAAGAATCGTGATTAGGTGGATGTCGCGGAGTATGTCCCGTTCGACCAGACCGATCCCGATGACTACGATCGCGTTCTCGGAATCAACACTAAAGGCATATTTCTCGTAACAAGAGCCGTGGCTAAGTTCATGCAGTCTCAAGAGCCGGCCCAAATCACCCTCAAGAGACACGGCGCTCGAGACCTTGGCCGCGGATCTATCGTTAACGTCTCTTCGGCCATGGCACTAGTTGCAGTCCCTAACAAAGTGCCTTATACAACATCCAAACATGCCATCACTGGACTCACGCGAGCTTGCGGTAAGCATCCTGCTGATAACTTCTGGTCACCTCAATAGATACTGATTGAAGAATTCATAGCAATGGACTATAAATCCGCTGGTATCCGTTGCAATCAGGTATGCCCAGTATGGATTAGAACCCCGATGTTAGAAGAGGAGTTCCAGAGAGTTCCAGAAACGGCCGCGTTCGTCAAAAAGGTTGCTGCTGTAGGGCGACCGCTCGAGTCAGACGAGGTAGCATCAGCCTGCGTATATCTGTGCAGCCCTAGCGCGGTCTACATCAACGGCACCACCTTGACTTTAGATTCGGCTATTCTGGCTGGACCTATTGTATGAAACAACATTATATCGCATTGATATTTATAAGTCAAAGTATAAGGTAGAGATCAACTCTAACTGATGTCTACCAAGAAAGATGTGGTAAAGGATTAAAACTGCTAATTTCGTGACTTCCTTTTCAACTGATCTTAGCGGTGACCCCTTTAACCCCGCTATTTCTTACCTGCCGAATAAGCCTAATAGTGATCTAACCGCTAAATCTTGGTGGCTAGCCGCTATACTTTAGGGGCGTTAGCCACTAATGAAAACCCGCCCCACAGCGCAGATATAATTCAGCTTAGGAAAGTTTCGAAACTTTTCGCTGTGCCCTTACTACCCACCAAGTACGTAGGCAACGAAGCGAAAAAAGGATGTTTCTCAATCATTTTCCAAGGAGAAAGGAGTAGAGATCTGATCAAGGTAATAAAAAGTAAAAAAAACGTACAACACCGGGGATTCGCTGGTCGTCACCGACCCAACTACTAATCCGGCGGTATCCAGCTTATCTCTGGGAGAGCGGACGGGATCCCGAGCTTTCTAAATCCTATGGTCGTACGTGATAGAATAGACAACTAAAGACATTTATATTCTGTCTCACTTACTATCACGTCCACGCTTTAGAATAACTTCTCTCTGTGTGTTGATTATCTAATCACAGACCCCGCATGGTTACCCCCAACCCCTTTTCTAAAAAGGGGGCGGGGAAATTCTTTTGCTTTTATAACTTCTCACACAATTCAACGAGTCAATTAAGAAACCACATGAATAGAGATCACGTACTATATAAACTTGATAAATATCTAGGTATTTACTTAAAATGCTCTCGAAAATATCTTCTCGATTTATCTACCTAGGCATTCCGGCGCAGCATGTCCGGCTTCAGATCCGTCACATTGCGTACGCCTGTTATCGCAAGGTTGATTTCCAGATCCTGTAGACACCGGCTGTGTTAGTTATAACTTTGGTATGAAGAAGGATAATATGGACACACTCACCGCAAGCAAGCATCGGAGAACATGCAAGGCACCTTCTTGGCCCCTGGCGCCTAACCCGTACACCACCGGTCGGCCAACAAATACGGCTTTCGCGCCTAGCGCTAGGGCCTTCGTGATGTCTGCGCCAGTGCGGATGCCGCTGTCGAATAGTACTTCGGTTCGGTCCCCGACCGCAAGCGCAACTTCTTGTAGAGCTTCCAGAGAGCCTTGCGCTCCGTCGTATTGTCTGCCTCCGTGGTTCGAAACGATAATTCCGTCAACGCCTGCCTGCACGGCGAGCTCGGCGTCGGTCGCGTGCTGGATGCCTTTTACTAGGATTTTCCCGTCCCAATTTTGGCGAAGCCATTCTAGCTCGTGCCAGGAATGAGCCATGTCTAATTGCCAAGTTAGTCAATTCCAGTCATGGCCATATTATAATTGAGGAAAACAACAATAGGGACAGGGGTTTGAGACAGTATATGAATTATAGGAGGCTTACCTGGGAAAATGGTATTTTCCCACTCCAAAGCACCCTTCAGCACGTCATCGTCAACCTCGTGTCCGTATCTCTCGCGGAACTTCCGGCGGAAGACGGGGTCTGTGAAACCCAATGCTGTGCTTGCCCCCTTATAAAGGGGTAAGTATGCATTATCCAAGTCCATGGGTCTCCAACTCATAGAGAAAATGTCAAGGGTGATGACAAGCGCCGTATAGCCCGCATCTTTGGCACGCTTGAGAATCGAGCGCGTGACATCCTGGTCGACTGACTGAGGCCAGTAGAGTTGGAGCCAGCGGATTGCGGGCCCGTCTTTGCATGTAGAGTCCTGAGCTGCTGCAACGTCCTCTGGAGATTCGGAGGCGAATGTTGAGAGAGCGTAGGGGATACCGAGTGTCCCTGCTGCGCGGGCGATGCCGGTTTCTCCATCGCTGTATGGAAATGTTAGCCTATCTAGAAAACGGGATTTTCGGCTCGGGTGGTATGGTTCCCTACGCATGGAATATCTTATTGACGCCGACCGGGGCAATAGCTACAGGGGAAGGCCACTCCTGTCCGAGTATGGTCACTTTTAGCGACCTTTCCGTATTCCCCCTGACCACTGCAGTATTACAGTTAACAAATATCTTTTCAGGTAAAATATTGCGAGATATCGACTTACTTCGCGGGATAATGCTCCACTTCTGGAAAGCCTCCCGGTTTCTTTGGACTGTCTCGCCAGCCCCAGCACCTCCCTTTGCATAGTCGAAATCTCTGGGCTCCATGACAGCTTTTGCTGCCGCCTCCCAGTTATTTGGGTTGGTAGTCAGATTGGGGAGAACATCGCGAACTCCGTTCATGTAAATTGTGTGTTGGTAGGCTGAAAACGTCTTCCTTTGACTTCGAACATCAGTCTCGAGGGACACAGATGTGGGTAAAGCGCCCTTAGAACTATCTGGAGCAAGATTCGCGTCCACAATTCCGGTGACGGACCCCATGGTTGAATAGATGTTGAAGAAGAAAGACCAATGTTCAAGAAATCGATACTTTACGGTATGAATACCTAGGTAGGTATCGTGTTGTAGTAGGATATATTTTCAAGGAGTAATACTTCCGAGTCGTATTGTTCGAGTGAGGTATGATTCATCTTTGTTTATATTCTAATCCCTTTCAGCTAATCCTTCGTAAATCATATCAGTCCTAGTCGTCAAGAACATACTGCTGCCTACCTACCTACATACTGCATGATGTGTCTTTCGCTCTCGTGTGGGTTAATACTGGTATAGGATGACATCGACACGCGATCCGCGACCCGCGACCCGCCAGTCGTCCTATATTGCCATCTTTGTCCTTTGCGGACATTGAACTAATGCGTAAGTCGTATGTAATATGTGACGAAAGATCCATGTACTTTATTATAGTGTTCAAGGGTCTTAGGTTCTTCCCGTCTGACATGCATTAGCTAGCGATAGCTTAAGTAAAGTGTCACCGGTAGGGAACCGAGGTGCACGTAAGCGCCGTACATATGAAATTAACCACCGCGATGGTTACATACTAACCTTATTAGGTAGATTGTGAATATATGGGTCTTGTTTGTTTGAAGAGGAATGTTCTCAGGGTGCCAGGTCCCTTTGTAGGTAATTTAATCCAACTCGGAATTTATTTGGCAGAATCAGGCTTTCGTGTTCTGCCAATCCTTCCTAATAGCGCCTGTGAATTTATATACCTAGGGATACAGGATGATGTCTGAGGATTAAGATTTACATCATCTGGAATACAGTACCAATTCTTGTGATTCCTGTTTACCTAACTTCAGCTAGGGATAAGCGGTACTGTAGACTACCTTATGATATAATACTAGGTACCTAGGTACCTAGGTACTACTTATTCGGAGGGTTTGATGCCTTTAGTGCTTGGCTGAACTTGCTATTCTCCCTCATGTGACGTCCGAATCTTATAAACGCGAAAGGTATAAGCGCCATGAGCAAACTTAGAAAGCCAAGTAGGCTTGTAGCCCAACTCACACCAAGACGTCCGTACATGTCATCTGTAGCAAGGGGAAGGACAGCTCCAAGGACACTTCTCGTACCACTAGCGGCAGCTAAAGCGCTTGCCGCGAAGATGCCATAGGCATCAGCTAAGTAGTTGATCAAAGCCATGAATATCAAGAGGAAACCAATTCCGAACGGAAGGCCCGCGATGGCCGGTACGATCCAGTGTATCGAGGGTTTGGCCGTCCAGGCTAGCCAAAATATTGTCCCCGAGAATAATGGGCCACCAATACAAGCAAGTGGTAGGCGACGATACTCCTCCACTGTAATCCATTGCTTACCTTGCTCCTGGGCACGCTGGTAGATGTGATCGTACGCAAGATAGATCACAAATGAAAACAGGGCACCAATAGCGACTAAAGATTGATGTGAGATAGTTATATTATCGGGAATTGCCGATTAACTTACTGGGAAGAAACATTAACCCACATTCTCCGGGCGTCATGCCATACATTCCTTCGAAGATGATGGGATATGCCTCAAAAAAGAGGTAGAAGATCGCATAAATGAGGGATAGGTCTTCAACGGGAGTTAGTAGGTTCTCATAAAAGGACTGCAAGGGCTCCAAAGAGTAGAAGTAATACAAACTCCATCCTCCCAAAATATCAAGTATGAAAATAAACTCTCAATATAACCTACAGAGACAGGAGAAGAGTACGATGCTTTCGGTACAGAACATCTTCACTGGTCTAGCCAGTACTTTGGTGAAGAGGTGTTGCCAGTTTTCCCTTGTTAGCTGTGTCGATGCGAGGGCATGGGTTTCCGCAGTATTGGTGGAGTTTGAGGTTTGTTTGCGTCGTAGTACAGGTCCGAAAGTTTCTGCTCCGAATTAGAAGTCTGATAGGCACGTTTTCATTGCTGGATAGGTAGGGTTCGACAAACCTGGTAAGAGGAGCAGAAAGGGCCATGATGCTCCCACGATAATCAGCGCAACCCAGAATGTCCATCTCCAACCCATCACGGAAAGATACCCGGACATTATGGGCCCCATTGTCGGCCCCAGGGTGGTGACCTGTGAAACGTTTAGCCGGGTAACACTATCCTTCAGGAACACCTACAGCCATAAACCCAGCCATAGCTCGCCCCCGAGCTTTAGGGTCCGCGTATATGTCCGCATAGATACCTCCCGTCACGGCAGGTGGTGAAGAAGCAAAAACGCCCGCAAATAGCCGAAAGACAACTAAAGCGGCAAAGGTGGGAGCTAGGGCGCAAGCTAAAGTGAAGATGGTATAAAATGCGAAAGTTATTAGCGTTATCGGGCGGCGGCCGTATGTCTCAGACAACGGTCCAAACACAACGGGACCCAGTACATATCCGATGAGATAGCAGGTGATAGGTAGAGTGAGTTTCTGTTTATTGGTTATCCCAAAGTCCTCTGCAATGAAATTGACCGCTCCGCTCGGTAAGGCTGAGCCAAGTGTACTATTTGCAACTGCAATAGCACCCACAATAAACACAAAGGCTTTTCGTTTCTAGGAATCTTGTGAGCATTTGAGGCGTCCAGTTCCCTTCTGTAGAGGATAGACATACTTTTGACCATGTATAAGGGTCGGTTTGCTTCGATTGGGTCTCAGATAAATTAGCTAGCATCTTCAAAAGCCACAATTTCTGCCGTAGGGATAAGATGGAAGAACCAGCGCCCAGAGGATAGCATTGGTGAAAACTGCACTTTCCAAACTCCAGCAATAGTAGTTGGGCAAGTAGATTTACTTCCAAGTTATCTTCCCATACGCTCTTCTGCTAAAGCTAAGCGACTGTTGCGTGTATCTTTTACTACTCCCGCAATCTAAAAGGGGCTCGCCTAGAGTAAGTTCCACTTAATCGTGTGGATACCCGAGACATGTCTTGGTTCACTTAGATACACGGTCGGAATATTGATAGAATACGCCTCTTTACCAATACCCCCGCGACCCCACGATGTTTGGAACTTTCGATCTGGCTCCTTTTGGAAAGTCCATCATCGATTCGAATGAGCGTAAAAGATATGACACATCTATTAGGGTCCGTGCTAAGATTCTTTCTGATTAACCTGTTCTGATACCTTTTGGGAACGACAGTAAGGTCTACAATAATTCCTTCTGTGGCGTAGATATGCCAGGTAAATGGTTCGGGCTTTTTTAAAGGGATCCCAACGCGACTTACATACCACCCACATGCAATTGGACCAGAAACAGGGGATCTGGTGACTTCTAGCGAACCATTGCGTGGCGAGAAAGGATAGGATTCGAAAGCAAACCAAACTTTTGAGAACTTTAATAGAAGGCTGCTAGGTAAAGAGAAGTTTCATCAAGCATTTATCGTAAGGAACGTTCCGAGCTTGCATATAATGGCAAAATTTATTAGTGTCGAGAGGAAAATGACGAACAAGATGAGCAAGATGTAGGTAAGCAGTAACCGACCCCGGGATTCCATGTGCTTGGGCTGAGACCCCGGACTCGGCGCCCGGTCCATCCTTCCGTGATCGACAAGTCTAACCTCGATAGGAACTCCGATGCAGTATACCGCTTTTCTTACACAGGTACCTAGATACTAGGTATGTATGGCAATCAGGACCACGGGCGCCGTTGGTACCTAGCACCGGTAGCCGAGATGATAGTTGAGACGTACGTAGTCGTGCCCTACGAACGGGTCAATAAGGAGCCAGCACGGTTGCACGGTTGTTCAGTTTACTCGGTATACCTAGTCGTTACATATATTAAACCATGTAATAGGCAAAGGAACCCGACTTTGTCAGAGGGGGAATATTGTTGCTTGAGCCCTACATGAATTTCTCCTCCTTTGAGTACCTAGTAACCAGTGATATCTTACAGTCAATACCTATGTATCCTATCTACCGTGTAGATACCCGGTAGGTAGGTACCTATCTTATATGGAAACGCCTACCGTGCCCCAATAATAGCATATGTAGCAGTACCTAACACGGAATCCAGGTAATACGGCGTAAAACACACATCTTTAGCTTACGCCTACCTCTAGCTTACGCAATATTTCATCATTTATCCAGATCGTTGATCATTGTTGAAGAATTCCTACCATGGCTCTATCAAAATCCGACCAGGTACAGACCCTGTGAGGGCCAAATGCACGTAGAATCCTACCCGGCAGTTGATCAAGCTACCTTGCTACATACCTACTTAATACCCTGTTGCATCACACATTCTAGACCAGCTTCCATTCTAATCCTTCTGAGCTACAAAGCGGAGCCGAATGTAATTGACAGTAAATGCCCCATCGTGCTGACGTCTCCCAACTCCCTCCAATATTTCGACCACTTCCTTTACTGCAGCTTCGCGCTCGTCATCGGAAGGCAGAAGTGCGAGAAAGTCCGCGCCAAAAAGGCGAACCCTGCGTAGTTCCTAGTCAGCTGGTGCAAGATTTGCTTTTTCGTGGCGCGGAGATAAGAAAAAAAAGAAATTCTCACCATCCTTCGATCCCGCCTCCTTGGTGATCCGTAAGCACCGTCTGCCGAAGTTCTATTTCGCCTTTAATCCACCGAAATCCTTGTCCCTCTACCAAAGCCTTCATAGCCTCGAGGCTTGGGAACCACCATGGAGATGCGTTTCTTGCTACATCGACCGGGATTCCCCGATGAACTAAGGATCCAATAATAGCTGCATGGACCTCTGCAACGTTGCCGAGGCCACCCGACTCGCTGACAAAAAGACCGCCGGGCTTGAGGGCATCATAGCAGCCCTTGATAGCATTTGCTCGAGTAGCCTCGTCACGGAGAATCCAGTGCAGAGCAGCGTTGGAAAAGACCTTGCTGAAAGAAGCCTGGCATAAGCTTGCATCCTTGTCAAGGTATCGACAGTCCACAACACGAGCATCGATATCTGGGAATGTCTTGTTGAATGACTCGATCATATTGGGCGAGCCATCAACTCCGACAATCCGTGTCACATGTGGCGCAAGCCTGGCGGTCAGAACTCCTTCCCCGCAGCCTACGTCGAGAATTTCATCTGCAAGTCAAGGTAAGGAAGTCAGTTGGGGTTTGATGCCGCGGTCCCTGGATCCTAGAAGCCTACCTTGCGGCTGAGGGTCCAACCATCCTACAACCTTGCTCGTTAAAGCAGCCACAAAGGGAGCAACTGTTGTTCTGTAGGCGTCAGCCGACCATATGTCTTTCTTGTCCGAAGATTCAGAGGCCATTTTGCTGATAATGTAATGGATGATCCGAGTAAAAGCAGGTAGATATAACTAAGTAGAGGTAACTTGTTGGATCTGGTACGAGGGTCCCTCGCTTTAATAAGGAGATTTAAGAGCCGAAGACTTATCTCCATTATGCTGCGCAGGGATTGTTACACTGACCCAGATACTTATCTTAATAGAACCGTTCCGAAGATCGCAAAGAAGCTTATTTGTTTCAAATTACGTAAAGGGGATGTCATTTGCATCCCCCCTTTTCTAAGCCTCTGTCTGTTTATCTGTTATGAATGCCTACCTACCTAGTAGCGATCAACTCCTCAATATCGATCATCACAGCTATTGCGCCAATCTCGTCTCCCTTAACGTAATTTATTCACCGAATTCCACCAAAAGGGTCTACACTTAGTCGCACTTTTCTTTGATTGGCTATACAAACATATCAACCCGACGACAGTACCAATCGGATGATGAGTAGCTAACGGCGTATTGCCTCGACATGACCTGCAGCGTCTGCGTCTAGTTCATGCCTAAAAGGTTTCCACGCGTCCTCAATTCAGATCCGTGCCACGTTAAAATATCCCTTCCAGTTGACTGACAGCATGTAACTAGCCGAGTGACACCAGGGGGCTTAATATGCGGACATTAAATGTCACCCGTCCTTCCTGATTAGACAAATGAGTGGATTCCGGAATTCCTGAGCGAGAATCTAACATCTGGTTAGAAAATGTGTTTGTGTAGGAAGACAGGTGAGCAACAGGCCTACGTTGATGACTCTTTGACCTTATCACGGCTCAGCACGTTTCTATAATCCTGTGATGCAGAATCCTTGAAGCTCTCACCAAGCGCCCCATATTTCCATTCCTGTGATTGAGGAATTTCGGTAGACGTTTAGTAAGAGGATACAGTAAATACTACTTATGAATACGAGATACTCATGTGTATATAACGTGTTAGTATAGCCATGTTGTAGAGCCTTCAGAAACACACGACAGAGACACCTGCTCACCGAAAGGCTTCTTAGAAGTTTTGGGTTTACCTTTGAGACAACCGCTTGCTAGCTACCTCCTATATCTAAAGTCCCCAACAGACAATATTTTTATAAATTTAATTAACATTATCTATGATCTACGAATCATGAATCAAGTTATATACGACACGTTCTTTGCTTCAGGGCCAGTATGGATTCTCCTGTTGGCTCCTTTTTTTCTAGCTCTGGGGTATGCCGTGACAGCCCTCACAAGATCCGAGCCTAAGCAACCAATTGAAAAACAACGCTTAGAACAAGAAATCGAGCCTTTGAGAGATTTTGATTTCCGCAAGGTAGCCCCTATTAAATACCAACCATACAAAACACAGGGCCATGTCACAATGGGTAAGAAAGATACCACACACCATTTACTAGCCCTAAAAGTTAACCAATGTACAAGGAATCCAAAAGCGCACTCGTTCGGAGTGGATTCGAATGGATCGTGGCTACTTAAATCGAATTAATGAGCGTTTGCCGCTGATTCGAGACAAGCCGGAGTTCACCATTGGCGCCGGCGAGAAGGTTAACCCTGCGATTGAGGAGCTATATGAAGAAATCATGATTAAATACTTACCTGCTAGATTCCCAACCATGTTCAAAGCTCGCGGAAAGACGGTCAAGAACCTGGCAACTGGCTCAACTTACCCGCTTACAACTGTAGGGTTGACTCATGCCCAAATGCTAGCATACATGGGAGAAAACGTCGAGGTAAGTATTCAGATCTCCCTGTCTGAAACTTAGGGGAATATGGTGACCTGGTAGTTGCTAATCACTCGATACTCGATTATTAGGAAGACTTTTACTTCATGTGTCCCGACCAGGATGGACTATATCGCCTGCAAGGCTATATCGCTTGTTTTCCTGGAGGCTTTTTGAGTCCAGCCCGAGTTGGTGAATCCGTAAAGGAAATTCACAAACCAGTTCCGGGTTACGAAAGGAAGCTTGGGCTTAGCGTGGACCGTTACTTCGGTCGGATGATACCCGGAGACTTTATTGGACGTATGAATGTAAGGAAATCCTCCGTACTCTTTAGATTCCATTTTCGGCTCACTAACCGGATCAAAGTGGTCGTTACAAGTCGATGGAGCCGACTTGTTCCGCACCGATGGAAACAACTACTACCCCGGAACTGAGCAGGTAGTCGAAGAATACAAAGAGGATCCATCCCTTGACGAATGTTTCTTGCGCGTGGAACACCAAACACTCACGAAGCTGCCACGTACCAGCGCAGTTATATTCACGGTGAGGTCTTACATGACCCCACTTCATCAAGTGAAGGCCGAGGGAGATGGAAAGGCGCTGGCAGCAGCCATTGAATCCATGCCTGAAGGGCTTGGCTATTACAAGATGCGCCAATACTGGGGCAAAAAAGTACTTCCGTGGCTGATGGAAGATATTTAGTCTGATATTTGAAGAGGGTTAAAACCTAATCTTCGCTACCAATTCAAGGAATATTATGGCAGTGAGGGGGTTATATATCAATTAGGTACATATATACGGGTGCTGGACAATGAACAGCATTGGAACTTATAGAACTTATTGATCCAAGTGTGCCCTTTTTGACTACTAGCACTCCTTTTAAGCTAGGTACTACCTAGGTAGGTAGGTATGTAAAGCCTTCTGAGGGTAGATGATGTGGGAAGGAGTTCTAGTTGTTCAGGAGAAAAGTGGATCGATTTAGAATAATGACCCACTAAAAAGGGGTAGCCCCTATTCACCATACTAGGGAACACAGAATATGCTCAGGTAAATACCTAGGTAGGTACAAATATCTACCTGCTGTCTTGCCCTCTATTGAATTACCAATTTATAGTATATTTACAGTTTAAGCGGTTTAAGCGGCGAAAGGGATAGGTACCTTATTATACCCAATAGACATTACAGAGTGACCACCAACCTCTCAACCCTGCATGTCTCCCACACCCATAATATCAACATACTCACCTGTATCCCCTAGACCAGTCAAATCAACACCCTGCTCTAAACCCACACCAGCCTCATCGGTGGCCCATCCCATAGTCATCGTCGCCCATAAATCATGGAACACAGTCGACTTCCCAAGACCTTCAACGGGCCCCACCCCAGCCGCCAGGTTCGCCGCCGCCGCCGAGCCCCCGTCAAGCGACGACGCCGTGTACGATGAGGCAGCGAAGTCCATGTTGCCTTGGTGGCCCTCCCACAGGGGTATATACTGATCCAGGCTCCCGTCGAACATGGGACACTGTCGCGCCCTGCGGCTCTCCTCTGCCGCCTCCAGGTTCGCGCTCTTCCTCTCGAACTTGGCTTTGAGGGATCCTAGGACGACTTTGAACGCGGTTACCACGTCGACTTTCTTAGATTTACTATCGGGGGTGTCGTTTTCGCTGTCGTTGTCGGTAATAGATAGGTTCGCTAGGACAGCGCCGAAATCCAGTACTTTCCGGCCTTGGATGTAATCGTAGTCGGGACATGAAGGGACCGGGAAGGAGAGCCGGTATGCGAGGATGATGGTTAGGATGAGGCGTCCGATGTCGACGGTGCAGAAATATCTCATTTGCTCGGCGGAAAGACTCATGATGTATTCGAGGAAAGCCCGCGTCGTGTATGTGGAAGCTTGTAGTCTAGGGGCGTCAATCAAGGGAGTCTTAGGGTCATTCGGGCGTGGGTGGAATGTCTGCATCAGCGGCGCTGCTAGGATATAGGTATCGGTTGTGAGTGATGACATCAAAATACTCGCTATTTTGCATTTTTGTTAGCGATTGGTGGGAAATATTGTTAAGGAGGGATCCCACGTATAGTCGAGATATGGCCAGGGATCCTGCTCTGGAAATCTCGTAGCTGTGTCTCGAGACCAATGCGGATGAACGTGCGCTGGTTCTCATTCTCTTCGGAGATACTGGGCTTCTTATAACTTCGATTCAATTCTTCGAATTCGATTAGAATGTGTTGCAGACGGACAATCCAGATAAGGACATGATCCTGTTGTAGGCCGCTATGTTGCTCAAGTAATTCGCAGCACTTAGCCATCCACGGAGTATATTTTAAACTGTAGGGCTTCGACCATGTCCAAGAGGCTCTGCGTCGACGTTAGAATTAGATAAAGTGTGAGGTTTAGGTGAAGTTAAGAATAACATCACTAACAATGACGCGTGATAAAAACACGATAGATATATCCGAATGCTCTGAAGTGTCATTTCTCTTCGCTCGGGCGATTGTACAGCAAGATTTATATCTTTCTCCTCATCTAACTCCATGTCGTGAACTATGTCAACGGCCATGCGTAGATATTGAACCGCCTGTCTGTTCTTTGGACGTAAATGAAAAGGATACCTGTTTCGTAGGATTCGCTTATTAGGATGCCCACTTCAATATTGTTGAGGGCTAGACACAATAACGAGACAGCCGAACCGCCTTCGCTCATACGGCAGGTAGCCATCATTCATATCAAAGCGGACATAAGTAACAATATTTGATTAACTCACCAAGAACAGTAAATAATAAGTCCCTGCAGTAACTCAACAGACCTTTCGCCTCCAGCAACGAATTTCAAAGCCAGAATCTTACGAAACTCATCATCATAGAGACTATGGCCTTGTAAGCTAGTGGAACAACTCGTCACGGCGAGGATAGCTAGGAGTACGAATGGCATATCGCGGGCCATAGATCGAACGTCGGCATCTTGGGGTAGCACGATACAAGGGCAGTGCGGCAGCATAAACCGAAATGATTCGAGCAGTTTAGCCGCCGAGTCGAGGTTGAATTGCGGCTTCATGGCCAGACTAGTCACCGGCCTGGAGTTCGTCGACGCAGTGCTCCCCGTCGTCAATGACGGGGTTCGCATCGACATGTCATTGAAGCTGAAGGTCTGTCCGGCCGACGGTGACATTGCCGTCGAATCATCTTCTAACTCGTCATCGTCACTAGACGGCACGAGGTCATCGATGAAGCGCTCGTGCTTCTCTCTTAGATCGTCGAAGTTATCGCGCAGGTCATCATCCGCCGGCATGGTGAAGTCGATGCTGAAGGTCTTGCTGGGACCAGGCGGAGGGGGAAGCGCCTCTGCGTCTCTATCATATAACTGTTCTTAAGCGGACATGATCTAGAAACCGAGTAGGAACGGAACCGTTCAAAGAAAACTTCCATTCTGACATATGTAGAAAAAAATAGGTACATGGTACTTACGGCCGCGTTGAGAATTTGGGTCGCCGAGTCCTTGGTCCGGTTCGAAACACGCATTCCCGCTTGAACTCGGAGCAGCTGTACCCCGGAAGGTCACATGTCTTAGCCTTTAGCTAGCACCTATGAAGACGAGGGCCAATGAACTAATAATGATGGCACCATACCGCTTGCATATCCCTGGTTGCGGGCTAGATTGGCACTTAACCTTGGAGATCCGACACGCCTCACAGGCGTAGTTCATCTTGCTTGGCTTCGGCGGAGCCCGCGCTTGGGCATTATTTGATGGTTCCATTAAACTCTGGTTGAGGATGTTGATAGTGACACAATTGGATACGGGATTAATGGTAGATAGGTAGACTAGATCCTATGTATACAGTTGAAAGATAAGAATAAAGTTGAGGTCGTCTTTAGGGTGAGATGAAGGAACACTATCGAATCAGTTAGTAATCAAGATCTTGATAGGATTAATTATTAGTAGTAAGCTGAGCATCCAAATAGAAGCCTGCATTAGACGATAGACTATAATTCAAGATGGATGGCTCATGATGAGAGAGGTGGTAAGCATCAGCATTTTTTCGTTGTCGGAAGGAAGGAGAATCCGACGGCAAGCAAAGTCCGGATGTGGTCGGCGTTAAATTTTAGTGGCGGACCCCACCCGGGGTTGCATATTCCAGAACGGGACGTCGCGGATCGGTCCTGATAGGATGCACCTGCTTCGACGACCTCAGTTTAGCTCCCGTCGACCAGATCCTTAGCGTCTGCCGCTAAATCCATCCCCCCTATTCTAGAACCAACATTGACGAATAACCGGTGAGTAACTGGCGAATGACCAAAGTTAAATCCTTCACCCACCTCACCGTCGCTCTTGGTGTGTAGATACATACCTAGACCGATATCACAAAAAACCAGTAGAAACATCTCAGGTAGGTGGAGGCATTATATTCCGAGGTATAACTTACATCAGCTCGTCGCGAGACGAGTCTCCCAAAGGTGTGCGTACACACGGTGTCTATCTTACCCAAGGCCCATCGCGCGCGGCCTCGTCGGCTAGGTACATACATACAATTGTATACTTACACACAAACAAACGCACACCTACCTCATCGCACATACATCTACCTCACCTTCCATTCTTTTTTCTTTCTTTCTTTTGTTTCCTTCATAAGGTGTATCATAATATATCATAAAGCCCCTCGTATTGCGAGAGGTCATCGTTAAGGCTATAATGCCGCCGAACCCGTCACCGCGATATATACCCCGACGGCGATTCCCGCGACGATCATCATCAAGGCCGCGCCCGCGGCCCCTATGGCTGTCATCATGATCTTCCTTTTCCTCCGCTTAGGAGCCGTCTGCCAATTCGTCGGCCCTTCCAAATTTATGCAACAGCGCCTTTTCTTTTTCCTATCACTCTCCGCCGCCGGGCTGCGGGGAGGCGTGCCGAGAGGATCTGTTGGATTGTATACCAGCGGTGTTGTCGAATCCACGCGTGAATTCGGTATGCTGCTGGTATTGCTGAATCGTTCTGGTGTGCACATCCCCGGCGAGTACGGGGGCGGGAGTGAAGATGGTGGAGGTGAAAGCGGTGCATCTGGATCTACTGCCGATTCACGGAATCCTCTGGAGTCGACGGTGTAAGAACGTTGTCGCGTCCGAGGCGGTGTCATGGGTGCTTCCAATGGATGTGACGGGATGAGCTCGGGTCCTTCTATGGCTGGGCCCTTGATTTTGGCGCCTGCGGGTACCTGGATACTCTCAAGACCGTTTGTGGCAGCGATGAGGCTGGCCAACTTCATTTGAGTGGGGGTTGGCGGTAGAGGCGTTGTAGGAGGCGGTGATGGAGGAGAAAACCACGAGTTCACGGATTTTTGAGACCGCGATGTTCGCGGCGGTGAATCTAAGCATGAAGAGTGCGCGGTTGTGGGCGGTGTGGCACCGGGCGGTAGCGGAAAGAGTGACGGAGAAAGCGAGACGACACTGCATCTGGACGACGCTGTGATCTCCGAGCAGGGTGAGACACCGTCTCCACTAAGATACTGGAAGTCGACGGTAAGGGCATGAGGTCCGGCGAGAAAACTATTTGACGCGCCGTTGGTGCGGTTCTGACACGGCACGGTCAATCTCGGGAGCGCGGACAGTTCGAGGCTCTTCATCTTCCCCTTCGTCGCCTCGCCCGACATCTTGGCGGCGGATAACGCGTAACTCTCTGATCGGCTCTCCAGAGTCACTCGATGAGTGTAAATTCGTTGATTCGAATTACAATATATAATATTAGGTGTATAGGTTTGTATAAATCTCGTTGAGTCGAGATGTCTATATGTCGGATTCGTAAGGAGGGTTAGGGTTTCGGTTATCAAGCTGTTGTGTAGCAGGTGTGTGTGTATATATACGACGTTCTAGACGATCGACTTTTTTTCGTAACTTCGGATCCAGATGAAAGGAAGGACAGATCCAAACGGGCGTAAAACTCAATTCAAAGGAAGGACGATATGACCATATTCATCATTATATCATCATCATAAACATAATCATTCAAAAGAAGTGACGTAACGGTTGAGCGCGGGTGAGGGCAGGATTATTATCATAATCTTTCTTTCTTGTGTTCTTTCCTCTTTTGCTCAGAACCGCTCAGCTGTAAAAGGGTGCCATGTTGCCGGGAAGAAGGGCTTTAGATATAAAAGTCGATGAGATTTCTGAGTCCTGACAGATCGACCCGAGCGACCGCCTCGCTTCATGCAAGGCACAGGGGAAAGCGGATCGTAGGGGAAAAAAGAAAGAGAGCGCCGAAAGAAAAAGACGGCGAAAGGAACGGTGAGGTATCTTCGCACGGAATCCCTCCATCCTTCCCAGCTTTTTTTCCTTAGCCTTTTTTTCTCTAACGGTTCTCACATCATCAATACTACGCACGGCACAGTATAAAAAAAAGAAAAAAAAAAGTAAAAGAACCTAACCTTAATAAAAAAGCCAATGCGGTCATCAATAGGCAAAGGACCCGCGTAGAGAGTTACCATGTAGCCCCGGCAGTTGGACACTAGATCCCTTCAGCTTAGGCTGCCCAGCGCACGCGGTCCATACGTCTCTACCCCTGCTGCCAGCCCAGACCCTAGCAGCTTGGGTCGAGAGATCATTCAATCACAAATCGTAAAAGCCCCCAGAGTTCCGGTCCGACAGGCATTACACCGCATCTCCTCAGCCCTCCAGGCCTTTTCATTTTTCGACCTCTTCAAGCCTGCAAGTTTCTTCAGACCGAAACACGCCACCCGATTGGACCTCGTAAGCCTCGTAAGCAGCCCTGACTGCCCTGGAACAGGCCCTGGGAAAGAAATTCTTTAGTCCTTGTAGTCCCCCAACCCCAATGGATCATATGGATAGGATATTGACAGATTGGTAACCTGGAACTGGTTTTTTTTTCCGCTCAGTGCTCATGAACTACCGTGCATTTGTATCGCAGCCGCTGCCTGCCTACATGCAGTACTGCATGTATTGTATCGAGACTCACATATCCGTATGTCTAGGACATTACATTCCATATGGGTCATATGGATCATATGGATACCTTTCATGTACTAGCACAGGCCTCGCATCAGTGGGAATGGATATCTACAGCAAGTTTTTCCAGCACCTCTCCAGCATGTCTCTAGCATTATCCCCAGCGAAAAATATGCTGTACGCGCGCCTATCGTACCGCCCGTACCGCCTAACTTTGGCTCTCGTACCTTACAGGCACAAAACCCACCAGCCTGCCAGCCTGCCTATGGACTCCCCTCGATACCTAACGCAACCCACCGCACGGTTCAACTAACCACCCAGCCATTCCCGCAGGATCTCCCCGTTCCGGTGCGTCGTGCGCGTGTGTGGGCGCGTGTGTGCTCAGCACTGTCCGTACCTGCGTCTAACCCTCTTATTTTTCTCCCTCCCCCTTCTCCTCCTCCTCGAAACCCTTCCCACGTCCCCATCGTACATCCCTCCCACCTTATCTGTACCACGAGCAAATTAACATCCAGTTACATAAGTACCTAGGACCGCCTGCCCCCAATCATATCAGCCCAGCCCCAGCCCCGACCCAACCTCCACGAATCGCCATCGTGATCACGGATCACAGAGGGTTCCAGGGCTGTACCATGTACCTAAACGTGCATGCCGCATCTCGCTCGCGAAAGCAAGATACGAAAGCAGAGAAGAAAAAAAAAGATATGTATCCATAAAGACACATAAGCATGTAAGCCTACATATGTAGGTTATACATATGCCCATCTATCATACATAAAGCCACACACCAGGAAAACGTGATATTGTGCAACCAACTGCGTCATCGATGTCGAATGGGGAGGGGAACGCGACGGGAAGAGACGGCCAAATTCCGTGAGGCTTTCCAATATTTCCGTCTTTGGATTCTGTTTCGACCTTTCAGCGCAGCCGCATCCAATACCCTGAAGTCCTAGGCCAATATTTCAGACCAACCTTCCCACCCACTCGGAAGACTCTTTTTTTATTTTTATTAATTCACTGAATTGTATAATACATACATAGGTACATACACAATGCAGAGATTTCTGCACAATTGCCAAGTATTATTAAATCGTGCACATACCAGATTCTCTCTCGTATCTGATCACCCTGAAGTGGCGGAGCCTTTGGTCCACAATGGGCTTTACACGGCGGATCTGACTAAATAAGTCTACGCTATGAGCTTTATCGCGCTACATGCCTGTTATCCATGGATACCTACATAAATATGCACTGTGCTACTGCACTTGCCATGCTGCCGAATACCTTAATAGGTACCTCTTAAAACCAGCACGGCCGGACCACCAACAAGCTTGGAAACACTGCAGTGAGCATGGAAGTCATCAGACCATTTTTGAATTCGATTCGATTAAACATTGCCTCGAAAGATTGCTCGAGCTATTTACGACTTATCCCCTATCTACGCCGGCGCTAAAAACCTCATTCCCTACACATGCAATTGGTCTTGCGGCGTTGCTCATGTGTGAAAGTCGATAAAAAATATTTGTACAGGAAGGTCGAACCTTCGGGTGGCCTTCGGATTTAGAACATAATAGAACAATCATCCGTTCGGCACTCATGGGTTCCATGGATCGGTCTATGGCGTAATGCGTACGTATCGCAAGCTCGCTTGCTCATATTCATCATACCGCGCCGTGCGGTTGGATTTTTTTTTGTTTGTTTCAATCGTTCGGTTACCCGGAAAATTGTTCGGAAAATAGGAATATGCAAAGTCGGCGAAGTCCGCTCAGCCGGTACGGCCACCGACCTTTCCGGCACCTACGTCGACGAATAAATTCACGAAATCAATTGTGTTCCCCCCACCGACGGTGACGTTCGCCGCTTGATTGGTCATTACACTTGAAGTCGTATTTCGTCCGCTCTCAACGCTACTGAAGAAACTCTGAACTGAGGTCTGAGCGGTTGATGCATCGGCTAACGTCTTTTCCTGGAATATATACAGGACCGCCACGCGGGCAAAGTCGGCAACTTCTTCGGTCACCATGAAAGTGGAGGTTGGCATGGCCGTTGAACTCGTGCTGGTCGAAGAAGACCTGGTCGTTAATTGTGATGTGGTTGCCGGGGCTGACGTCGGATATGGAGTAGGCGATGATCGTTTAGAGTTGCTACTGCCCGAGATGGTCGTAGCAAATATCGTAGAGCCGGAAATTGTAGTCGGCGCAGTTAACGTGGTCACTATAAAACTGCCCGAAAACCCACCGGTCCCTGCCGGATTATCAATTGTCAACGTGATATCGATATCCGGAGAGACACTGAGGGTTATTGGCACGGCAGCTGCAAGTATAGCAGCTTGTGCGAGTTCTGATTTCGAATTCAGATTAGATACCTCGGCCGAGGCGTCCTGGGTTCGAAGGGATTGACCATTAAAAGTGACCAACGCATTTTCTGTGTTGCACGAAAGATTTTCCTTGTTAAACTTGGATTGTATTACAGTAGCGACGAGAGGGATCGAAAAGTTGGTCTGAGCGTTTTGGACAAGACGGGGTATAGCCTGGCCGATGGTAACATTGTTGATGTTAGAACCTGACGTGCTAATCGATGTTGTAGTGCAGCCTTGCGAAGTAGGGATCGTGCATGTTGCGCCGGTAAATCCGTTCGAACATATGCACGAGCAGACACCCTGTAGGTTGATATTCGTGCCGCCATTAGCACAAGTTAATTGAGCCTCGCAGTCTGAGAGGTCCGGCTGTGCTGTACTCTTCGCAACCGACTTGTCGATGACGAGCAGTTTGACTGGGATTATTATTGCAGCTGCTATTATCACTAGCACGATGATGAGCAAGGCAAAACAAGTCCAAAATGGTAATCCGCAACAACGGCGCTTTTTCTTCTCCTTCTCTTGCGATCCCGTCTCCGAATCTGGGGTTTGTTCCGTTGGTAGAGGGGGGCCACGGAAAGACCTTCGTCCCAGAGGCCAAGCCGTTGATGCTCTGCTTTGACGTTTTCCACTTCGACTTGCTGGGGGCGGAAAGGCTGCTAGCATATCAGACAAGCCCGACTGGTGCCTTGTTTCATCTGTTTTAAATTAGTCAGTGTCGAGAATACGTAAGAAGGTGAGTTGAACGAACAAGAAGGGTCTTTCTCAGTATCATTGCCATAGACCTCTTCCGGGAAATCGAGATCGTCAAAACGACTCGCTGGTCTACGGCCCCTGTCCATCAACGCTGCTAATCTCGTTGCCCGTCGAATTAAATCAGGTAGACTTGTCAAGCTTCCTCTGGCCTCAGCTTTTCTTACTGCATCCATATCTAAGCGCGGCGGTCGTCGGATGGCGGAAAATCTAGCCGGCCGCGGCGAAGGAGTAGCTCTTCGTATTGACGAAGGGTCTAAGGCACTGGCACCCTCGAAGGCGCTCAGCATATTATCCGCAGTCAGCGCGGTACCAACAGCTTCTCTTGAAACATTTCCGGATGAACTTGATGAACCCTCGATATATCCAGTGCCGTCTCGAAATGGCCCACCCTGGATAGGCACCGGTGCCGGTCGAGGCATCGAATCTCTCCTCTCTGCACTTCCCGTGTTTACCAAAGCCGGTCTTCCTCTCTTCCCTATACTTGCACTCCTCACTAAACGACTGTCATCCGCGTCATCACTAATGATGGACTCTTCTGCAATCGTACTATCAATAGATGCTGCGTTTGGACTATACACTACCGGCGATAAATTGCCGAAGCTTTCTGGTATTGCGGCACTGGATGCGTATGAGGTATGTGACCGTGTTCTAGGACTTTCCTCTGGTATTGGTGATACGAATGACGCAGTCGAATAGTAAGATGAAGCTCCCCGCCTCGAGGATGGCGGCGGACCCAAATTGACGCTTCTTCTAGATGGTGGTGGTAGCGGAGGTGCGGCAACTGGTAACGGGAAATCGGGAATTGTTCCAACTGAAGAGTTAGTTGATTGTCTTGAAGATGTACTTTGTATTGTGTCGGGTGCTGACATCTCCGATTCTCTAGCGTTTTGAGGCATGTACTGGAAGATTGGCGTGGGCTCTTGTAAATGAGAACCATCTAGAATAGAAGGTACTCTACTGGGTCGCGGGGGGCGTTGGGGTGGCTGAGATCTTCCGGGCGGCGGTCGATAAGGCTCCGAGTCGGTAGAAGACGGTGCTGATATAGGTCCACCAAGCGGCCACTGTGGAAGCGGTGTCGGTCTCGATATCGCCATCCCAATCTGACCCTGCCCATCTCTAAACTGTAAACCCGGTGGCGCCTGAGGTCGTCTTGTCGGAGGCTCTGGAAAGGCTGATATATTCCTCCTCGGCGCACCCGCTTCAGCTAATTCTCTCGCTCTTTTAACGGATCCCCCCATGACGGGTGGTCGACCGGTATTCCGTCCATTTTGGGATTGACTCATTTAAACAAACACTTTGGGAGGCGCACAAGACCCGAACCAGATCTCCGCATTCCACTCTTCCACTTTTTCTTCCCAATTCCTTCACGGCCTTTGCCGTCTATATGAACCGCATACGCCAGTCCAAGCTTCCACCATGCAACTCCGAGTTCGTACAATGCCGGTAACCGATGGCCCGCCGGCAGGTGGATCCAGAGAGTCAAACGAAAACGAGTTCGGGAACTACTGGCCTCGTTTTCACCCCAGTAACACGGGAAATGACTTCGACGTAAATGAATTGAGGGTATCGCAAACGGAGAATTGGTTCAGCTCGCTCGACGGTCGTGAAACCAAATTGTCGTTTCCACTCTATCCAGAACAACGGCGGAGAAACCAAACGTGGTACCGATCCTACTTTTTTACCAAAAACGAACGGCGAGAATGAAAATACCTGCAGTGCTAAGCCTGCAGTAACTTAAAATTAAAAACGCAATCCAGTCACTTCAAAGCGAAAAGGATTATTGTGTGAAGCTGAAAATTGGCATGTTAGCTTATACAAAACAGAGAATGGAATTTGTTGAAGTGGAATGTTGAAGCGAAAGTACATGGGAATGAATGAATACAGGATTAAAGGATGACAAATTGAATATTAGGTACGAGATGCCCTCTGGCTCCAGAGCCAAGAGAACGTTACAAGTAGCAGCCGGAAACTACTAAAACGTGGTCTCGGTGCACTCAATTCGACAGACAGCAGCAATAATAACCGCAAAGGTACATTTTGACAAGTCTAGTTAAAGATATGGTGTGGAATAGGGGATCACGTACGTTTGACGTTTCGAGAGGTACTGGCCCTTCCTTGTACCAGCCCGATTTGGACCGGGGGTGCTTCAATGATGAGTCGACTTAGTCACAGACCGTGAGGCAACCTTCAAGATTGATACGATTCAAACGAACGAAATCCTATAGCAGTTTCCGAAGTCTTCCAAGAAAAGCCAAGGCCCATACACACGGTCGGACATGCGATATTTGCCGGTGGGATGGTGAATACAATGACGAAGCAGCCGTAGTCGTTGCACAAATGTATCTCCTAATTGGGTGAGAGTGGGGTGGGATGGCGAACCAGATGATGCGACCCTGAAGTCTTAGATACTGTTCGCGTTTCAGATTCGCGGACGGGACAAGGTCGGAATCGCGAGAAGACAGCAGAGGGACCAAGGCAAAAAAGGCTTGTGCGATGTCTAGAGAATGGCGATCAAAAGACAATCAGGCGAGAGACAACCGTTTGTGCACTTTCTAGTACAAGCTAGTTGGCAATACCCGACGGGAACTCGGGACCTCGGGAGTCCGTTTGGAGGACGACGGCAAGATCGATGATTGTTAATAACGAATGACGCGCAGGAAAACCTTTTGTCATCAAGACAGGATGGGATGTCCTGCAATTAGAATATTAAAAAATGAGTGTAAAAAAGAGAGAAAAGAGCGGTAAAAAAAAAAAAAAAAAAAAAAAGGCAATTGCAACAATCGCGGCGTTGTGAGACCAGACGACACTGGGTCGTAAAGTGAGATATATCGTGAAGGCGACCGGACGGAGGTTGAAGTTGGCAAGTTCTCGAATTCCGTCAACCCAATCAAGGTGGACAGAAAATCCAAGCAAACAAGTTCCACAAGGAAAGAGCAACTCGAAAGGAAAGAAGCGAGAAGCAAAAGAATAACAACAACGATAATGACAAGCAGCAGTAGCAGAGGAGAAAAGAGGAAACAACAAGACAAGCAACTACCAATCGCCCGGGAGCGACCCCGTCTGATCTGTACGTACTTCGGAGGTTCAGTCGTGCCTGGCATTAGCTCATGTCGTCTACGGGAAAATGTGGAGAAAAGGGGGGTCGTTCTTGGAGTGGCAGACTGTTAAAGCTTCGAAATGGCCAAAATGGCACCGAACTATCCAGGAATAGTCATGGGACAGTCATGGGAACCCTAGTAATCATGGCCGAATCTGAAAACTTCATTCCGTATCCCTACCCCTCGAAGCCGATTTTGAACAAACTCATGGGCATATCATCTACACTCGGACCCCAAATTAAAGTGACCTTATGTATCTTCAAGGAAAGTTGCTATGGTTGTTACGACCATGGTACGAGTCGCATAGATTTTATTTAAAATCTCGACGATGGCTCCAATCCGCCGCCTAGGCACCTGGTCAACTAGGCGCTACTCATGGCTGTCAATGTTCGATTTTAGCCAAAGGGCATAATTCATGGGATTCGTTGAACGGCAAGATTCAAACACGATGGTCAGTGAGCCCCCAGAGACCCCTGTTCGTGTCTAGAACCCCTGTAGCCACCAGAATTTACAGCGAATCAGTGAGCGATAACGGATGAGCTTCACCAATTAGAAACACTAGCGTCGTTACTTGCAGACGGTTCAACGCCCGTCATCCTAGACAGAACCCACCTCTTCTAGCCAATCCTGGTACACATCATACTAGGTACCTAGGTTCTCGTCACGGACTGAGTTGATTTGAGCGAGTCGGTCAAGAACAAAAACACAAATCAATCGTTGGTTGGAAGATGGAAAATATATCTCAAATTTAGTAAATAATATAGCAGGCAATATAGGTGAATATATGTCATATGAAGAACAAATTGAATGTCGAGTTTACTTTTCACTTAGAAAAGAGGCTTTTGAATGAAAGTGATCGATCATGTATTCGGTGTTACTGACTCCCCTTTCATTTCGATGCAGTAGCACGTTCTTGTCATACGAGCCAACGGATTGGGATGGCGTTTTTTCTTCTTCTATCTGCAAGCTGCAAAATAGATTAAGAACTAGGTAAAAGAGCCACTGTCTATAAATGGATATTTCGGTCAAGTTAAACAGACGAAGTAATATGTATGTGTCGAGATGCAACGATGGATCATTATTCTCCACCATGAAAATCAATGTGATACAGATGGTACTGCCAGGTGATGATACCGATGACTCGGATATTTTCACCTTCCCGCGCTATCACCAAACTGAAGTCTTCCTCAATCGGGTCAAAATAGTATCAATCCATGATATGAATTAGCTCGCCTTTCGGAAAGTTCCAGCGGTAAGGCTACTTAATTCGCGACCCGCGCCTTTGCATCGATATTATGTACCACGATGACCCAACTAGTCGGACGATGATGCGGTACTTATGGTGACGTTGAGACCATATGCTGTGACCTGCGAGTGCGATCGTCATACTAGTCGGTTCAGGGGTTGTAAAATCGCCTATTGGTCCTCTGCCCACCACTCTCGAATATTCTTGTCGCGCCCATTCTTCAACGAAGATTAGCAAGGCGCTTGTTTGTCCACTTAATCCATCAGATTCCTCTAAAACAAGTCGAATGAGGCGTCGTCGTTAACGAAGAGTAAAATTAAACAATAATAAGCCTCATAAAATCCTTCGAATTAATTCGAGATAATTAGATAATCAGCCCCCCCTTGACTCACATCACACATAAGCACTGTCGCTGTTCCTGCAAGCCACCCCATACTAATCTGCATCTCCTGCAGAGAATAATCCCGAGACGTTGGACTCCAAAAGACAAGTTCCGGATTGGTTCCAGCCTTTTCTTACAATGGACAAAATTCGTCCATTTGGTTTCAGGTCTGCTAAATCGTACTCACCTGTTCCATACGAAGTACACGATGCCGTTTCACTTGTATCCACCTTCACCCACCGGTTCAAACATCCTCCGCCGACCGAAAAATCGAGTGGAGGCGTCCTTACATATGCCCTGGCGTCGAGATCTGATTCTCAACATTTCAAATGTACAAGTCCCACTCTAACAACTAAACTCCGGACGACATATTTTTACAGCGCACAACCTTGCAAGTCGCAACGCAAGGCTGAACTAAACTAGTAACAATAATATGGATATCTCATGATTTCGCTGGCTTCAAGCGTACTTTAATCTCCTAGTACAAACATGATCTTCATCTCCATAAGATGTCGAGATGTCGAAATCCCGCTTTGCTTTAATTATGTCGATCCCCCAAGAACCGGAACATACCGTCGGTATGGCAATCAATCACTCCAGTTTGCTTCTTTCGTCCGAGCAGAACCATGGCCAAGCACCTAATAGGTAATCAAACTGGTGCTCCCCTGCGTCCCGGCCTCATATAGACAGATAGCTTATATCCGTCGTCCGTCGCTTGACTCCCGCATTGTTCACCGTCCTCCGTCTTCTAACAGGCCTAACCCAGGAAGGAAGATGGTATCGCGAGGACTCCCGGGTGGGGTTACTTTCCGAAGTTACCGTACCCCAAGTGACAGTTTTCTTCGGTGATTCGCGATGTATGCGCTCGTTTTTATCGTACAGGAGTGTGAGGATGCGGTCCTCGATCGTGTCACCCTTATAGCCGTAGAAGAACGCGAGTGCAAGCACGACAAATGTGACCGGGAGTGCGACGGTCCAGAAGAATCGTTGGTCGTATTCTGTATCCCTGATGTCGGTCGTGTTCATCCCAAAGAAACTCGAAACGAAGGATCTGTCAAGTAGATGTCAGACTTGGTGTGTTTGAGGCTTAATAAGGCTAATAGGTAAAAGAGCTTACAGGGGTAAGAAGAAGACGGTGACAATGGTGAACACCCGAATGGCCTTCCCGTGGTTCTCCTCGAGTATTTCAATGGTTTGCTTCACCTGCTCCTTGAGAAATTTCATCCTCTCACGTTGAACCCTAATCTCCTCGTTCTGATCTTGAAGTTTATCCATATGTGAATCAATGTAGCGCGATTCAATTCGGAACAGCCCCTCGCGGGAGGTATCTGTTACACGAAATGAGGTCGGAGAAAGAAGCCTTTTGTAATTGTCGAGTACCTGTATTTGCGATAAGACAACATTATGCAGTGCCTCTAGGTCTTCTTGTAGTCTATGAATGTCTAGAAAAACGCGTCTCCTTGGTCGACGATATGTTTGGTACCGAAGTTTTGATGTGTATTCGTGATATACTTGAAGCACATCTGTATCGGTATCTGGAAGTAGCGGTCTATTTTGGATGTTGACTGCTAGTGAGGCGGCAAGAAAATGAGGGCCAACAGATTCTATGCCAAGAGTATCCGGGCTCTGCGTAGCGATCCCCGAGAGTATAATATCCTCCTTTGAATTTTCAAGAAGCTCACAGGCACTGACAAAAGCAGCTTGTGCATCAGACTCTAATGACCTGATCTTGCGCCAGTAAGGTCCTGTTTGGCGCTTCTCGAAGCTAGATTGAAGCGAATCTAGCCCGTTTATGAACGAAAGTTGCTTTGAGGTGAGGAAGTACATGGATAAAATTTGTTGGAAAGCGTAGAAGATGCCACTAGGAAGAAACGGTCTAAACTTAGACTCGCTGCTTTGATGAGATGTAGTAGCGACAAGATAGTGAAGTTCCATCGCTAGATCTTTGACATTCGTTAAAAGCTCAATGAACTGATGAACTGCATTAATGATGTTCTTGCTCTGCGCCTGGTCAACTTCAGAATCATCGGATCGCCTCAACCAGACGAAACAAGGGTCATCATATGGTTTTTTGCTTTTTCCAGCGCTCGTACAACTCAGATGCTCGGAATGTAGATGATCAAGAGCCTCTGCATGCGAATCATAAGTCTTTCTCATTTTACAATCCTCGCAGTCTGCGAATGTCTTCTTGTTGGTTGGGGCCCTGGGTAGCGCCTTGGAAAGCGTAGAGTTAGGGGTGAAGTTATGTATCACCCAATGTGCTTGGTCTGACCCATTCCCTAGTGACCATATTATATGCTATTAGGGGTAAGAATCAGTCATTTATATCGTCCTGGGGTAAGAATACTCACTCGGAACATCTCGTCTAATGAGCCCCAGAACCGTTTGCACACTCGTTGAAAAGGCGCACTACCTTCTTTTGGAAGAAACGTTCCAAGAAGTTCTTGAGATAGTTCTAGGAGACTGTTCATAGCGGCTTCACCGGTTGCTAATAATCGAACAGACTCTTTTTCCTCGTCTTGAATATTCCTTGGTTCTTTTGCTGTTGGGTTGATTGGTAGTGTCGCTCGAGTATCTGGTACTTTGTCGTCTGATGTTTTGTTGGCATGTATATTTTTTTCTGAATTTGAATCAGGTCCCATGGGTGCCTGTCTATCTTTTCCCTTTTCCTGCATATCGACAACTGATGGTTTTCGATCCTGTGTACTTGGCTCGGAGGGTGGTATCGTTACCTTGATGAAATCATTATGCCTGTGTAGAAGATCATCTAGAGTGCAAGCATATATCTTATTATAAAGCTTGTCCGAACGGAGCTGCTGATCAGATTTAGCTAACATCTCAACGAGAATAACATCGGAATTAGTAGCTATATCGCTATCGTTTTCTGGTCTCATTTTCCAGTAAAAGAATGGCAAAAGTCTGATTTTGGGCATTGCACCAGACTCAGGGGTTCGGGTAACAGAACCCCTAGACCTGCTTCTTGATTGGGATGACTCGGACCAGGGATGCTCAAAGCGTACGGTTGATTCATCTCTCTTACTTTCCGCTTTGAAAATTTTAGTATTTGTTAATTGGGATTGGTTTTTAGTTTTTTAGTACACACCAGTTTTATATTCTTCGCTTAGTTTTATTAGTTCATCAATCAATCGATGATCTAGAGCTCTCTGTAGCACAATCATATCACCCTACATTTTCTTATTAGTATCATTATGGGAGGGAAAGAGGGGTTAAACAATTTACTTCATGGACAAATGGGTAGCCAAGGTCAATTATCGCCCGAATAGAGACAAGCTTCGCAGGTATTTTCGTCTTGCCCTTCTTTGGATACCTTTCAGGAGAAACTCTACTTGTCGTGTCCGTGTCTGAAGATCCTGCATCTGACGACTCAGAGTAACTTCTTGGAGAATCCCCTTGTCTCCATACTCCATCTGAGGCTTTATACCATCCTTGCCTTTGAGAATGTGTCGACGATCTCCGCCCTCGGCCAACGCCTATATCGTACTTGCTGGATGGCATAGCACGCGGCATCTCAGACTCTTTGTAATCAGATTCTGTATCCTATTAGATTGTTAGTTGAATTCCATAGCTCCCTTTTAATATCTATCTGAACTTACTGAAGAGACTGGAGAGGATCTCTGATTCTGTCTATCATCTGGCAAATCCCCAAGGCTGAATATATTCGGCTTTATAGAGTCGTACGCAGCATCGTTTATAATGATGTTGGGCTCCCGCGTAGGGGACCGTATGCGTTGTTCCCGAGATATGTACCGACCATTTTGTGAATACCTTCGTTGCGCTCTTGCGTCGTTAGATCTAGCTACCCTACGTGAGTCAAGCATGTGGGGTACCTTTCCTCGCGGAGGGGAAATGTCTTCATAGGAAAAGCCTCGGCGTGGTCGTGGTCGTTGTCGTGACCGCGAATGTCCAGAGTCCCTTCGTCTATACACTAAACCGTCGCTCATTCCACTAGAAGTTCTGCTCATATATTCGGTGGGTCTTCGCAAAACGACTTGCATGTCTTCATCTGCATACGGCCTGTGTTGAGAAGTGGATTCCATTCGGGTGGGCCTAAACGGATCATCGTTAGTATTAGGTCCCCGGAGTTTGGAGGTACGTAACATACCACTTCTTTGACTCTTCCTCATCATTATTGTCCCTTTCATCACCTACTTCATCTTTCCAGGTAATTAACTTTCTTCCAGTATTATTCTCCTTTGCTAATTCACCCGGATTCTCAGAGTTGTCCCTCGAAGAATTTTGCTGGTATCTAACAAGAGCCCATTTTTCGGGATCATAACCTGGCCTAGGCTCAGGCGACATCGTTCTATCTTCTGTAATCCACTCACGGCTAGAAGCGACCGGACGTCGAATTACTTCATTCATGACTACCCTGGATCTAGATCTGGATCTCCTAGTCACAAGTGGTCTTCTGCCTCTAATAATTGCCAAGTGGTCGTCGTAGAGCATTTCCCGTTGCGGGGCTCTTAGCTGTGATCGTGATCGCGACCGACTCCGACTTTCACGCATTTGCTGCTGTTGCTGTAGTTGGAACCTCGGCACGATATAAAATATTGTATCTTGAAGCTTTCCTTGTTGGATTAATGTGAGCCATTCTTGTGGAGTTACTAGATCACGATCCTCATCAAGTAATTCATAATCTGTCACACAGGTTCCCGTGCCCTCTTTAGCTAAAGCGAAGGTGTGCCTTAAAAAGTCCTTCATTCGAAAAGTGTCAGTAAAAGAAACACAGAGAGACATCAATTTTTCATACCACATAAGTACAGTCCGCGTCAATTACAACACTGTGGGGTCGCCTGTATTGGTCTAACACTCGCACGGTGAGAGGTCTTCGTAGACTAGATATCCTCTGGTCGATTTCAATGAGGCCTTTCGTCAATTCTTGCACCGGTAGCTCAGACAAGGTGATTAGAACATCTATTTGATGTAAGCCTTTCAATTTCTAGTGGAAAAGATCACTTGGGGCTGGCAAATCTTACCATTTCCTACCAAGAGACACCATAGCTGTGGAACGTGCGGTGTGCCTTTTGATGGATCCAAGCCCATCCTCTTCATGAGCCCATTATCCTGTCTGTCACTCTCAACATCGTATCCATATAAGCTTTCAAGAAGGCTAAACATGCGCTGTCCTTTGTCGACATCTGTAAAAGATGGTTTTTGGCTGAGTAAAAGGTAAGGACTTGAAATAAACATGACAGGCTGGTTCTGCGAATCCTTGTCGGCATCATAACTGCTGGTGCCCCGTAATATTGAACCAGATTCAACATAGGGCCCTCCAACTAGTTTACGAGATGCTCTACTCTTGACCTCACCTAAAACATTTAATGCAACTACTCTGAGTTCGTTGGAGATGTATGGTGAATTTATAACTAATTTCTAAAATCGGGTTAGCTTATAGTTGCCTAGCTAATGGTAGCAATCTACATACGTTTAAATCATCAAGTCGTAAGAGTTGCCTTTGTATATGCCTAGGTAGGTAATCTATAGTTTAGTTATGTCCAACACATGAATTCTTCACGGATACTTACAGCCATCTAAATTGCACCCCCGATGAACATGGTTCTGCCGGGGGAGGTCGATCAGGACACATCAGTCGAATCTTTTGCCACCCATCCTTATTTAAACTATATTCCGATGCGTGTATTGAAAACAGTCTGGAGACAGATCCGTCATCAAAAGTAAATTCATGCTGGCTCCATTCTGGATGTGCTGTGCTTGCATGAAAATTTAGTGGTAGAGATGTGGCTTGCGGAGATTTGGGGACTATGAAGGTCTTTGACAACCCCTCACTCTCGACTTCCTCGAAGGTTAACCCGGAATCTTCTTCGGTGAGAGTTGTGGATTCAACAACGCTTTTGTAGTCGTCCTCACTGTCATTCGAATCATAATAAGTGTTTCTACTAGTTGGTCTCGTAGTTCCTGGGCGCACAGACGGTGGTGGGCTAGAGTAATATCGCGCCGTACGAGGTCTAGCTTCATATGTGTAACTATCATCGGAATCCCATTCATATGCGCTCCGCCGCCGTCTAGGTAAGGAATATGAGGATTGGCGTCTATCGGGAATGGGGTCATGATAATCTCCGGAACGACCCGAAGGACGTGTAGAATAATTGCCAGCCATACATAGAGGTAATTATGAATTTGAAACATATGAATAAGTCCGCAGATAGAAATTGAGGAGAGTTGATGTAGATTAATATCAAGTTCTCGAGCTGAAAAAGCTTCAGGTCAGCTAGGGTTACATCGAATTCCATAGATGGATTAGCACCTCCCGGGATGATGCCATATCGGATTTGGGGGCCATATCCAAAAGGGCCACCCAACCACCCCTCCTCTTTGTCGATCAGCCTCGATAGCATGCAGTAGGTAAGATCTAATGCTTACCTAAAATATCATCACCTAAGTAGCCAAGTGGGTATCATCTTCTGGAAGACATCGGCAAGCTTCGACTGGCTAATTGATGCGTGTAAACCCATACCTACCTGCTAGGTACCTCACTGTGGAGAGAGGTAGAAACAAGCCATTATAACGTACCTAGTCTGAATTATATGCGGGTTCTATTACGCTCTGGTTTGATAATATTAGATCGACTATGCCATATGTGCTTTATTTTCTGTTTCCCATGTATGCTGTAATATTTTAGTTGTTTTCATATCGTATGATAGGTCGCTACTTTACTTGTAGTAACTGATTTGAGGTCGGGTTAGTATAAGGAATGGCTGACAGCGATGTTGGCGGCTCTTCGCCATTTGGTGTTGCGTTGATAGGAAGAACCACCAAATTCGTTACGTTCTGGTTAGGATAAGGTTGTGAGGCTTTCCTAAAGAACGACAGACGCACTGGGAGACATCAATCGAGCCAGAGCCTCATTTCGTTGCCCATGTCCCTTAGCAATCTCTTGAAATCGATCGCACACTCGACCCCCACACGGAGTGTGCGGCAAGTGTACATCGCATCCCCAATGGAATTTCCGAGACAGTTAGACTAGATCGTTCCCGTACACCCCGACCGCTTATTGAAGGTGGCGGGCACTAGTGGCTGCGAAGTAAGCGCTGTGAGATTTACTTCTTCATCGGCCTCAAGCTTTCGTTGTCCCGTATCGCATTCGACATCTTCAAAATCTTATAGAATTGATACAAGCCTAGGAAGTAACGCTCGGTCTTCTCAATCATCTCATAGAATTTATCATCTGAAGAGATCTCCGCAGCTACAGGGTGTAGCGTCTCTGCCGTCTTTTCGACTTCCGTATCTGTCTTTATATGTGATGGCGTAACCGACTTTGGCGAGCGAAATCACCACAGATAATGGCAAATCTATCCCACACACACCCCCCGGGCGATGGCAGAACGAAAAGAAAGGGCTTTGGTTTGGGGGTGTGCTATTGCCTCCCAGCCTTATGCTCCAGTAGCGGCCGTGGAACCTTCAATTCGGCACACGAATACCTACCTAGCCTAATCAAGATTTTCTACAGCGCCTCATTAATCGATTCCGGACAATCTAATTTCATCAATTAGCCGTGTGAACTGCTTCCAAGGAATAGTGAACCGTCAGATAACCATTGGAAACCCGAGCTAAATGAGTGACTAGATGATGGCGTTAGTACATATGTGATCTCAATACCATGTAGTATATCATATTCCTAAAACCATTATGTCTTCATAAGAATTGGCGTTTTATAATCAATCAGAGGATTCAATGTTGATATTTTCATGATGCGTACCTAGTACATGTAAATACTTACGATAGACACTGTGACACAGCATCTACTGCAGCCTTTGCGGGAATTTTGGTGGTAACAACAGTTCCTTATGGTATCTAGTGATTGCACTCTAGTGCTCGGCTTCCCAGAAGTATACTCGTTTAGGTGCCGGTTAGGAGGGGGTATCCGTCGAATGATAGTCGACATGGCCATTGATATAGGTGTTTGAGACACTCTTCCTGCAGATATAAGGATTTCTCAAGACAATCCAAGGTACTTTTCGAACGTATTTCGGTCATAATAATCGCAGTAATGATTGCCGCTACTTCTGCTGTGCTGGCAATTGCACTTACGCTCGCTGAAGGTGTTATCCTAATAAAAAGTACCGCTAGCTCGACCACGCAGATCACCGAATGTGGCTGAACGGCAATGCTGAGACTGTCGATGAAGTATATGAACCGCTACAAATGATTGGATGATTTACTAATTCTGGTATCCACGCGCTCGGGAATGATATTTGGGGGTCGGGGTTACAAAGGGTCAAACTCCATCGTCACTGGCGACAGTTCTGCGCGAAGGAGGTCTGAGGTAGGCTAAACTGACTTCTCGAATGTTGATTTCACCGGTTGCTGGCTCTCTTCATTCAAAAAAAAGTCGTGCGTTCGGAGCAGCTCTCTAAACAGGATATTGAGAGAGATTTTCCGAGAAAAAAATAAAAGAGCCACAAATAGTTGCTAATGATATAAATATTGGTTTGGCAAAAGGCATTGATGACGACGTCTTAAGTAACATTTTAGCCGCACTAATAAGAAATGCTCCATCGTGGAAGATACCGAATATTACTGTCGTGTCGTTTTCAAGCTAACCGTAGTTTGAAACCAGTTTTTAGGAAATGCGCAACTCGTAATTCGTGTACGATGCGTAACGCATGTACAAAGTACATATTTCGTATAACGATGCTAATAATAGGTGAGGTAGGCGATACGATCACGTTGCCTGTCTGCCTGGTTAATTTAGCTGAGTCATGTGACATGACGTGTTGGTATGAATCGATGAATCCGGCTTGTTCGGATTGCTAATGTACCAGAATCTAAGAACCTTTAGGGGTAAGCGCCGTATCTAGCGCTGACCACACTGTCCGTTACTTCCGCACAGACAGATGGCTCCAACTGGCAGCGTCTCGAAACCTTAACAAATCAAGCTAAAAGTCAATTTCCCAGCTGGCAGATCATCCTCGTCACCGTGTATCACCGTGTAAGGTTTGAGACAGCCTACAGGTCGTCCCTCCCAAGTTTCCCCCAGTCCCGCAGGGTCCGTAGCAACGTCTACCTTTATTCAATCCGTCAACACGCCACCCATCATTCCTTTCCTTTCCTTCATCAAAACAACTACAAAGCCCTACCTACCTTCGAACCTTGCGCTTCCATGAAGTATTAAACCTATCTTTCTACTGTTACTGTGTTTGATCACGCCTTAAAATGCAGTTGACATCAATCATTGCCGCCGCGGGTCTGGCGGCTTACACCACCAACGCTTTATTATTACCCCCTGAGATCTCCGAAGCCGACAACCGTCTAGCCAGCACACTTCCGGTTCCTGTCTCAACCGCCTTCGCCAACGATGCCAGACGTCTGAAGCTCAAGTGTCCTGGATGCCAGGTCCGCAATCCTCATCACATGATGGCCGAGGTTGTGAATAATATTCCTAGTCATCTGGATCTTGAATTTAGTGTTGAGTCTACTGGTAGCACCGATCGCTTGATGCTGAACGGCTTCGAACTCTACCCTAACGCAGACCCTTTCCGAAACAGCCTTACTGCCGTCGTTCGTCCCGATGTTCCGCGCCGACAGACAAAGCGACCGATGCATTTCAAGGATATTCAATCACCACAAACCCTCGGCTTCGGCATGCAGACGCGTCCTATTTCCAACCCCGAAGAGTCGTTAGAACTCGTTCTAATCGATCTCGATATTATTGAGGTCGGCGAAGTCTTCGTTGATGGTATTCCGAATGTTCAGGTCAAACTTGTGAAGACCCCCACCGGGCAGTTGATGATCGGCGACATTGAGACTACGGACCCGAAGCAGAACAACCCTATGGATAAACAAGAAGAGTGCACAACGATGCTCTGCAAGTGGAAAGCCATCATCATGCAGAAGCTCGCCAGCCTCCGTCTTAACAAGGGCTGCGGTGGTCATCGCGCTCACGGCAAGGGCCACGACCAAGTCAAGCAAGATGGATCTATTAACGTGCGCCCTCAAGATGGTAATGACAGCCAGCCGCCTGCCCATCGTGAGAGGAACTGGGGGCTACTGTTTAAGAACATTGCCTCGCACATCCTACTCCCGGTTGCCATCGGTCTCCTCGCTGGTGTCGCCGCTAGCATGTAAGATTTCCCAACCGCAAAATACGTAAGATGTGTATACTAATTGAACAATAGCCTCGGTATGATGGTTGGTACGTTCGTCGTTTTCCTCTGGCGACTAGTTGCCCGCCGAGGTAGCTCCCGACGACACCACAGACACGGACATCACCACAAGGCTTCTCACTCCGAAGCTGTTCTCCGTGATGAGAAGTCGGGTCTGATGGCCCATGTTGAGGAAGACGATGTCCTTCCCCCCGTCTACGTGGAAGAGGGCATCGTTGTCCTCGACGACAAGAAGACCGACAATGTAGCCTAAGAAATGATACCCCCCGTCGTTTGCCTGTGACTTCAACTGGCTTCGACTTGATACCAGATGTTCTAGTGAGGATTGATGAAGAGATTTGTGACGGCTCGCTGGACTGAGATGAACTGAAAAGAAATAGTATGGCGTTGAGATCATTAGCACATAAGGACGAGAAAATTCTGGACCTGGAAAATGGCCAGCATGGGAGTGCTCTCCTTTCCAACTCTTTTCCTTTCTGGTTGTAATAAGTAACCTAGCAGGCAGAATGCACACGTTCCTTCCAATTAACATCAATATTAAATATCTCAATGTCAACTGTCTACAACTATCGTGAATCGAATTGCCTCGTGTGAGTGAAGCACCCCGCTACCAAATCGATGACGTTTTTCGATACTTGATTAAGGTTACGGAGTAGTGGATACCGCCGTTGAACACTACATATTCTAGCGTGCTGGGTCGCGTCTATTAGTTCGCCCCAGCTCTATCTCGTATCGAAATATGTAACCTAAATTACTTCGGTAGGTCGTACTAAGTTCATACTACGTTCAACGTCAGTCAAACCCTAGAAGCTATCGATAGCCCCTTTCCCCTTTTCAGTTTTGTTAGTAATCTCCTTATGAAGTATCGCACCTTACATTATATGCAGGCTTCAACTCCTTTTCAAAATTGCCTCGAAATAATAGTCGAAAATTTCTGCTTCAAAATGAGATTTAAATATCCCGGTCTAGAAAACCTAGTCAGGATGAAGGGGCCAGGCATGAAAGGTTAATATATCTTAAAAATATTATGTGTTTAGTTCTATCAAAGGCATAGGTCGACACCGTAGAATGGATACCAGCTCATTATGTCCAACACGACTGTCATTCTTCACTATCGTCTACCTAGTGCCTATACACATCACCATCCTTGAAGGTACATAGTACCGTGCTGAAGCCCTAGCTGCAGAGCCGCCTTCTCATCTGGGCCGCCACCTCCAATCAAACCTATACCAACCCAGCCCTTGATAACATACCGCAGGGTAAAGGTGAAAGCCGCGATCGTCCAAAAATAGCCTATCAGGACCTCAAATCGAGCAAGATCCTCCTTCTGCTTCGGGCTTACAGACTTGCGCCAAACCCACCGCAAGAAGTCCTCGACGCTAATGATCACAGGCTGCAACATGAAAAACGCGAACTCGCCGTTCTCGTGGCGCGAGACGATATATGACTGATACCTGTGTATGCAACAGCTGATGTAGAAGGTGGAGTAGAGTTGCAGGTAGCGCGAGCCGAATGTGCCTTTCTTCAAGCAGAGGAAACGCGCAAGTCGGAGTCCTGGGAATTGGAAGGGCTGTATAAGAGAAAATGGGAGTTAGTGATACATTATGGAACAGTAGTCACACCCACACCCCAACTTTAGAAGTTACTTACTTTCCGCATAAGTTGGTGGTACGAAGTACTAGAAAGTCCAGAATCGTTAGTCAACCAGTCCACAAACTCGGATTTTAGGGGATGCATTACCTCCACACTTGTCTCACGCTCCATGCGTCGCCTAGAGAACCAAACACAGGTGGCCACTCCCACGGCTCACAGATCCCAAGCATCACAGTGATAGCAGCACCAGCCGCGTTCGAAGCTCCGATCGTATTCCAACTCCAAACCGCACCGCACCACGCCACCGTCGTGTCGAGGAGCCAGTCAGCGACCAAGGACGTCGTCGACAGCTGAACCGCCTTGCAAACCCCGATGACGTAGACCGCAACAGCTTTCAGGGCCGTGCGCCAGACAACCTCGACGACCTGTCCCCAAACGAACTGAAGAGGAGGCAGGTTTGCGCCGGGATGGGGCGGTACGTTTTTCACCTGCCAATCCCAACCAATGCCGCGCGGCGTAGCCGTCAACCGAACCGCCCACTTCAGCTTCTGCAAGTACGTCGGCGAGTCCCTGTCCCCAACGCCGCCACCGGGCAACGGCTTCTCCGGATTTCCAATATACCGCGGGCCGCCATCCTTATTGCCGGCGTGGTATACATGCATGATCCACAGGACGAAGAACATGCTAGACATAGTGTAATCCGTGACGACGTCGCCGCTGGTGAAGAACGGGCGGTAGAAGGCGATTATCATGAGCACGTACGAGGTGATCTGGGTCTGGAAGAAACCCGGTCCGAAGAAGTACGCGAGAATCACGACGGCGTAGGCGATCGGGATTTGCTGCGGTGGAAGCGGCAGCCGCTCGGAGACCGGGGGGTAGTGGGAGAAGAGCTCCATTACGCGCGAGTTGAACTCGGAGATTCCCATCTTGCCTGAAATGTCCTCTCGGTAACCAAACGCGCGCGCGCTTTTTTTTAATACAAGAAAAAAAGGAATTGGGGATGTGAAGTTTAGGTTGACATGGTGATTAGACGAAGAAATGATTTAGCTTCGGTCAGCCTTGAATATATGATTTCGAAGGAAGTTGGAACTTGTCCGTTTTGAGACGACGAGCTGAAGATGATGCCCCACATGTTGGATGCCTGCCTACAAACGCCCTAGGACCTAGGTCTCTCAACTAAGGCATCAAAGACATTAGCTACCTATTGTTTTATAATATTTCCAGGCACATTATTTTGCGAGCCCTTTAACTTCAGGCCTAATTCAATAAATATGCCATATCATGATGAACATTTCGCATCATGGTGGTCGGCGTTAAGCGTAGGGAATCTGTATGAAAATGTGGAGGTATCTGCAGATATTTTAAAGTAAACGACGGCGTGCGGCACAGTCTATTCACAATACATGGCAGTTCTTCATTCGCCTTTCTTTTCCCGTGCCGTGAATGTTGGTCATCTCGAAACAATATTGACTGCTAGGCTTTTTTTCTCATTTACGTTCTCAATCCTACCAATTCTCAAAGGACAGGCTGACAATGGAGAGAAAATTAAAGGGTGATGAGTTACGGCAAACTACCAACAGGATATCTTAATTGCTAGGTCCTTAGGTTTATCCTGAAAGCAATAGAATTGAGGATGGCTGGAATTGCTATTTGAGCTGTACTCAGATAGGTATGTTGTGACAATATCATGTTGAGTTGAAAGGTAATCGTTAACATATTAAGGTATTTTTAGATGATCCGTTCATATTCGATGAGTAACTCAATTACAATAAATCAGATCTAAGATGAACTATCATCGATTTCTAGCCGCAGAGGACTAGCTAGGTATATGTATATCTAGGTATCTAGCAACTATGGATACTGGTAAGTGGATTTTCAGTTGTTGTTAGAGTGGTAAGTTACCCCTTTTACCCCTTTTCCTGATATCCACCGAAGTTTTAACGTACCTGTCTACTTCCTTCTACAACCCTAACCAAAGCACACCTATTCTATTCTTTTGTCGTCACTTACACAATTCAAAGCATTCGACTGCAAATGTCATGCTCTAATGAAAAGTGTACGAGATCGTTGCCGACAATTTCGGCTTCAGTGAATTAGGTATTAGGTAAAGGTATCAATCTACATGGAAACACCATCCAGCTTATTAATTGAGTTAATTATAAACACTTCGTTGCTAACACCTAACAGAACAACTATTCATACCCCCTATACTTGGAAAGACGAGTCATGCCTACGGATGGGTGAAATGATTGTAATGTTGTGGCAGGAACTAATTGCGACATCAACACACCAACGCCGCCCGGATACGAACGGCATGTTCTCCGTGATGCTAAATATCTTGGGATATTATAGCAGCATCTACATCTGATTCTCCAAGTCGCACTCATCAATCCTACTCGGACGCTGGTCACCGAGTTCATTTAGATTACTCCAACATAGTTCTTCAGATCGAAATACAAGGACAGATCTAGAAAACGACGGCTCTAGTATGTGTTGAGTTGCAACTCCCTTGTCGGTTATTTTTCTGGGTAGCGATTCTAAAAATGAGAGTTACGGGACAGAGCATTTTTCTTTAGCAATTGAACCTATTGTGTGTTCTTTTGTACCTAGGTGTCGTGGCGTACAAGAACGCCAACCGAGCCGTTAACCCTAACCCTACCAACCTTTATCCTAGCATACCTAGGACAAATCTCCAGGGCTTACATGTATCGAGGAATCTTGGGGAGCTGGCTTCGAAGATCTCACATAAACTTCACCAAAATATTGAGTATCTACTAATCTTTCCAAACACCTAACTTGATCCACGGCATAGTCGATACAGACCGGTCGTCCTTTCAAGATGAATACACATTTCGAAAATCCGGTTCAAGCGACAGCATCCAAGATATCTGCGAACTATTAATTACTAGGTAGACATATTACCGACTAATAGGAGCATCGAAAACGAGCGCGATCATGTGAAATAGATAGAATGCAGAAAACGAAGAACGCAAAGCAACGTAATAGCGAGCAACCCAGGTAATTATCATACTCACAACCATCCACGCACATAACGAGAAGATCACGATAACGACATGGTATCTCAAAGCAGTCAACACCAACTCCATAAGCCCTCAATCAAGCCCCTCCAAACCCGAATCCTATCCTCCCAATTTCCGCATCCGTATCTGATCTATCACAAACCGCCATATCACGAACGAAACAAGTGTCCTCGCGCAGGAGTAAAGCCGTCAAGTACCCAAGTAGAGTCGCCCAATCGGGCGTCCTGCCTGCTAGTCGCATGCCTTACGTCGCCTAGAACGACCGAAAAATCGAGGAAGCGATACGTGCTACCCTACGCGGATACAGGTGCATGCGCACAGAACATGGGATCGCAGAAAAAAGATGGGGTTGCGCTCTGGCGCGCACACCTACAGTACATACATACCTGCCATTACACATGCCTACGGCATATCCCGTCCGAGCCCTTACCTGAGCGCCCAGCGTAACGGCGCGGCAAACGATGCCTCGCGGGCGCTGCATTCGCCAGGAACGAGGCGGAGACCTCTCCACGCAGAGCGATTGGACGAGCCCCTTGCATGAGGTTTAGGGCGTATGCTGTGCTTAGGTCGTAGTAATATAGCCCTATTAGATCTCCTGCATGTCGCGGAGAGTTCCTTATTGAACGCGCAGCAGGGGCCGGTCGTTGAATTTTACTAACTTAGGTGCTGTAACTATGCATTAGAATTACGGGTATGCGCGCCTGCATTCGAAGGAGTATCTCTACACCCTTTTCCATCATTTGCCATCAAAAGTCCATTACATCTAGACCCAGCTGCCAATTCTTTGCCGATTACGTGGGGGGGAAACAAACCGAGGATGCCGGTCGATGGCACAGCCTATCCTCGGGCGTCCAATAGGTTCAGCCAATTCAATACCATCATAGCCTTTAAGAGGTTTCCACGCATGTCCATATGCACACCGTCGTATAGAGTCGCTTGAATGCTCATATTCCACGTCCCGAGGTGGTCCACCCTCTTCTTGGCAGCATGAACTGCCATCGCGTGCTCGAATCGGACCAGGGCCTTGTTTCCCTGACTAACGATCCACTCATCCGGCTTCTTCTCTCCCGCTGCGTTCGGCGTCATCAGAAGAATCGGCAAATTCTTTCTCGGGCTACGGCCCCGTAGTCGCATGCGCGCTCCGGTTTTCGACTCAATCGTGTCCAGCACCAAATCTAACCAGTTCACAGCTTGGTCTACGTCCAGATTATTCCAAAGCCCGTGGCCCAGGACGAATGCCTTCAGTTGGGAAGGGTTAGGATCAATTGCCCTCTCGAATCGGCGGCGCTCTTCGTCCGGGATGGGATATCGCACCATCTGCTCAACTGCCATCATATGTCAACATAAACCGGTCGCCGACATCACACCGAGACCTACTCCGCAAGTCCGTGTTCCATTCCGGAATCAATTTCGGACACATTAAGCTCAGGGGATCGTGCTCAATAACATCTGCCGTGCTAAAAATTCCCTGAACCGAACAGTCGTGGACGTCAAACTGGTTATTGCAGAAACACTTGCGTCTGTTGACGTTGCATTAGCGATCAGGTAATGTGATAATTCTTAAGGGCGCATAGCATCTATCCATACTTTTCCTCGGCATCAAAATTCCAATCTGTGACTCCACCATATCCTAAATCCTCCCGAATCAAGATATTCAATGCTCCGATGACGTGTCTCAGCATAGAGTCGCCCACGAGGATGACTTGTGAATATCGGCCGAGGATTTCACATGCTTCCAACGTGCTGAACCATCGCATGTCGCAACCCCGAGGCACGTACGGGGAATCCTTGCCAACCCGACCCCCGGACGACATGGCTGTCAACATCGAATTTCTATCCGGGCAGATAGACCCAAAAGGTATATGGAGATCTAGGGAAGAAACATTGCAATCTCCGCCACGATGTTTATATCCGACCAAGGTATCTTTTAACTCCCTTGTCCGCGATTCCGGCAGGAAGCCGAGAGGAAAGCCGTATTCGCGGATTTTTAAGTAGCTGACGTGGCCCATAGATATCCCTAAAAGAGAGTTCCAAAAGAAGATAAATGCGACAGTAACGACCAAAACCACGAGGTATTTCCCAGTCTTCCTACACGATCTTGGAGGAGCCGGTATCCAGGGGCTTCCGGACTTCAACGGCGCAGTGAAAGACGTGGAAATATCGTCGGAGGTCGAAATTCGAGACCTTGATCGGCCGCGACGGTGACTTTTATCATTGTAGGCATCGTGTGACTGTTCAAAAAATGTACCGTGTATATCGTCGCCAAACATCATATCTGCGTGATTAGTTGTGCCTTTTTTCTCGAATTCTAACCTTGAGTTTGGTAAAGTGCCATTATTCTACATGTATGAGGCGACGTTGATTAAGTTGTTACTAGCTGCTACTAAGTAGTCGTAAATTGGTAGGACTTTCCAAGAGGCATTGTCAAATTAGGGTACGATTACACAGTAGCAGCTTCCTCTCAATAACCCGTACTTTACAATTCGTATACTTGGTGGTTCATAGCTCCTTCAATTCATCTGAAGTTTACGTAGCATACCTAGTAGTGTCTGGGGATTCGCTTTCTTGATGGATTCTTTAAGTGTAAAGGGGGATACCTAGGTATTCAAGGGCAATCCTACATAACTACGATAACACAGATACTCAACCTTCTAGCTAAACTCCTTTGGGTTAATGTATGAGTGGTATCTATTAGAAATATATAAAAATGATAGATGTCATCATCCATGAATCTCCTAAAGATTATTAAACCCCACCATGAACATACCTGAATGCTCATTTAATAGGTAATATGCCTCTTGTTAGCCTTAGCTACTAGGTACCTATATGACACTTTTGAAAAAGTGCTAGAAGTTATTACATACCTAGGTAGGTATCCATGGATTAGTGATGGTTAGACCATCCCCTGCAGGAACACTTACCGAGACGCCAGACGGGTTAACTCTTCACACCTATCACGGACTGATTGATTGCTCAAACCCCGCCCTTAGATGTATCTCATTGGCGTTGCCAAAGTCGTAGGCAATTTGAGTTCCACTGATACCTGCCCAGGTGGGCAACATGAGGGAGTGTACTCAATGGTAAATGTCTCACCCCAAAGGAGGGCGATGGGCATCGGCCAAGGCAGCGAGTCCCTGGGAATCGCTACACAGTGAAGGCATGGGCTTCAAGAAGAAACAATGTGTGCGTCCAACGTAATTCTAGTTGCCATCACCATGAAGAAATTGACGAGTGTGTGAATAAGGTAGGAGTCGAAGCTGAGGTGGACAACATGTAAGGGAGAGCTTGATGTTCAGGTATGGGAGAACAAACAAGGGCATAGAGTAGTAAGACTATAAAGTGCCGGCTAACGAACAACAAGGGACAATAATATATACAGAGCAGTTCTAGGTATTTATGGAGCAAAACATCCCAGCTCCAATATACTCCTATCTATCTATTCTCGCCTCATTTACCTAGGTAGGTACAATTGATCACAGAAACCCCGACTAAGTTGTTAGGGACGCAAGACTACCTAGGTAGTTATACTCTAACGGAGGTAGTTTGAGATACTCCTCTCATTGGAGGTTCAACATTTGCATGATCATATTGATAGTTTCTTCGGTTTAGGGGGGTTGAGCATCCCAAGTCTCAAGGACGTTATTCTGAGCTTATAAAGATATTATAACTAAAGAATATAGTTTAGGTACCTAGGTAGGTAGGTATGTCTAACACCATAACAAGTATCTTACCCGTTAATCCGTAAAATAGTGATGAGTCCTATACCAACAGCAAGGGCAAATTTTACAACTGTGACTTCCAAAATGCGCGGGATTTCTAGTATCACATCATTGCCCTTGCGTTCAAACCTAACTCTCCTGCCAGGACTCTACCTAGGTACTTTATTTTCTAATTCTAGTCTATACCTATATATTCCTAATAACCACTTCAGTGTTGTGTTCCTTTTGTCAACAAGCATGAATCTAAAGATCCCTCCATACCAACCGGACGAAACGCAGACCTCCAAACATGAAGGTCAATCTCCCATGTGTAGACCAGTGATGTGCGTTGCCACGCTGTCTCCCAACGCATTGCTTCCATGGGGAAACGAGATGTCACTCCTATATGCAAACACGAATGAACAGATATCAACATGGCCAAGAATTTCGATAAAACGCTCCTCCTAACGTCGTCTCACATGGTAATGATTACCTGTAAGGGTTGCTATGATAAGCGACATCGCAGATTTTCCAATATATGGGGTCTGAACCAGCTCTTGCTTCTATTAACCCAGATGAATCATCTTTAGTTGCATCACTACATAGGTACCTAGGTAGGTAGAGAAGCGTTGAAGGGCTACACTGGGGTGGCCTAGCAGGGCATGTTTGGGACGTCCTTTCACTGAGGTAAATTAACGTTAACGGTCTCTCGTCAAACTTGGTTTATATCTCAGCTCATTTTAGATCATATCTACACTTAGATTGATACAATCCCGACTCTGTCGTCGTTCATGTGAACTAGATATCTGCCTGCAAGCAGGGGGGTTTAGGCTAGGCATTTAAGAAACATCTATTCTGTTCTATAGACAAGCCATTCAACATTTCAAAAAGTCCCATCATAAGCTCCAGCCATACGTGCCTCACAACCCGCCGCCAAAACACATTTATTGATGGAAAAAATATTTATATAAACGCAGGACCTCGATCTGCATAGTCTTGGCGTCGACAGATTTCCTCAAATAGAAAACTGTGGAGTGGATGGATTTGGTCTTGGCAGGGACCGTTTGATTATCAACTGTTTTATTACATAATGATCTCTGCGATCGCCTCCATCTCGTCGGAGAATAAATCACCACCTACATAATTTTCTGGGGGGTTGGGAAACGTCGGTACGTACTAGAAAAAGCGGATCGCTATCGAGATTCGAACAAGTACATACATGATATAAAACTCGACTCGCCACTTGCGTACATTTGGAGGCGTATTGGAGTTGTATGCTCTCCTTACGCTCATTGGATGCATATATGAGGAGGACACCTATATTTCATCTGTTATTTCGCCGATGGCAAACCCAATAGAAATTTCTGGAAGTGATCATTCGACTACGTGTTCTTCATATAACTGACGACGATACTGGGTGGTATTTCGGGAAAGGCGGGGTCATCCAACGGGGACATTGAAGGCAAGACGTCAAGTTCGGGGCCGCTCGATCTCGGAGAATGCGGGGGTGGAGCGGCATGGAATGAATCTGTGTTTCTGTCGAGGCCTAGGTGAAGGTAGGGACCGAGCGAAAGCGAACTCTGGTTTGACCAAAGGTTTTGCACGGTCCTGATGGCAGTGCTCGGATCGCCACCCCCTTTTTATTGAAATCTTAGTAGATCAGATCTAGACAGTGGCGTAGATCTCGGTAGTTGAAAGGCTTGGAAAGTATTGCTATCACGTTTTGCTGACCTCCTCTATTCCACTCGTGTCGGTCGAAACCCCAGTATAGGTTGTCCTAACAATTGGCGGCAGGAGCCGTGTAAGCTTGAGGTCTCACTGCTGCAAAAGTGGCGATCCATGGACATCCCTCTTTTTGAAATGTACCCAGATAGGTACTGTACTTGGTGCCTGACTGGCATCGAGCACGGATGCAAGTGCAGCAGGAAACATGTGACTTCCGAAGCACGCGGGTCACCGCCATTCATTAAAGGGTCTGCCGGATGGCTAGTCGCCCAATTTGCTGGGTTGCCCTACGACCATAACCGTGCGCTGATTCGGCATCAACGGTTGATTTACAGGCAACAAGCATCATATGCACGTGTATGAACGCCTCGCGTTGTTAGAAATGAGGAACGAAAATAGTAGACGGTTGTCGCCGTTACGCTTAGAACGCCGACCAGACCGATTAGCTAGCTCGTTCGAGAATTAATTCCAGAAAGACCCCAAGGCGCGCGTGGAGTAATTCCATGCGAATAGTACTCTTAGCACGAGCCGGGTATAAGTACCCGGGCATGGGTCTAAGCAAGGGGCCACACTGAGCTTTCATGACTTGCCATATTTGATAGAAGCGATCCTATGGTGGAGCCCTAGACCCTCTTCCCGAGGATATGGTATCATATCCAGAGCAACTTTGCTGCTTCAATATCCTGTTTGAGCAAGCAACGCCGCGATTGTCCTCGCGGCGATGCAATTCGAAATTATCAAAGGTGCCCAAGCTGCAAGATAAAAAAGATAAAACGCAAGTTTATCACTGTTTAGCGACACTCTTCATAGGCGAGTGGGAGGTACTGGCTTCTGTTAGGCCAGTATCCTTCGCTGGTGATAGGTCAGATGGCACCTAGCCTCTTTGAATAGACTACCGATTGAGACCTTACTAGGTACCTAGGTAGGGTAGGTAGCTACTTACCTGGTAGGTAAGACGTCGATCTGGAAGAATTCTAGACATTTTAGGTCTCAGAGGGCAGTGAAACATCGTGGGGGTCGTTGGGCTATGCTGTGTTGGGCAGTGCATCGGTACATCGGTGTATCGGTGACGATTGATAGACGTGTTTCAATCTCAGCAACACCTCGTTTCTCCGATGAAAGGGCTGATGAAGCTCATTTCCAACCCCCCCTCTAACCATCGCGCTTGCGCTCAGAGGACGAAACTACCGGCCTTGTTCGCTAGGAGTAGTGCTTCGTTCAGCCAACAGGCAGCCTTGCCGGGAGAAGCTTAGGCCTAGCTTAAGCATACAAGTCGAATCTTCCGAGGTCTCGAAGCCAGGAATGCCCTGTATCGTTAAGAGAATCGAAATCTGGTTTGCGCATTACCATAGTACAGCGTACTCCAGGTATGCAGTCAGCCCGGTTCGGCAGTGGACGACCCCGATGAGCTGGTCGCTCGTTAAATTAGAAGCTTTCGCCGTTTATACATGGTAAAGGATTCCCCGAAAGCCTTTTCTTTTACCTTTTCCTTGGAGATTCGACAAGGATTACTCCTGCGGTCAGCAGTAGGTATCCGGAGCGCCGGGAAAACTGTTCTAAAGATTTAGCATCTAGACGATTCTAGCACCGATTCACAATAGCACTAATTCCAAGTTATTTATGTATGCTAAAAGTTGGCAAGATAGATAGCCAGGTAGATATGCAAATTCGCAAAAGTCGTCCCATCGGGAAGCCCCTTTGTTGAGTTTCAAGGCACCCTACGAGACGTGTGTGCCTCCGAAATGGGCTGTAATAGGTAGATAGGGATTAGACCACCATGTTGTTCCCAATGGCGCCATGCATGAGGCTGGGGACATCTGCCGTTTCGACGAATGAGATAATCCCCGCAGAATGCATAATCCATTGGTTTAAGCTTGGTGAATGACACTCGATGCAACTACAGTGCCTCGATTAATTAAACCCCATCGAGGACCCCATATTGCTTACTCGAGCAGTCGAGATGCGTCTGCGCGGGCGTAGATGTGTGCGTATTGACCACATATTGCGTTGCATCTCTCCTGCATGAAGGTATGTAGGCGTGCCATGCTTGGAGGGGTCGGGGTCAGTAGAAGACAGGTCTCGAAAGCCAAGTCTTTACATTTGTACCGTACTGTACTGTAGACTGTAGTAGACCGTAGACTGTAGACCGTAGTAGGTAATAGGATAATAGGTAATAGGATATCTCGTGGTCAAGCTTCTAGTCCAGGCACGATGGTGCTTTTGGAGAAGCACGAATCGGGACTCGTTCCATCTATTGTCTCAAGCAACCACCCACCCTTCCATCCATCCACCCATCACTTACGTGGTTTTTTTTTCTAGCATGCCGAAAGGTCGAAAGATGTCATTTTCGAATGTGTCTCTTCGCAATAAAGCGCACATGCCGTGTAACCTAACCATGCAGTTTTTACGATAAAGCCGCCTTACCCAGCAGGACGAACGCCGAGAGAAACACTATCAAGGCAGGCTGGATATGCGCTGCGTGTCCATTCGAATATGAGGCTGATGTCTCTATACCCACCCACCATCATGGGTTGCAAGGTTCAGCGGTTTGCGTGAGTTCGCAGCTTTGCAAGGCGCCCGGTCAAGGTTCCAGTTGATGCCGCAGAAAGCTCGAGAACATGCGACATATGCACCCGGATATCTAATCGAGTGATCGCGGCCGCGTCCGAAAACCTTTAATGACGGGTGACCGAAATGTTCAGATTCCGATCTGAGACCCCGAAAAAGCAATACTAAAAGACAATTTGCCATTTGGAAGGTAATTAGAGTGCGATCTAACCAATGGAGATCTCATAGTTCACGCCGGGAGGATAGGATGACATGGTCAGCTGATATATTTGTCATTGGCAGCTCTAGCCAAAGGAGCCCACGCTAGTCGCGAACAAGAGAAGCTATTCGAAAAGCTCGTTTTGAAGCATGTTAGATCATGCAGATCTGAAGGCTATCAAGGTATGTTGGATGTTATGTATGTATGCCGCGGCATGGGTGAAATGGTGATATGGGCCATCGGGATATTTCCGGTCCCGTTCTACCCGTTGCAATAGCTACTTCTAGGTAGGTACCTATACAGCTAATGAGCGTCGTCGTCGATAGTGAAGATGCAGTTTTTATCAGATCGTATGCCCATCGTCGATAAAGAAGTAGTAAGATAGAATGCGACCATATAAGATATTTGCATAGGTATATATTAAATACATATGTAGGATGAGATGAGATGGTGAAGCTTGTAGGTTTGTGTTTCGTTAGTGATACTTACCTAGTAGTAGTACGTGATGGAGGGGTGGAAGGTGTTGCATTAGCTGCATAGCGTACAGCGTACACGCAATTGCCTTAAGACCATGATAAGTGGACCTGTCCTAACAAATGGCGTTTTTGAGAAAAGCCGCTAAGGCTGAAAAGCGTTTAGAGTCGCGGCACGAATCCATAGCACGAGCACGAGGTGGGTCTCAAGGATTGAAATTTAGAAAAATGGGGAACTGGGATGTATGTCCCACCAGATTAAATAGGTACAAAGGTACTGCTTACAGACTACTAGTGCTAGGTACCTAAGTACATACTACCAGGTACGATGCATGTATGTACATACATAGATGAATAAATGTCATAAAATAAAATAAAATGAAATAGAATAGTGAGGCGAGCATTGACATATCTAAGAGATCATTTTAAAGGAACGGTTTAAGGTTACATCCTGGTTAAGAACATTAAAAGCTATCTATTTTCATAGCCCATGGAAAGTTATTAATACCACGCTCAACATTCCAAAGTGATATCGCGTTACTTCGTAGAAACATGTATTTATGTACATACCTGTCCTGTCATGATACTACCTTGGTACACGGCTGAGGGTCTCGTCGGTTCCATGGACTTGATCAACTCGTACGAGACACGAAAATCACAAAACACAAAGATCTTTCTTTACCTTGGCCGTTTTAAATCTAAATTGGCCGCGAGCCTGGCCATTAGATCTGAACAAAGAAAACTTAACCGCGCGTTCTCCAGAAAGTTATGTGAGACTCGGCTAGACCAACATCGAAGCTCCTATATCCTTCAAAGCGAAACCTTCTTTGATGTCTCTTGGTGTCAAGACCTAGCCTCTAGCAGCTCTAGGTAATTGCAAAGCTCTAGCTTCACCTGATCGCTGATTATGCTAATCGATCCATACCGGTCTATCCACTTCTAGTGCTCATCCCTATCGTACCGTGCCTGGATACGCGATACTAGCAGACTAGGTAGTCGACGATCCTCCACAATCCATCCAGACAGAGCTTTTTTTTTTCTCTTTCAAAGGAGCCAAGACTTGTCATAAGTGAGCCTAAAAGACGATAGTGGGGATAGGTACGTAGGTAGACAAAGAAGTTTACGTAGCATCGGGCTGCCTTCAGCTATCTGCATTGCATGGTTAGCACCCCGGTCATATTCACCAGTAGCAGCCCTCACCGTCCAGCATGCCGATCCACCCCTCCATCTTCACTTGTTGATGCCTTGTTGCCTGATCCTCACCGGTCGGTCTGTTAAATGTAACAAAGATATTAAATCTTGATAATGTACGGATTGGAATGCATCCTTGGAATTTCCCTACCAATGTATCTATGCCACACGAACTACCTTTGGGATAGGCACGGCTCGTAGATACCTCGAAATTCGAATAATGCCTTTTCTAACCGGATTTCCATTGGAGGTCCGGCACGCCTTTATATTACCAAATATTGATTAAATATCTCTCGTTAGGTATCCGAGTCAAGGTTCGGAGTTACAACCCGGGTCCTCGATGTCGGGTCGTCTGGTAACACGGCACCCAAGTCAAAAACAGCCCTGGAGCTTATAGATAAATAGAGGACCTACCTAAGTTAGCAAAGGAAACAAAGTGTCCCACACCGGACCGGAAACGTATCCATATCCTTAACAGAAAGGGGGAATAGAAGAATCTGCCGGCAATATGAATATTGCAACGTCTTGCTACAATGAATTACTACACGACGCGCCGAGGCGCCTTGATAGTTCATATTTACAGGTGAAACATCCAAATCATCATGACTCATCACAAGGAGACAGATTTGAGGCCATATACACTTGGCAAGCAATGCTGTTGAATTCCACTGCCCAAAATCGGTACTTACAACCGTTGCAGCCCTTGGCGGGTTATCCTCGTGAGTATATTATCTGTCTTGGCTTAAGACTCGGTCGGTCAACGACAATCTTGACAGTTTTGTCGATCTGGTCAAGGCCCTTCTAGCTCACCCTGTTCACCTTGATCGATCTTGGTCGCTGAATGAGATCTTCGGTACTGTACCGAACTATCATGTCCTGAGCCTCCCAAACCTCAGACTCACCCCCGGTTTTTCCCATCACACCGGTCACTCTACGTAGCGGCTCTCTAATTGGTACGATAATCCAAGCGTATCGTGGTACAAGAGAAGGCTATGAAGAGGGGGGTAATGGGGGGTGGGTGTTCTTCTGTGTGGGTCGTCAAAAACGAGACTTAAATCTTCAAAAGGTTCTAGACAACCATCAATCAGCCCAGCCTACCCAGCACATTCATTTTGTACATACTGCGGCATGGGTTATTCAAGCACGTTTTCTGATACCTAGCCTGACCTACATGGCGTCAGTTACACGGTGATGCATAAGCCAACAATAATAGAAGGGAAAAAAGACTATTATGGTTGTTTGCAGAGTTTCATTTCATCTGATTCGACCTTTATTACCTAACTTCAAAATTCGTTAATGCTATGTTCATTGAAAGTTAGTCGTCTTTTCATCTTTTAATCCTAGGTATCTTCATTTTCTCCCGGGCTTAGCAAAGATGTCTCGGGTTCGACAATAATCTATTATCACTGGATACCCACATGGCATGTGTTTGTCTTGTCCCTCCCGGATCCTAAACAAGCTGTCGGCGTTGGCGGGGATAAACGCGATTGTGTTGAAAAGTAGGTACCTACCTATCAGGTATGTAGGTATGATTCATACGCTGTAGCGAGGCAGTGTGCGTTTTCGACATTCGTGGAGGGTTACCAAGATAGGGGTATAGGCTGGTTAAGTATGGGGGGCATTGCAGCTTTACCTCGACGCAACTACATACATCTCACATCTCGATCGTTTTAATTCATTTCAAGCCCTTTCTTTCCAGCTTTCGGATGCATCTCGCGCTAGTCAACGTTAATATCACACAAACCATCTCCCCATCCACTCGTCTTATGTTTCGTTGTTAGACATTAGCGAATGGGAACGAATGGGATGATGTGGGGAACGGGCAGGGTAGCGAATCGAATCCAATGTTGAAATCAATAAGGTACATGTACATGCTTGCTTCAGTACGTATCGTACCTATCTAGGTACTCAAGGTAAGGAAGGTAAGGAACCTTGGAAGGTATGATGCCTATGGTGTATTGGTGCCTGTCATCAAATTCATGAAAGAGCTCTCAGATTATGGAGTATGGAGCATTTTAAAAAGGCACTAACCCCGGCCGTTACCCGCAATCCATCTTTCTCTATCGCTGCTTTCAGAGAACCTTGAACAAGGTCTTAAAAAAAGAGAATGAAAAAGCTGCGAGAACACTGCCACCATCCACACCCACATTTCATCCCCCGGCAATTAGCTGCTTCTTCCTAGGTAGCGGCGCGTCGGCGTGCACGCTGCAAATGCAAATGCGTCTCCGGGACTAGCAAGCTAGCCTAGCGTGTTCCTTTTAGCGTGCACCTGTCCCGAGTTCCATAATGGAGGGTCTAGGTCGCCTATCAAGAACTTGGGTTTAGGATCCAGTGATAATCATATACGAGGACCAATATAGACTAGATGATGAAGCTTTTATCTTTTATTCTACTTTGCTCATTTTATACCCTACCTAACACATCAAATTGTTACTTTTCAGCTTACCTAGGTAAGTAAAATCCGTCACTGTCACGTAGGTACTATGTAAGTTGTATTGCACGTCGTTTATTTCATTATTACTATCATAGTTTTCGTAGGTATGCATTGGATTTACTTACCTACCTACAAATAGGTACATAACGTTTTATGCTCTACAACATTTCAGTTTAGCGTTCTATAAAATGAATGAATGACCTCAAAACCCCTAGCCTAAAAGAAAAGCTCGGCCGGTAACTACTCCCTGAGATCAATCATCTTATAAAGTTTAGAGTATATATACGGTGCCAACGTACAGGTACCTATTCTATCCTAGATATCCTTTACAAAGTACCTAGAGTAGGGATCTTACCTACCTAAACTTACTACCTAGTAGACACCTAATGTTTGTGTATTTGAATGTGTAGATGTATGGGGTACGAAAAGTTGAAGCAAGTACGGGTACCAGAAAGTGGCCTCTCCCAAACAATCCGAAAAGACCATTGACCACTCATAAGCTTTAAAGTGATCAGTCAAACTTCTTCCCACTCTGCCACTTACCCATCCACTTCAATGTCCCCATGTTCCCATACTTTGCCCATCCATTAACCATTAACAATTAACCATTACTTCCATGTTCAGTCCAATCGAGAAATTTCAAGGGCTAGACACCATCCTTATCCTCGTCCATCCATCCATCACTGGCCAGATCAGGAACAGCCCTGGAGCACTATTTTTCATCCTCTAACCCATAAACCCTCTACCCTCTTTTATTTTTCTTTTTTTCCCATCTTCTTACTCTCTGCAACCCCTGCGCGAGACAAACCCATCTACTGTACGACAACACAAAGCAGCCGAAAGAGAGATTTGAAAGGTTGCAGGGTTCCTTCCTCTCTTTTTTTTTCTTGCTCCCACGCCCCCCCCAGTACCCCATCCCACCAACCTAAACCTGAACTAAACTTGAACCTGCGCCTGCATCTGCACCCAGAAACAGTCTTGTCTCTTTCTCCAACCCCCAAACTCATTATTATTATTATTATTCCCAAATACTTCTCTATCTACTTACCCGTCTACCTAACTATCCTTTACTTGTTTCTATTTGCCTGCCTACCTAACCCGACGCTTTCTTTTTTTATTTAATTTTTATGTGTCTCTGTGGCGAACTGCAATCTGCAATCTGCATTCCACATTCCTCCATCCCGTCTGTCTTATCGCGCGTCGCCGGTTCCCAGACATCGTCACCGTTCTCCATTTTTCTCACCAAGTCGCGTCGCCATCGTCACTCCAACCCAAGATTGGACAATCGAGTATTCAGTAAACCGACAATCGCGTCGACTAGTAATACACACCTAATATTTTCTCAACTTTCTCATCCCGCGCGCCGCAAACCTGTGGGCGAACCCACAATTCCGTACCTGCTGAATCGACTTAACCAACCCGTCGCATCACGCCAAAAAAGCACAAAGCCCAAAAATCCAACCCGACGCAAGTCTGCGACACTTTTTCTACCATCCTACGATCAGCGCGATCGTCACCCGAACCTTTTATCATAGGGTCCGTAAAATCCAGGCACCTCTCGCAGGGTGACTTAATTGCATGCATAACTAAGCTATGAATGTGGACTTGAGTACCCCAGGTGTGGTTTCAAATTCAAATACGTCAGCCAAATCTTCTGCATTCTCGCCTCCTTTGTCGTCAACCCGCGCAAGTCCTTTTCCTCCTACCACGGCCGCCGCCACCAAAATAGCCATGGCTGCGCCTGGCTTTCTCCCTCAATCGCAACCTTTCAGGTCCGCCGCTGTAACCGCTCAATCACCCTATCCGCTATCCATGGGCACTGTTATTAACCATTACGATTGCGATGCGACCACTAAACCCGTCGGCACGCCTTTTGCGACGACACCCTCCTCCATATCGACTATCTTGATTCGCAGACTTCCTGTTGATACTAACGAGGACAAGCTTCGTCTGATGCTCCTCTTCTCGCAGGAATTGCTCCAAATCGAGATGATATCCGTGGAACAGTCAGAAGACCCAGGTTTTCGGTCCGCAATCGTGAGATTTAAGACTCCTAATGGGGCACATCAGGCCAAGGATATGTTGCATGGAAAATCTATTAGTTTAAGTGATATTGAGCTGGTGGTTGAGATCGTGTCCGGTAGCCCGACCGCGTCGAGACGATACCCAATCGAATCTGCAGTTTCGGCCCCGTCTAGCGGCCCCTCATCGACCACATCTTCGGGGGCGGCCTCGCGTCAATCCTCTCGGTTTAACGGTGCATTTCAATCTTTAGAGAATATTTCGCCCCCTATGAATGGAATATACGGGAGCAATGAGCTACCGAACCCTGAGTCTAGCGCACATTATCAGAGTCTCTTCTCACCACAATCACCGATTGGTAACCACCTTACTGAGCGCACGCGCATATCCGGCAAGACACTTATTAGTCATGACGCTCCAGAAGATGACGAGACGCGAGAGCTCCTTAAAGACCCCGTTGCGTATGCCGAGAATGGCGCGACACAACAACGAAGAGCTACCGCTCCGCAGCTACCTATTAGTCGCATGGCTAATTTATCTCTTAATACGACTGCCAACGGGCCAGCATCCTTACCCCAATACAGTCACCCAAGCATAACCCCTCTATCTGCACATGGAAATACCATGTCACCAACGGTCATGAACGGCGCGAGTCACTCGATGAATTACCAGATGGGCAACCAGCACTATCAGCGACATAGTAACTTCCCTCCCGTGAATCCCGCCGATCAGAACCCTCCATGTAATACGCTCTATGTGGGCAACCTTCCGATCGATACTTCCGAGGAGGAGTTGAAAGCTATGTTTTCTAAGCAGCGAGGGTACAAACGTCTCTGTTTCCGCACTAAACAGAACGGCCCTATGTGCTTTGTTGAATTTGAAGATGTGTCGTTCGCCACTAAAGCTCTCCATGAGCTATACGGCACGCCTCTTCATAATAGCATCAAGGGAGGCATTCGTCTTAGCTTTTCTAAAAATCCTCTGGGAGTTCGTTCGGGTCAGACTCCGGGCCAGACTGGCCCTGGCTCTATGGCAGGTATGAACGGTATGATGGCTGGACCCGGGAACGGATTTACAAGCGCCAATGGTCCTCCACCAGGTCTTGCGGCCCCCCCAGGCCTCAGTCGCATTTATAACGGGGGATCGACAGTCCCTAGCAGTGCGAGCACCCCATATTCCGCGGGAACTTTCCCTAGTACTAACAGTAATGTATGGAGCAGCCCGTTGTATAGCGGGCCGCTCTCGGCTGGTGGTTCATCCCCAGCGGTGAACGGCTCCGCCTCAGCTTTCCCACCTTACATGATGGGACGATAGATAATTACCGAATCGAACTTAGATGCATGCATTTGTGTTTTAGGGATTGATCACTGGCGTTTATGGAACAAGACATTCGAAATAGGAACATTGAGTAAGCGGCGCTCTTGATTCTTGCGGAACTATCTCCGTTCGACAAGTAGCAGTCGGGACCCATCGCATTTACTCAGGATCCTTACACGTGGGATAGCTTGGCTAATGGCTGCATATGTACTGGCATTTGCAAATGGGGATGGTGGTAGTGCATGGTTTTTTTAAGCGTCGGCGTCGATATTTTTCATCACAATGATTCCCCTAAGCGAACCACCGTGTGGTTGCTAGTTGCCTGGGAGTTTAGAGTCATCTCGGTGTTCTACTTAAGACTAGGTGGTCATAGGAGGCATCTTTCGGTGTTTGTTTCACTTCACTTTTTAGCGGGTCATCAGCATTGCGTTTCTCTATTTACGGCGACCGTCACTTAACACTGCCGTTCCTCTATCTCCGCCTTGAACGGATTAGAACAAACGATCCGTCTGTGAATACGAGTTTGAGTATCAACCATTAGCATCCTCACACTGGACGGGCTTATTGTGGAACACAGCGGGAAAGGGCGAATCGGTTGTGTTATGTATCGGTCCTTGTTCTATATCTACAGCATGGTCAAGAAAAGACGATTATCTATCAGGCACGCACCTATCCACATTTGAAAACATAACAAAAAGCGATATTATTGCATTGGCCAAAAAAAAAACATTGGCGAAAAAAGGGCTAGGATCGGTGTCAGACGGCGGAAGGGCATATATACACTTGGATCCTTCGTTTCTCTGGGAGCTCAGGCCGGCTGGTATATGGTACATTTGGTCGGATACCGGGGCAACCAGCGGTGTCGCAAAGCATCTAGCATTATGAAGAAGCCGGCATTTGATCTTGGTGGGGAAAAAAAAGAGAATGGCCTCTTCACATATCGGCATCCCTGACTTGTTTAGCATTGATCAGCGTTCTCCCATTCGATCGGCGCATCTTCTCAACGACGTCTCTTTTTGTCGTTTCATATCTTTCATTTTTCCTTGGTGGACTCATCACACATTGCGACGGGGCGAGGGAAAACAGCGACGGAGTACTTGGGACGGGTTTCGATATTCTCGAGGTAGTAGGCTAAAGGGTTGGGTACGTGGCATATGGGAGGTTAGGGAGGCGAGTCCGGCAAGTAGGCAAACGAGTAAGAGGGAGAAAGGGGTTAGTGTGAGGGTGTGGTTTTTGTTGGACCATCCCATATACCTCTCTCGTCGTCGTTTCTTTCCATGCCTTACTCTCTTCCACATCCCGGTTGATGGGAAACAAACCGACCAAATTCCCGCGTTGCCGGTTTTCCCGACATGCGTGTTCAAAGGAAAGGGAGGCGGCGGACAAATCTATTTATCTTTCCTTGCACTATTTTCCTGTTTCCTCTGTCACGTAATTATATCAGCTAGCGATTTTTTAGACGGTCACCTCGATTCACATCCATCCAGAAGGACAGCATCTATTCATATCATACTCATACTCATACCATATTATTCATATCTATTAACTTCTTTCTTCTATCTTATCTTTCGCTTACCTCTTCTATCGGCATCACCATCATCATCTTCGCTACTACTACATACCTACCTACCTATTATCATTATTACTGTCATATTTTCTTCCCCAAATGTAAAATTATTAGTACTAGATGCTCCTACCTATTACTTCCCTAGGTAGCTAAGATCTAATGTGTAACGGACTGGGAAAGGGGGTTTTGGACGGGGACGGGTCGGGTCGGCCGTGTCTCGTTGCTGGTTTATATAGCTGAGCAGTTCGCATATACCGAGGAACGAGGAACGGAGTCGGGCTGGCTGGCTATCAGAAACCAGGCATGTGCGTATCCACGCACATTGGCGTAGGCACGGATGGATGGATGGATGGATGGGCCGGCAGATAAGTGCTTTAGTAATTCATGCAGCGACGCTGCTTCATTTCGCATTTATCATTGCCCCGTGGTGTACATCGGATGATACGTCTTTTCCTGTGCTGTGTGAAGACGAATAGTAGCATATTGCGTCTTGATATCTCGAAGCTGCATTGCGTCATGAGCGAGTAGGTACCTAGGTAAATAGGAAGGAAGTAACTTGCGATGCCATCGGGTCAGACATGGCGTTGAGCGAAGCGCCACGAGTCCAAAATGCGTACCTGAGAAGATAGGAGGAAAGGCAGTTTTTCGCGAAAGGTTCAGTCCGGTGCAGCCGATTGAATGGCGATCTTCCGCTCTGGCCGAGGTGTTCTTCACCATGTCTCTAGAAATCAAGCCTGTTCTTGTTAGCGCCAGCCACTTCTCCTAGATGACATAAGAAACGACTTTAAACTGGGAAGGTATTAAATGACGATACTTAACGGTCGAAACCGAACGATGACCTCTCCGTTCGCCCCTAGAGATCAACTGACACCCAATTGGGGTTACTCGTATCATTCAATCGTCCACATTCCATTCTTCACCTAGTCTAGTAGCTCATAGGGCGATTGTCGATACGTTTTCAACGTCGAGTACCTAACGCGATGGCGCAAAGTACTAAGCTGAGAGAGGCATCTCTCTTAGATGAGTGTAATAATAGCAAGACATTCGTCAGCAAAGCAGCCAGCCACGCCCCTTACCCGCTCCTCATGCAAATCTAACTCTTGAGATCATCCTCTTCTGAGCCTCTACAGCCCATAGAACAGGCAACAAGCTATATCCATAGCTAAGCCCTTTCAGGCCCGTAGATATCGACCCAAAAGTGCATGGGTAGACCTAGGGGCACAAGCAAGGGAAGGAAAGGGCGAGACCGTAATCCGCCACGGGGCGTCGTAGGGCTATTCTGTCCTCTACTCGAGACTTCACCTAGCCAGCCAACAGACAACGACGTCGCCGATCACGAACTCTCCTGTCCTAACATCGCGCTCAATAAGTTTCGAAAGGAGATGAAGGATCTATTTCTAACAAGTCGTTCCGCGCAATACCAACGGCATATATATTGGCGCCAAAGTTTCTAACAGAATCTCGCTCGGTATCCAGATGGGTAGGCGACGGCATCATCGCGGAGCGCATGTTGCGTCATTCGGACCCGACAGGATTTCGAATTCCATAAAAACATACAGCTAGTTAGTTCCTCTAATAAAGAATATATCTCATGATCGATCCTCGCCACGTAGGGCAAAAGACTGAACGTGGATGAAGGAATCGCGCCAAGGCCAATATACCGTCTGCAAAGCAGGGGCGTAAGGGAAAGCGCGCTTACAACTTAAAACCTCTTCGTGGAACAATAGGAACAATAGTTTACTCGAGATCAATGATATAGGCAGGGTAGGTATAACCACCGTGCTTAACTCGGTAACGAGCGGGCGCGTAACAGTATGTATGTAGGTAACATACATAACATCTGGTTTACGAGGACCCGACGCCCCGGGAGAGATATGTAAAAGGAGGTGTGAGATCTGCCACCGTGCCTAGTATCCATCACCGAACCAGCCGGACCCAAGTCGGCGTCAGTCAGCATAGCCAGTTGGATTTGCGCTATCGCAGAAAATCGTTCGATTGTGCCGCTAGACGACGATCTGCAGTAGGTGTAACGCTGGTGCGTGGCGCTTTAGACTAGTTTCGAAAAGAATAGGGCGAACTCTCATTTGCAGTCGCCTGACTTTTTCCCTCCATAGTATGGGGTTGAGGGAACAACATCAAACCCAACTAGCGCCCGTCGCCCTATGAGGGGATAAACACCATGGACGGGGGTAGTTCGAGATCCTGGACTAGACCGCCGTCTAAATGAAGACGATAGCGGTAAGTGAGCGAAGCACCTTGTCGTGTGATCTGGTTGGTTACGTGTCGTTGGAAACGAACAATCCACGACAGGCCTGCCAAACGTGCATAGTATGATCCGCGATGTTTCTCTTGGCAACATCCCAGCTAGACCGACGTGGGGTTTCCTAAAAGCCCGACTCAGAACATTGATGCTGAGTCCGGTATTCGCGGAGAAGTAAAGCTTTCGAGCCCCCGGATTTAGAGGAGACCATCTTTCCTGTTACGAAATAAGGGACTTTGCTGTGAAGAGGCTGAGAGGAAGGTGGTTGGTCAGCAGTCCTTGAGCCTCGCATATCGGCTAATCATGGGGCCAAATCCCCAACGACCGGATCCAGACGACGGCAATGCTCCGCATATGTGTGGAAGGATAATGCGAGCTTGTCGTACAATGCTATCTTAGCATATCTGGAGCTCAGCTGAAGGCGAACTAGAATACGAAGACTCCGTACTGCTTATGTCAATATTGGTCTCATTAGGATTTTATCATACGATGTGCGATACCTGCGGTCCTAATAGCAATCCATAGACCAGTCTCGATGAGAGTGAGGCGTCCGCAAGGCTACGTTTTACCTTTACATGATGGGTTGAGGTTGTTCAATGGCGACGCTAGTAATCTTGAAAAGATAACTGTGTATCTCGTCTCATTTCCAAACAGGTTCAATTTGCTCCTGTGCCAAATTGAACAATATAAAATCAAGAGCTACTACAAGCGATTTCGGCAGTCTAAGCCAAGCTAGCACGTGTTAACGTTGCTCTCAGCCGCAGAAAATGCTCACCTTGTCCCACCTTAGCTAGCAGTGATAGTTTGGACCTATCTATCTAGGTACATTAGCAACGTGCATAAGCTTCTGCTGATCAAAAAAGGTGAAGCTTTGCCCAAGTTCAAACCCCACGATGCCTCGGAGTTCCGATGCTGTGCTTCTAATAGTATGGCTTGCATATCACATCATATGGCAGATAATAGCGGCGCGGATGAGGGATGCGATCGTTGCCGTTCCCGAATCCTACTCAATAGGAATCCTAACCGTCGAGGGGTTCGGATGCGGGTTTGAAGAAGGGCGCAGCTTCGCAGCTTACATAGACGGGCCTCGGCTCATGTATCTCCATTTGTGTACGCCAAGAAATACGAGGTTGCGTAATGTTTCCTTCAGCATCTACAGAGTACATAGCAGCGAATCTCGGCACATACCTAGAAAGAGAGCAATCTGGAAAGCGTTGATCTTTTGTTTCATGGCTGGTCTCTGCAGAGCATTGCAGAGCAGGACGCTGTTGGTTCAACTTGGTTGGATCCGAGATGTCTGTAGAAAACGGAAACCGGCGAGAATCATATAATAGAACTATTAATGTGCTAGGTAAAATTTAGTAGACTCGAGGTTGTTGAGTTTCAACTTATTAGTCGAGAGTGGGCAGAGTGGGGGACCATTGCATACAGCACATAGATACTTACTATGCGCTAGGGGACTCCGGGGAGCTGGATCGACCGCTTCCGACGTCAACCAGGATGCCTTTTTTCACAAGCTGTATTTTCTAACTGGCGGTGGAATCTGCGCCGGGATATGTATGTCGGGTATGACTTCCAGCATATTGTCCAGGAAGATGGAAGTAATTGAGATGTGAAGGCTGCAAAGCGCGCAGCCGGTATCCGTCAGGTGATTTTGTGATGCATACATTGTAGGTAGGGCTTTTCGAATGGATGGTAGATGGTTGGTGGTGTCTTCATCTAGGTGTTCTTGAGGATTTGATGAAGAAACGACCGGTTGCCTTTTAGGGCAGAGTAGGCAAAGTAGAGCCTTGCCCAGGCTCGGAGGTCACCATCGAATGCGGGAATAGACCACGTAGACCGCGCAGACCGCGCAGCCACACACACACACACACTCACACTCACACTCACATACGCTTTACCATTCGGCGTGTCGGGAAGGCTCGGATGAACAGCCAGCTAGACTGCCAAATGTTTTCACCGACACGTACGAAAGTACTGGATGCTAATGGGTTAGCAAATGCGATTTGCATGTTTTAACCCAACCAAAAGCCCAGAAACCCGTGCAAGGTTTCGCCGCATTCGAATTAGCCATCCTCCGGCATTGGCGGGCGTACCATCCAGATTTGCCATCTTTCACCCGGTGATTTATCGATATTCGACAATCCATGCTACCTGTTGCTAGCTAGCAAAGCTGCGACAGCGCAACAGCGCAACACAGCACGGACCGGACAAGTTGTGATGTAAAGAGAGGGGTGAGGGAGAGGAAGAGACGAGCGGAGAAATTCATTCTTAAGCACCCAAGCGCAAACAACAACTTGTATATGCAAGGTCGTCTCCATCTAAATTCCTCTATTGGTCCTTACTGATCGCGCGGCTCCAATAATACAGCTGTAGCTGCGACTTTAAGTTGGAGCCCTGCACGAGATCAGATCAAACATACATGAGGGTATGTCAGCCAGCGGCAACGCGAACACCCTTTATCCCTAACATCGAGGTGGGTTTGTTGGTGCAGGTTCCAGAAATAAGAAACGAATTGTCCATTCTGACCATTGCAATGTCTTACGTATTGATTTCAAAGCAGCGCTTGAGTCCTGACGGTCCATGGATCCGTGGCAGAATAGATATACCTAGGACCTATGTTGGTACATAGGTTAGGTGGGTAATGAGTAGACTTCTAAAAAGGATTGAGGATGGAGGGAGTGATATAAAATGAAATACAGAGTATGAAGTGTGTAAGATGTTAATGAGGAACGGGAAACTAAAACTATTAACGCGGCGCGTCTCTACTCTATCTAGTACTTGATGAAACGATTGCACCTTCTAATTTCCTAACTTTCCATTTCTCTACGATAATGATCTAAATATTTTGGGAAATCTAGGAAATTACGCAGTGGGTGGGAAAGAGGCGGGAGGATTCAAAAAAAAAGTTAAAAGTCAAAAAGAGCTAGAAGAGCCTATTGGGTCATCGCGGGGATTTGTACGACAACCACATGCACTCCATCAAACGGGGTACTACAGTGATGTACTGTACATACTACATACCACATACAACATTTAAATGCAGCATGTATGATATGTTCAATACATACATGTATGTATAGGTATGTGTTATGTATGATGTATGTATGTGGATGCTAGAAATATTCAATGTATGGACTGATTTGGGCTGTGTGAACGGCGCCTGCGCCTACGCATGCTGCAACTGGCCTCTCAGAGGCTGGCTATACCAAGGAAAGCCTAGGAAGAAGCCTAAACAAGCCCAAGCACCCTCTCACCACGACCACACCGCGATACTACGTTAATAAACGCGCCCACACATGCAAAAGGCGGGCCGAAAATATGCTTCTAGGGTTGCTACCATGTAGGTAGGCACGGCAGGCACGATAGGCAATGTAGACAAGGTAGGACCTTAGGTACTTTACCAGGTAGGCACGAATTCACCAATAGGCTTGTACCACAATGCATCTTCAAGTTCGAAAAGCATGTACCGAGTCCCGACAAACATCAAGCTCGAACACTACTCTAAGCAGGAAGCAGGAAACATGAACCTTCGCCTCAGAGCTACGTCGAGGGAACTGGAAGGAAGGAAGGGGAACACCAAGACATCCATTCGTATAATTAAATGCTTATTCCTCGGCTCTCCAACACGGGTGTTTCTTTTATTTCTTTTCTTCTTTTCTTGTCTGTTGCTTACCTACTTAGTAGTCCCTAGCATGTAGCTTCAATATTGCTAATGCAATGCACATATATTCCATGTTCCATATCCGAATTCGTCCTTTTTTAAGATCGGCCACGATCCGTTGCCATTACTACTGTTATACTTCTTAATGTGCATCTTATCGTCAGATCCCGTGTCTATCATTTTTTACCCATATATTCTTTCAGATACTTAAATACCGTGGACCCAGCTAGCCCGATTACTAGGTACTACCGCCGTACAATACTAACTAGGCTGACTACATATATCCTAGGTAGGCTCTCCCCTAAAGAAGAGGTGTGCGAGCTGCATATATCATCATTCTATGTACAATACAAGACCAGAATATCTACTACTGGACGTTGTATATGTGCTTAGATGTATGCTGTCGCATTTCATCCATTTCTAGTTCATCATATTACATTATACCCCTCTTTTTTGGCCCCCTCAACCCCTAATATTCGTCAATTCTGTGCCTAGTCCGTTTATCTGTGGTTTACTTTATTTTTTCCCCTCCGCTTCTTCTCACGGCGGTACCGAAGAATTTCGCTGCGTCCGATCCCTTCCCTGGTTCGCGTTGCTTCAAAAGGAAAGGGGCCAGCCGCGCTTTTATTTTTTGTTCACCCCGCCCAACACGCCCCGACTTTCAAACCAGGGCGGCTCTTTATCTGATTGAATTGCTCCCGTTTTCACATTTTTAAGCGGCTACCTACCTGGATCTGTGGACGTCAGTTCACACCCATCCACATCTGACGTTATCCCCCGGCAACATTCTCCAGCAACCTCCAGCAACCCCCAGCAGAAAAAAAAATACATAAATATATTTCAATCCGCCTTGGATGACGATACCTCCACCGAACAACAACTAAACCCCTCCCAGCCGCCGCTTTGTCGTTTGTCGCGTAAGTGACAGATAGACGCGAGCTGAAGGGCAGTTGGATTTGAATCTCATTGCTGTCCAAATTCACAATTCTGGCGCCTCTGATGCGCCTTTCATGAGATTCAGGAGCTTGAAGCTAGCTTGGAGCTTAAGCTAACAGCTCAAGCTGACGTTGAAAGAATGCCACCAAAACAGGGCCGTTATCAACCTGCGTTCGTCTCTACTATTTTTACTAACTCAATCATTATGCTATTATTGTTATTATTATTCAGGAAGCTGACATTTTAATTCCTGTGAGTAGCCGGGAATTCCACATTGTTGTGTTAGGTGCAGGTGAGTCTTTTCATTGCAAGCTTCGGTGTGGAATCAGTTTTTTTTTTTTTTTTTTTTTTTTCAGGGTCCTTGTTCACACCAAAGCTTCACCTTCCCTTTGCTTACATACACGTAACGGCCGCTAACAGTTTACTAGGCGGTGTCGGGAAGAGTTGTCTTACAGGTAACACTCCTCCTTGGCTTTCAACGATGAATGATTCCGATTGGATATCGTATTGAAACAAAACACGATCTATCCAAATATCATGCGTCATCATCAATTATCAGAAATGGATCTAATTACTGACGGGTCTTTTTTAATTTATGATAGCTCAGTTCGTCCATAACGAGTGGATCGAGAGCTATGACCCAACGATTGAAGATTCGTACCGCACTCAGGTGGCCGTTGATGTAAGTGCACCTTGTCCCTCTTCTACCTGATTGGGTTGGCGTTAACCGCTGCTTACACATTCGCACCAGGGTCGCCAGGTAATTCTGGAGATGTAAGACATCGCCAACTATCAACACGATTCATCCTATTATTATTTTTTAGTCTCGCTGCCGCGCTAGTTACCATGCTAACTTAAGACAGTCTGGATACCGCTGGCACTGAGCAGTTCGGTTGGTCAACACACCGAATATGCAACTTATCTGTGTTACCATGCTAACTCGGCTTCAGTTGCCATGCGGGATCTATACATGAAGACCGGCCAAGGTTTTCTTCTAGTCTTTAGTATTACCTCAACCTCGTCGTTAGCCGAACTTGCCGGACTTCGTGATGAGATTATGCGCATCAAGGACGACGACAATGTGCCAATTGTCATCTGTGGAAACAAGGCGGACCTCGAAGACCAGCGGTCCGTGCCACGAACCAAAGGTTTTCAAATCTCGCAGAGATGGGGTGCACCGTACTATGAAGCTAGTGCTCGAACGAGAAGTAAGTGCATTTTATCCACTGCCCTTGCATATGCATTGATTCCTACCCGCATTTGAAGTTTTTAAGGTCATATGTTGACCAAACTAACTTCATAAAGCGAACGTCGATGAAGTTTTCATAGACCTATGTCGACAAATGCTGCGGAAGGATGATGCGGGGGAAAACTACCTCGAGGACCAAGATGATAAATTCGACCCTTACTCTATATCATACTATAAAAAGCGAAGACGGCGAAAGGAGCGGGATTCGAGTCATCGGCCGAAATGCGTTATACTATGACCGATTCGGCCGGACTTATTCGTGGGGCGTTTAGGTGATACGAGCAAACCCTCTCATGTGATTTTGCTCACGGCGTTTATCACGACTAGGTAGTAGTCACTAAGAAAACTTGAGTCCAAAATACCTGCACTCTTGGCCGCAGGCACTTTGCACTCTAGGGTTCAAGCTCTTATACAACATTTCGGGCTAAAACAACAACGGTTCTTATCGGACGTTAGGAGGCTTCCCAATCTCTTTTCTCGAAATTATTCCGCAGCGCGTCTTCTAGCCGACTTTTGGTCGTGTTTTTCTTCCCCCCAAGCAACTTTTGGGCGATGATCCTTTCGCATTCTAGGCAAGCGATATAGGATACGGCGAGTTGCACGTTCGCTGCATTGCATTTATAGCATAGCATTGATCACGGATCAGCAGGCCACATTGCTATACTCTTTTGGTATGGCCACCGGGTTCCTTGAGTATCATTACGATTATTTTTGGGTGACGTTTTGAGAGGGTTAAGACGGAGCTTTGAAGAACTGAATTGCGCAGGCAAACTTGTGGGAATATTCCATTTATGCTGTTATTTGCCAGAGAAAAAAATTAGGCATTTTCATCCCGGACAATATATATACCCCTCTGCTGTTGACACACTACAGGTTCTTATTTATATTTAGTGATCAAGGTGATTGGTCTTGTCATGGTTTTATCAGCGCCTTAAAAGGGTCCAAATAAGGCTACTTATATCAAAACCATTCTTATTCGACGTCCCCCATCTATATGGGGTTAACTCGTTGTAAACCTTGGGAACATCTAATAGGTTAGTAGGTAACTCCATAAACGACAGTACACGTTTGGGTTTTGAAAATATGGAAAGGGGTATGGTAGGTAGATGGATTACACATCACATGGCATTGCGACTATTAACTTCAGTGAACGTCAAAAATATTTACCGATTACCTAACATAGTATAGGTAAGATACCTATCTAGATCTATGATGCTATATATACTAGAATACTACCGGCTTCCGCGGTTCTTGGAAAATATCCATGGATGGTATTCTGTGCGCCTCCACCTTAGAACGAGTTGGATGTCTTGATAACATCGGTGGCTTCCCCGCGGCGAATATCGTTAAAACCCACTCCGCTTTCCCCGGACTTTCGAAACTGCGATAAATACCGCCCCCCGATCGTCATTTAGATATTAGACACTAGATTTAATAGTGTTGGATATTAGTCCGGGGAGAACGAGTGCGATTGGCTTGCGCTCCTATCGAGAGCTATCCGTCTCTAGTTAGTCCAATGTGATATATGATACAGCCCAACGATCAACCGAGGCAACCGGATGATGCGCTCTTGACGAAATCGCCGAAGCCAAGGCCATGGTAGACGGGAGTCGCGGGAGGAAGTGGGCATTATATGTCTCTGCCCCATGATATTTCGCTTAGTCAGGACCATTCTTAATTTAGGATATTTCGATATGCGTTCAGGCTTTGCCAGATTTGGCCTCGAGGTACCGCTGCAATGTCTTCTGTTGGAGCGCGCGTTGTTCGTTGATGACCTCCCATAGCTCCTCGTTCTCCTTCCTCAGTTCCTGATCGCCGACGGTGTCCTCGGTCGGGGCCTGGAAGGCGAGAATGGCCTGTTCTAGCACGTCCTGCGGGAGTCCGTTGGAGTTAAGCATTTTGGTAAACCTTGTGTCTTCTACCATATCGGAATCTAATTGAGAGGTGAAGTCATAGCTTCGGCTTCCTAAAAATGGCTTGACAACCGCGATAGGTTTAGTGGGACGCGGAGAGGGAAGTGGGGAGACGAAGACGATGTTGGTGACAGAAGCATTGATATTCGTTAGTTCGGTGGAGTCGGCGCGGCTGCTCAGGTCCCAGCGAAGGACCTGGCCTTGCGGGTGCCCTGATATCAAGATGGTACCGTCATAGCTCAGCGCCACGCATGAAGCCGGCCCCGCCTCCTGGGGCGCGGCGCCGAAAGCGGAGGAGACCTGAATGGCCGTTGAGCTCTCCTCCGCACTCTGCGGTCCTAGTAGGGCCTTCTCGGCAAATAGATCGATGGCGTACAGCGATCCGTCGTCAGAGGAAACGTAGATGGCGCGCGCGCACGGATCGAGGGATAGGCAGAGGGGTGAGCTGGGGAACAGCAGCGTTCGCAGAGTTATGCCAAGTTGGTAGTTCCAGACTATGCAGGTCTTGTCTTTGCTTGCCGAGACGCATATGTTGGTGTCTGGGTTCACACTCCGACCTACCGCGATAGACGTGATGGCGGCCCTATGATTCGACAGAGTCTCTTGGGGCTCGTGTTCGATGGTCGAGTCTAGTTCTAGCAAGCGGGGAACGGACCAAACATGTAAATTCGCGTCATCTGACCCCGTGATAAGGTGATAAGGTGTAGTAGCAATGCAGGTAACTGCCTGAACATGACAAGCAGGTGTAGTTACTTGTCGGCCGGTGCAGATCTATAGAAGCAATTAGTAAGCTAGACTATGGAATGGGTCGTATATGTGCTCGTATTAGGTAAACCGACCTCCCATATGATGAGCCTCCCCTCTTGTGTGCCCAGAAAAAGCACATCGTCTTGTAAAGCGATACTCCGGATGCGCTCTGAGAAAGTGACTAAAGCTTCTTGATTACCCTTGGCTCTCGAATACACATGAACTGTCGATTTCTCTTCCTGAGCTGCAAACACGTGAGTCTCGCTCACAGCTAGACAGTTTCGGGTAGTAGAGCTTTTCTTGAAGGTAGCTGTCGTGGAATGGCTCGGATGTAGTGTATGTTCATAAATCCCGGCATCTTTTGCGATGGCCGTGTTATTGGCCAAGGGTGGTCCGGCCACAGACACGAAGTAGCTCTCGGTCAACATAACCTCCTAGCCCTACTGACTGAGCCACAACAACTCTTCAAGTGCTTGTAAGCCAAGGGTAGCTAGAAGCTATAAATCGTTATAGCACCTAGATAGACTTAACGGGATGGGTGGAGTCTGTATGTTTCTCTTTCTGGTAGTCTACTTGGACAAACTTGGAATTCGGAAACCCGTTTGAGAATGTACCATATGATGTTTTGTTTCGTCTTTGAAGATCTTCGATGTTGTTGCTGTCACTTTTTTTTTTCTTCCCCCACAAAATCCTATTCGCAGGTTGATGTTTGACAGACCCACTGTCCTGCAGGCTGCTAAAACGTCCCATGCAGCTGGTGCGTGGCTTACGAGTGGGGCCGGCATTGCGGCGTAGCCTCAGGGCTTGGCACCATCTTTCTACGCTGTAGGTAGAGGTTCAATAGGTGAATTAAAGTTGACAAACTAATACTTCAACCCCGCAAACCCCCCAAAAGCAAAAATCTATTGTCGAGTCTAGAATTTGGAGCTACACACTCTGACACTGCGGATGCTCCTTACCTCTTTGAAGGGTTCATGTAGGACAAAGTTGTTTCATACGAATTGGGTTTTTCATATGCAGGGGAGACGATGTCGGTGAAGGGAAGTAACTGCGACCTTTTATCATGTGTAAAACTTAAGATCCATCACAGTTCGAGGAATACTTTAAACCAAAATAAAACTCCGTTTTCACCTCATCTCATCACATATCATGTTATACTCCACCCTGGCTTAACTATGACTATCTTGAAAGGCTTCAAATAGCTCCTCGACTATCTCTAGTCGTGTTCCAGATTACCCCCTCTTTCGCTTAATTGACGCCATACTCCTTTACGGCAGACCAACGGCCGACTGCATGTCTTGGCCGGTCGAGAAGCAAAATGGACTCGCAAACCGGGAACTTGAAGAATTTCAACGACGGCTGCATACGCACGCCTTCTCCAATTGATTTCCTCCTGGTGTCCGATATTTCACCTTTCCGAATTTGAAGCTGTTGTTATCCTACCGCTCATATACTCTTATTGGATACTATTGTTTATCGGACCGGTATAACCAAGGTAGCTGAGTACAGCTAGGCAGGCCAAGAAGAGACGCTAAATCCTGCAACTGACGATAGCGTTGCAGCATGTCTGAGGCCTATGAATGGCCAATCCAGGCTTGGGAGCCCCTTCAGCCTCGAAGACAAGGTGGATCCTGCACTGCTGCACAATGATGCATCGTGATTCCTTGTCCAGCGCTGCATTTGGATGGAGCGGGCAAGCTTTAAACGCAACGTGGTCGCCCGTCTGTCGTGTCGCTTGACAACTACCTACATACCTACATACAGCATCAAAAATCAGGCATCATTGCTCGACTGGTTCGACTAGATAAAGCTCATGTCTGGACGGACGCATTGGACGCAGGGGAAGACAATACTTCTTCCCACTCCCACCTAAATACGGTGGCCAATAAAGATTAGCGAGTATTAGCGGCCGTACTATATAGCATGGTCTACCGACTCAGGATACCTAAGCGGCTAGACAAATATTCAACTCCATAAAGGAGGTCCACTGACTGATCTTGTCGCTACCTATCTAGGCGTAGACTCTGGAGACGGCGTCGCTATGGCCTCGGAACTTTCTTTCGATCGCCCGCAATTGTGTCTCTCTCGCCACCCACCATTCAAATAGTTTATCTGGTGAAGTGATTAACCTCCAACCAATGGATCCCAGCTCTTGTCGGCAACGATAGCTCGTCAGAAAAGTCTCCGAATCAGGGCAGACTAAAAATATGGTGCTATGCGGACGGTACGGATTAATCCATTGGCTGATTAAACTTGAAATAATTTCCAGAAAGAACCGCCGCGTTGCATGGAACGAACTTAGCGTGTGAATTTTGGGACACCTCAATTAAAATGACTGATTGGTTCCTTAAATGATACCGCTATGGTCAATGCTACCCTGGAAGCGATCCCTTGGCGAGAAGATCGGGTGGTCAAGTCGTCAAGTCACAAATTGTCAAAGAGCTAACCGCTTGATCCCATGTGGGAAAAAGCAAGGGGGTTTCCTCTTTTTTCTCCTCTCATGGCGATGGAGGGTTAAATGTGCCTATCTAGGCTAGGTACCTACCTACCTCGAGACATGTCTCAGATCAAATGTCTGTCATACTTGGCTTGCCGTAACTCAGACGGAGGGTGGACGCCTTGTGTAAGCCATCACAGCAGCATCGATATCGTCAGGAAGAATGAAATATTCTCTCCTTGTCGATAATTCCAAGTTAGGGACCTGTGATGGACGGTGGTCCCACATCTTTTTCCGCATTCCTCTAGTGCCTGCGACCCTCTGCGACCTTTCGCCTGAGCGAAGAGACCCCTGGCCGGTCTAGGGTCCATGGGGATTCATCTCTTTCTGGAATTACGAACACCACCCACGGAGGGACGTAGCTCCATCCTTTGCTAGGACCCCTGTCCAACGCGCTCAACTTTTCTTGGGTCTTCAAATCCACTCGGATTCTTGATCCAGCGTCAGTGTTTTTTCACGAGACCGCTTTTGTTATTCTCAACTCTTGCGGATTGTCTTCGACGTCGTTTCCGACCTTTCGTCTTTTTTTCTTTTTGGGACTCTACTAAAAAAGTATAGACACCACGAACGGACTTTCCGGAGTTGCCCAAAATCCAATTCTTGGTGGATTTTGCATAGGGAAGAGATTTTATGTAGGAGATTGTCATTGCCGACCTAGCATTCCCCTGCAACGCCACCAAATCGATCAATTCGGACCCGGGAACGAGACATCACGATGGGGAATTTCGAACCGCTCATGAGCTTCAATTTGCCAGAGCTTTTGGCTGTGGACTTGGAAGCGTCGGAGGAGGTTTTTACATCGAGACAATTAACTGCTGGGGCCCCGGCGCCTGCACTAGCTGACGATGGGAGCAAGAGACGATATTCATTGCAGGACAGTTCGCTGTGCGCGGCCCCTTCATCCCTGTCCTATCATCTGGACTTGATGTCGAGGGCTAAGTCGTTACAAAATGCGCATGAGAAGGAAACACAGTTTCTATCTATCCATCGCAAGTCGGAACAAAACAATAGCGATTCCGACACGACTAGTAGTGAATCATCCGGTGTCTTGATGCCACCACCATCAATTGGCACGCGGGATGCATCGATTGCCACAGCAGCCACATCAGTAACCTCGGAAAGAATGGAGCCGTCGAACCAATTAAAGCTTGTGATACAAGACAAGAAGCAAGCTGGCGAGAGTTGGATGGATTTTGATGTTGATGATGCAAATTCTCCAGACCGAAGGTACAATAGCATGATCAATCTCTCGTCACCTGCACATCATTTGCGACGTGACCTGGACGAGTCAAGGAGTATGTCACTCAACTCAGCTTTACCACGCCCCAAATCGGCTGCTCTTCCTCCAACGTCACCTCCCAGCGTAATATCTTTAGGTACGCCTGAGCGACAAACTTATATGAAGAAGCCTTTGGCAAGTCCTACCTCAATTCCAACGCGACGCTCTTCTTTATTACACCGAAATTACCCAGTACTTCCGCAGATTAATGTTTCACCGTCTCGACAAAGTTCATCGTCTCAACCACCACCGCCACATTCCGACGGCGGTCCAGCAACCCCAGATCTCAACATGCCGTCTTCAGCCCCGCCTCGATTGTTTCGTAGCGAGATGAACCGGCATGTGAGCGATGACGCTGACGAAGCAGATGATAGGATGGATTTACCTTCAGACTTTAACTTGATAGCAAATGATGGTGGGCGGATTTCACGAGCAGAAAGTGCCCAGCATCCAGAAATCGCCCCGGCCGGAATCGATGTCGAATCTTGGTTGGAGTCTAGTGTCGACAACTTTCCTTATTATGCTCGAACTGGGGCAGATGGTGGGCATACTCCCTTACCACTCCCACCAGAGGTTATCGATACGCTCCGAGTTTCGATAGCATGTTTCCCGGAAACGATGCTCCAGTGCTCTAGCCTTTCTATCGAGACCATACGTGGTCATTCGAGAAAACTTAGGTACAGGGGCACGAGCCCCGCGAGCTTATATTCAGAATCACCTACGTCAGTAGACACATCAGAGCCAGCAAAGTCGTCGAAATGGAAGTGGTTGCCTCTGAAGAGACTGCCATCATCTCCTACCCGAACACCACCTAGTCCACAACAAAATAGCCTGGTGGAGAGTATAGAATCAAGATTTAGTCCAACATGGCCTAGAAGACCAGATTGGACAGCGATTCAAAATCTCTTCCCTACCTCGTCTGATTACCTCTGCGACGCTCTCTATGCTCATATAGTAGCATATAATTATATTACTTCCTTATGTCCTCGGTCAGTGCTTGCCAATCCAATATCAAGACCCAGCTCCAAGTCTTCGGTGGTATCGGATATGAGCCTCGAGCTTTCTATCGACCTCCGCACTTCTATCGATATGCGATCTTCCACCTCCGACGGTACCGCGATCCCGCTCAAGGCAGCAAGCTTGCTTGGTTTACAAGAAGACCCGAACGCGCCGATTCCCGAGCCCCCTTCTTCACGATGCAACACACTTCGCAGCAAGAGATCCTTTTTCGTGTTACCGAAGTCCCATTCATTCCACGAGTCCATCAGACCCACGACATCAAATGGCTTTGGCGGCCGCCGCCCAACGCCACCTGACCACAGCGAGCAGTTACTACGAGACCTACGACTTGGCCTTGCTAGGTGCATCTCGAGACTTGTTGCCACCTTACGGACGTCCAACTGTGGCCCGGCTTCGGGTACCGATGGAGGAAAGCCGAGGCGTGAAGAAGATCCCGATTTTATGCGAGCACTATGTGAAATCGTGCGCCTTTCCGAAGAGAGATATATGTTCTAAGATCAATCCTTTGCACTGGCAACACTACGAAATAAAGAAAAAAAAGTTCTTTCAGCAAAAAATCAATTCTTGCGGGTTGAATAGCAGGCAGGCGGCTTTTAGGCACTGTCTACCTTTTCCTAGGTCTTACTAGCATTACCAGAGGCCCTCTGGCCCCTCTACGAAATAATTCGTCATTACCTGTTTCTAAACGGTTTCTACTACATTATTTACGATTGCCTGGAGCACCCATTGGGGTGCATGATTCGCCATATACAGAAGTTCTACCAGCCAAATTTACAGCTTTGATGTCTATCGTAATACGGTTTTAATTCATTCCCACCCTTGTCATCTAGTGTAGAAGATGACTAAGGGGAGGGCGGAGGGTGAAGCACCCCTTTTTGACACGTGGTGGGCCGTCCCCTAAGACGGGCAAAAACAGACGAGAATACTAATCCAGAACGTTGGAACGGCTTTATGGAGGCGTGTATGTAGCATGCCATGTTGATGGAAACATGTTTCAGGGGAAGGATATATTCATAGATTATTAGATACCTCTTTCTCATCGTACAAGGCGTATGGGGCGTATTAGAGGGATGAAAAATACGGTTCAGGCAATCGGAGTTGGCGAATACTGTGGACATTTTTTACTACATACATACCCCCAAAACCTGTCTTTCTCATAGGAGCTATCCCTGACACAGGGAACGTGGAGTCAGGGATATCATTCGAGGGTTTAGGAGTTTTCCTCGTGTATCAGATCAATGATGATTACATAACACAAAAGTTCAGCTTCAGTGCATTCGTTATCTACCTATTTTTTCTCTCATATAATGTCATGTCAGATCATTATTCATTATTACGTATGTATCTAACATGAGTATGCTAGGGTTCGGGAATGAGGAAGAAATTGAATTAAAAAACGGAGTGACACTGAGCCTCTTCATTTATTGTCCGAACCTTGATCCCGGGCTTAATCTACGACAGCGTTCCCGATTAGGCATGGCAGGCCTGATACCAACGGCTCGTGACGGGGCTATAGTAGGGCGTATTATACATGTTTAGCGCCGTACCGGCATTCTGGACGAAGCCATTTCGGTATCAGAATGTCATGCATCGCGCTGAATCCAGTTAAGCGGGCCTCTGGCGGGCTAGGAAAATAAAATGACGGCGTACGGATGGGGATTGCGGATGCTATACCACGATCTGGGGGGGCTATAATATAAGACATACAGGCTTGCGCTGCCCCAAATACCCCCAATATCGATCCAATCTGTCGCAAATGACTAATGGTATGCATACCTACGCTGACATGACAGGTGGACCTTGCAGACCTGGCCCTCCTGGTCGACCCTGGACATAGGTACCTACTTACATAAGTGACGAGTCCATTCGGCCGGGAAGACGAGAGATCGGCACGAAATAAAACAACTAAGAGCCACAGAAAAGACATGTTAATCAAGACATATCCCACGCCATTACCTATGGAATTCGGGGGTTCGGGACTTCTTCATCATCGCTGCTGAAACGTGGTTGCGGGAACTGCCGTTGCGCGGGATGCATTGCATTGCATAGATACACAAGAGACGTCCCTATTTCCGATCTTTAATTGCTAGGTGGCACAGAGGGGAGCTGAGGTAGTACGTACATAATTAGATGGTCGAGGTCAGGGTATCATTATTGCCTACTATGTAGTATCTAGCATCCATGACGGCGATGGTATCTCAAATGCCTAGATAGGTAGGTAGACTACCTACAGACGAATATCTTCATATGTCTACTGTTACACCAATTAATAAAGCAAACCTGGTAAGTAATACACCACATATAGGCCACAATATCCAAAACCCGTACCCCGTAACTCCATGTCTCCGTGTAGCTACCGTGCGGAACTGGTGGGACATGCGGAAGATGCGTCCCGAAATATTGATTACATACTCCGCAGCGGCACGCGTCCCGGCGTACAATGCCCAGCATTAATATGATCAACGCCTAGCCCACTCCACTTGTCACTTGAATTCCATCTCATCGTCATAAGGGAACCGGTCTCTTAGAACGCCGCCCATCTGCCCCTTCTCCGCTAAATCGACCATACCCGAAAGACCGCTCGACTCTCTCGTGCTCGTAGCTGGCCATGACGTACTCCCGCCCTTGCTGTCAGTGTCGGTGGGATAAGGCAACGTGCTGCCGGATCTGCGGGGCAAGTGGTCCACCGTCGGCGTAGCCAAGCGACCGTGCATGCGGAATGTTTTAGCATGGCCATTGCTGAGACCTAATAAACCAGCTGTCACAAGCAATAGAGCCATGAAAATGATGGACCCAACTTGTGTCATGTTGCCACTGAAGGCAGCGACGCAATAGACAATCAATTTAGCGGTCGCCTCGAGATAGCCCTCGATATGGGTCTTAGTACGTAGCCACGATGTCGTGGTGACGGCCTGAAGGTCCTCGGTCATGCCACGGAGGCACACGGATCGCCCATGCCCCAAGTCGACGAGGTACTCGGTTAGCATTTTGCTGACGTCAGGATCTGGTGGCGGGTTCTCGGGCGGTTTCGAGCGGCTCTTGATAACCCAGATGTTCAAAAGGCGGGAGACCATAAGCGCTAGGAGGGACGCCACACCCCACCATTCGCGGAGAAGGATCATAAATACGAAAGCAGCTATAGTCAGAACAGGGCTTGCAAGATACAACACATGCGAAACCCATCCTAAGTCGGCGCCCTGATCTCTCCAGATAGTAGCACGCTGACCGGGACTTTGCCGCCGTCCTCCAAAGTAATAATTCTGCTTAGGCATCATTCCGACATCAACCGTGACCTTCTGCCCCGCTAATCCGACGCGCTCGAGATATTGTCGAGTGGCCGTATTAGTAATATTATAGCTCGAAGTTCGACCTTCATATAGCTCAACAGCGCTATAGGATTCGCTGTTGCCGTTTAGGGCATCCGCAGCCTGCTGGTAGTGTAAGCCGGGAGCTAGCAGTAGCGCGTCAAGCCATGACGAGCCTCCTACAATCTTAGTACGATTCGCGATTGTACCAAGATCAGCAAGCGCAAGAAGACCCGATGCAGATAATTCGAAGTGCGGTATAGGATATTGAGACCAGTTCGGAAACGAGGCTCCACGCTTCAATATGGTCTTGAGAAACCGGTCAATAAGTCTGTTCGGGTGAGTGCCTATTTGGAAGTCTTGGCATACCTCCATCTCTCAGTTTCCCAAGCCACCCGAGGTGGCAAACACTCCTCTAATATCGCCCCTAAACCAACGTCGAATTTGGGCTCACTCGAGGGAGGTAGAATTCGAGCCCATGGAGAGTGAAAGAAATGATTTAGTGCTGCACTATCTAGACAGCATCAGGTAAAGAGTGCCGAGAACTCGAGGGAACTAGAAACAAGCTCAACCCTAGGATTAAATAGGACGACATCATCAGCAGCGATCAGCCACGACCAACAGCCCTTTCCCTTTTATGAATCATAGCTCTCCGAAAGGGTTGCAATACAGCACGAGGCTTTGGTTACCCCTCGCTGATCAGTAGGCTAGGCTGTCGCCAAAGCAACCATAAACAGCAAGCCATGTGAAGGATTGGAAGTAGATTGGCCAATGGCGTCGCACAGGTTAGATCACGAGAGCCAACCATCGTTCCGCAGGGAGACGGATTTCCACCCCTCCCGAGACAAATAGATAAATGCTATAGCTGCCTTTCCGCAGCATTTTTAGCACTTCGTGATGATAAGACTGACATATAGTTCTTGGCGGTCTGTTTTCTTGGGGGAAGAGGCGTCTAATTCGTTTATTTGGTGAGACAGGTTGCGACGGGTTGCGAAGTTTCCAAGGTTTTCTTTGTCTTAAGTCCGAGCGGAGGAAAGCCTAGATCTTGAGTTGCATCCATGCTCAATTGACACCTGACCTGTAGCTGCCTTTAGCCTCTGTAGCTCCTGTAGCTATCGGATATCACCACCTAATTATTAAGGTTCGACCACTGGACACCTGAGAATTTCACGGTTGGTTCCTTCTCTTTTAAGGTTGGTCCAATTGAGATCCCGGGTCCCTCCCTGTTAGGTAAAGTTGGGCACTATCGGAACGAGACGGCCCGGATAAGGGGAGCCTTATGGTATCGATAAAAGCTCCCAAATCCGATAAGTGCGTCGATCCCAGGTACGGGTCTTAGTTCCCATCCTCTCGTTACCTATCCTGATAACCTAGACTCTCTTCTTCCTATCATCAATTAGCATCACTTCGAGGCTATAAATCTACCACATAAATACCTAGATATTATTTAACATGACTTGATCAATATGGCGCCTTCACAACAAGAGCCGGCCTATACGGTCTTCGTCCGACTTCCATTTCCAAGAGGTGATTTCATTGATCCGCCGCCTGTACGTAATTCAATTGGTCCTATCTTAGACCGTCTTGCTGCGAGGCTCCCGGAGCTAACTATCGTGATAAAAGGCGAATTGGGACTCGACTAAAGATGAAGAGCTTTGGAACATCATTTCTCGTCCCTCTAAGACAGAAATAGATTGTAAGATGCATTATCTCATTATCTCCGTACCTCTACTTTGTAATTGATACGCTTATCAATGGTCAACTAACACCGAGATATCAGGGAATGGAATGTGAGTACTATTACTTAGGTATCCCCCAACATCGAGTCTTGACCAATCCATTTCATTTAGCGCAATCGATTTCGGGGTCACCGCAGACTTCCTATTTCAACAAATTGCATGGCTTACTGAGCGCCATACGTCCCAAATCCGAGCGCAGATGCGCAAGGCTGCCGCTCTCGCGAAGGGTTCGTCGGCACCGTCGCCCCAGCCAGGCCCCGAGGGTCTCTTCGTAGCAGAGCCCATGCGACGGACTGGATCTAGTGAAAGGGCAGGACGAGCACCATCACAACTATCGATTAGAAAAGACTCCCCGCTACCTAGGAACGATGGAAGCATACCCGGCACGCCGGTCAGGGGCACACCGCGGCCCACCGCAACACGAACGTCCTCAGCGAATACAGCCGTATATACGACTCGTAATCTAGGAGGCAGCGCCAAACCTCAGCTAACATCTCGAGGCAACGATACACAGCGACAGCGTCTATCGTCTCTTCCTATCCCCGCACCCGCCGACAACAACGAACAGGAACCCGAGCTGCCGTCCCCCGAACCGACCGAGTCAAGCGACTCGGAATCGTCGTCTTCTAGTCCAGCGCAATCTAGGATCATCCGACGGCCCCCACGTTTCCAGGACAATGACGCCGCATCCGACGCTGACGAAGACACCGAGCCCGCCTTCCTACCCTACAACCCACCGTCGTCGGCCGAGGGATCGAGTGGACATGACCTTAGCGCGACGCTTCGCGGTAACCTCCCGAGAGACTACGCCAAGCGCCATCCGAAAGGACCTTCCGGCCGACCGGGGCGTATGCATCAGTCCCAAACCTCCGATTCGTCAACAGGCTCAGGCGCACGCCCCACGGACCAAGGCCGGGCGAGCGGTGGCCCACTCTCGCCTAGGAGGACGATGGAGCTTTCCGGACAGAGCCCCGGCGGCAAGGGCAAGGTTCAATCGCGCGATAGTGACGGGACGCCGAGTATGAGCAGCAGTTACAGCGACCTGGATGGTACCTCACCCACCTCTCCTTCCTCAGCCCAGCCCGCCCCCACCCCAAACCCCATCCCCCCTATCCTGAGGGAGGGGTTGCTAACCGGATACAGATACCTCTGTGACGCGATCCGCCATGGAAGAGGAACTGGCCAGCATGCCAGACGGTACGATGGCCAGCCTCAGAGGGACGATCGGTGGAACCATTGGTGGAACTATTAACCTCTGGCGGAATAGCAGATACCTTCCCGGCAAGCCGAATCACTGAGGGGTGGGCTTATTAGTTGTCGTTCAGCTTTCTTTTCAGGTGCTGTTTTATTAAAGACTTATGCGGACCTGCTTGATCTACTGGGCGAATCGGTCACGAATTTGTATGAGGGTTTTACGGATGGGTTGGTGGCATCTATGGCGTTTACGGGGTTGGGGGTTAGGATTTTCGGGCTGGGTATTTAGGACCTAGGTAGGCAGATGGACAAGCGAGCATGCATGCAAGAAAGATAGTAAGCCGATTTTCTCTTTTCATTATAAGTGTGTTGTGTGTTGACTATGAATACTTATAGAGCTACATCGCAAAATGAATCTTCTCTGCTCTCTATTCTGTTGGATCGTCTTGGATAACTACATTCTCTTCTTCTGTGACTCTTTCCTAGCCACTATGGGTTTCTTCGCTACGTGAACACCGCCAAAGTCGAGACATTAATAGTAGTCTGGCCTCTAGGTCCAGGCGTCCTGTTGGTAGATGCTACGTCGCAAGGGTATGGTCGCTTTTATGACTGCGCGTGGCTTTCCGTTATTGTTCGATCTGTTCCCCTTGGGGGAACTGTCGTTGTATGCTCAGATATCTTCGTCTCGATCCCGCGTTTCCTAGCATATCTGATCGTTTATTGTTGGGAGGACCAGGGAAATCGAATATACCGCATTTGAAATAAAACAAAATAAATTGGGAAAGTTGAAAGGATTAAGTTACCCACATCCGGAAGTGGGTAGAAATGTCGAATGTAAGTGCGGTCGTTTCTTTGCCTTGCTCTTAAAAGATCCTGGTATGAAGGTGTAGAAACGGCAACTCTTAAAGACGGATGAACACTCGCCGGTCTCTATTGGTTAGGTCCGAAGGCCGTTCTACGGATACCGCGAAGGTAGTAAATAGAAAAATTCGAGTCAAGGAGATATCACGTTGTCTTATGTTGGTTGCCGTCATACATATAATTGATAGCCCATCGGCTTCCAAAGTGAAGCTTGCGTAATCTGGCAGAGTAACCAGGCTCCCATCGGTGGCGATAGCGTTAGTTGAGGAGAAGTCCGCTTCCAATAGAACACACTGAAATTCGAAGGGGTTTGAAAGAAAAGAAGGGACAAGTACCCTTTTTTACTCGATTTCCCCTTCTTTCCCCGTGCTGGGTTGGTAATCGCACGTTTAGTCCGCAGGGGAGTGTCTTGGTAGACGCTGGGGTATAATAATTCATATCTCTTACTTCGAGGAACCGATTTCCTAGACTTGCCATCTATTGATTCTTCAGGAATCTCTCTAACATGTTGGAACACAAGAGCGTGCTGGCTTTTCCCTCCTTAGCTCTATGCACGAAGCACGCTCATCGCGAGTTTTCGGCTTCAATTTCTGCACCTGTTGCGTAGAAACCCCAGCCAGTAATTGCGGAAGCGGGTTCGTGGGTTGGACCCTCTGCTTGGATATAATGATGCATCTGTGAATCATAAATCCCCAGGAGTGTTATTCGGAAAGAAGGAAATAAATGTTTATGTAGGTGAGTAAGTAAATAAAATTATTTCCTATGAATATTCATCATATATATAATAGAGGTTCAATTTATACTCCCAAATACACGAGTAAAAAAACGGTAAAAAAAAAAAAGGAACAAGTCCCAAGGGGCTAGCTAAGGTATCCGAACAGGTCCTTGAAGGATTGTTATGGTGTGCATCCTTCTTTAGATATATAACCTTACTGTCGGTCCCCGTCTATTCGCACTGGCCCCACATTTATATTGTGCCTCACATATTCCGTCGTCGCCTGACAACCTAAGGCCTAGGTAATATTTTCTCTGAATGGATACTAGTGGGGAGATATCCCATACAGATCACAGTAAAAACCTATATTCCAATATGAGAGAAGTTGATATGAATTATATATCTTCGCCACATCCACCAAGCTGAATTGTCATTTATGTATCAGATGTTTCCAAGTCCCAACGCTCCTTGGAGGAAATCTTTAATTATGACAGCGCATCTTGAAAACGGGTGATTCATGTACACCCATCAGATAGAAAGCATGTCCCATCCTAGGAAAGGCCATCTAGTAAACATGGATATGATACCCTTTGATAAAGGGACCGCCAATCTTATCGATGATATTCAGATGCCTCCTTTTCGGTCTAGTCATATCTACGCAGGTAGGTAGTCACGATATTAGATTATGTTTGTGTACGTCTGATTCCAAGAACTCACCCTATCAGACCCTCTAGACATCTAACTCTGAATTGTCATATATCAAGCATCATTAGATTATTAGTATGTTTCTAGTGTAGCAATGAGTTGCAACACCTTACGAAAAGATTACGGGCGATTGCCCCTCTATCACGTTCAACATGAAAACCACAGTGCTAGCATTGATTCCTCTCAGGATACCTAGTAAACTAGCAACTTCGAAATCACTGATCATTAACAACTCAGATCATATCCCACGGTGTAGGATGATGTGACTTTGACAAAGTTGTGATCGTGTCAGTTCATTAACTGGCAGCAATGACAGCAAGAAAGATTCCTCCCAAATCAGCTCGTATTCCTCCCCTCAGATTTTTCGAGTTTGTTCATATTGAACCCTGGGAGCAAGGGCCCATAGAGAACACTCGATTCATTCCCAATTGAAACGCGGTTGCAGAAAATAATGATGCCCATATGCCCCATCTTATGATCGGGATGATCAGACGGATGACCAGTTTGTTCCAGCATATCTGTCGGGTATGCTTACTGCTTTGAAACATGGCCTCCATCGTAAGATCTTATTATTAGAGAAATGGCGACAGGAACTTCAAGGTTACCTGTCCTGAGTTGTTGTTGCTCCGAGTCGCTACAAGATGGCGACTAGGTCGGTTCTTGGTGTGGAGAATGCTTAGAAACGATTTGCTATCTCGTGTTCTTCGACTAGTAATGAATGAGTAATTAATAAGTGAAAACGGGGGGAATGGGTTATGGTATGATATTAGATAGAGAAGGCGACATGTAACTTACCATGACCATGATTACCGACGTTGTGAACAGTTCCCCAATAGCTCCACTTGTTAGCCGTGCGGTTGGTTGGGATAGGGGTAGGCTGCTCAAGAGAAGACTTGTCATCGTTCTTGATGGTGCTGGCGTGGTCGTCCTTGGGAGGAGGGATAAGTTCGTTGGTCTCACGGCGCGCACGGGCAGCAGCGCTAGGTGAGGGAAGTTCCTCGTAAGGACCGGCTGCAGGAACGGAAGATGCAGCATCGGTGATCTTAACATCTCGGTTCTTACGGGATCGCCAGACGAATAGGAAGACTACGGTGATGATAACCAGGCTAACAACGCCAACGATGACCCCGATCTCTAGACCAGTAGGAGAGAAGTGCTTGTCGCCATTACCAAGGACGGCAGGGCTAGCGCCGCCATCGAGAGGCGCGCCCGCGTCGTAATGGTCATCGGGGTTATTATCGGGAAGAGGCGCCATCGTGCCGGGATCGAAACGATTGAAAGTGATAATAATAGTGGGAAAATGTGATGGCAAGCTGACCAGACTATTAGTCAACCGACTGATGAATCACGAAATGGATCTTGTTTGACGTGATAAATTTCGAAAAACTCGTTTGAACCGAGAAAACGATTGTGATGCTTGGTTAAGGAGAAGCGATGATAGGGTCGATGACGAAAATTGGCAGAAGTTGTGCGCCGAACTTCCCTGGACGCGCGAAATTGGTTCGCCAAAGGAATAAAAAATTGAGCGACACAAAATCTGTGGGAAAGGTTTTTTGGAAGTTGAAGTTGGGAAGTTTAGACACAGATCATGGATTCCTGTGTAGATAGATACAGGTGTACCGGTTTGTAGGTACACCTGTAGAACTGAGTAAGAGCGATGTGTATATGAGATGGAAGGGGTAAGGGGAATTAGACACTTGAATGATGTTAGTTAAGTGAGAAAGTTAGGGGTAGGTACGACAGATAGGACCTACCTACATGCAGGCACGTCCTGTAGTTGCTCTGTAGTCTCCTTATAGTGATGCTGTAGTGGCTCTTCTAGTTGGTGCTGTGAAATGTAAAGTTTAGGGTATTCTTTTGTACACTCCCCTTTTATCAGATGGAACAACAATTCACATCATCTTAGGTAGGTACCCAACTAGCTTAAAGGTACCGATAAGTTGTATGGTATCCTGCTTCTTGCTGCAAGGACGCCTAATTGATCCACCCATGTAAATACCCTTGGAATGATTAGATCGATAATCGTCTTCTTCTAGATCATATCGATATCGTAATATCATTGGTCGTTTTCATCAAAACCAACCCAGATCGGGAAACCCCTTTTGAGCCAATAATCTTGGGTCCAGATTTGAAGGCCGTATCCAAGTGACGTACAAAGTGCGCGGCTTCATACGTCGGCAATGTGCCTACCCGTCCGAAGCACCTGGGTACCCAACGGCTGCTACACCTTGATCAGATTAGGTCTGCCAACACTGGCGAAATAACAAGTTTGTCGGTAGATGGGGTAAGTAACCGACAAGTTCAGGGTCTTAAGTTGATCTGGCCTCGACTTTAGTTGTAGTACTTGTGTAAGATATAAATGGGGGGTTGTCCTCACTAACAGATCCTGTGTATCCTTCATCCTCTCTATCCCCCACCCCACTCTCCCCAGAGGCAGAGTACATATCTCCTTTCTTTCCAAACTCTCCAAATACTTGATTTATATCTAAAACTTCTCTTTGGCCCCCTCCCCCCTTTAGTGAAATCTGTTTATCAATGTCTTGGACATGAATGTACATTTCGATACGACCAGCTAATTATATCTATCTAACTGTTAGGGAATTATCTCACCGTAAGCACCCCAGAGAACCACCAAAACAGGGGATAGGTCTCGGAAATTTGAAGTTAGAACTGAGAACGAAGGAACTCACCTAGCTACCTTGAGGTAAGTGATTGGTACCCATTCATAAAACCTCCTGTTAAATGTCTGTATAACCAAATTGCTTTTAAGTATAGGCGAAAGCGTCGTTAAAAATGCCAAACACCTATACCTACCGCCTCAAGTGTGGTAACACAATCTGTTTCGGCAACCGAATGATATTGGATTAAGTCATCGAACATTCTGAGGTTGCTTATTTGGGTCTCTCCCAAAGAAATCATAACGCTTAAAATAGGCATTTCCAATAGCTGTCCAGCTTCTGTTGTTCGGGCCGAGCCTATTACCCCCCTAAGCCCAAGTACGTATCTCATCTTTCATTGTGTTTGTGTCCATAACGGTCTCTCGGTAACGGTAACCACGATATCCTGCCGGATTACCGTCCCCGGATCTCGCCGTACGTAACTAGCGAAATTACACATCACAGCGTGACCTGGCGGGTGTTTCGGCAAGGTGATATCCAGAAGTCCTACTCTAGTAGAGTTTACCTAGCGCTTTTCGAGATTCCCAACTCTCTGACTTGCGTAAACATGCGTTATATATCCACCTTTTCGCTCTTTGATACCTATATGCCACAGGTCAAAACATGGAGGCCTCGTGTTTATCGTTGCGTGCTATGTAGGATATTCCTATATATAGCAAGAAAGCCATGAATCTTGAGTTCTTTTTATCCCCGAATGGTGGTTAGCACTATATTTATCTCGCCTTATATGTTACGATAGGAGGGCGTACCTGGTAGGTAGTGTTATTGGAGGCGTTTGTAAAGAATTGTAAAGGGGCAGTGTTCCCCACTTTTCAAGCATAAACTGGAACCCCCTTTTTGATCGCGCGCCTCCAGACCTCCCATCTCCTCGATGGTCTAAGACTCAAATGCAAATTCTGGAAAAATCTGCAGTCACCAGCTACCTAGGTAGTTGAGCCTCGCCTTGCACCGATATATTAAATTTCTCCCGAAGCTCCTTTCTTTGTCTCGGGATATTACCCGAGACTGACATAAAGTTGCATCTCGGGTGCACTTACCTAACGTTCTGCTTCGGTCGCATAATAGAGAATTCTATAGCCACATTTTTTTCTCATGAATACCGAGGCTGAGAATTAAGTAGAGATAGAAGAGTATTAGGTCGTTAGAATATCTCAATTATAGAAGATGCGTCTGAATTCTTCTGGAATCCGCAATGGGTGGTAATGTGCTTTACAAGGTTAATTGCTTAAGATATGTATGTCTATGTAGGGGGGCGAGACATACGTGCATAGCAAATGGCTATTCGTAAGATATAGGTCGGTACCTAGTAGGTAGGTAGGTATGTGAGCATAGGTAGCTACCGTCTTGGAGCAGTAAAGATCTGTATATGTCAGCCAAATCTGAAAGCGCATTGCCTTTAATTACCTATAGGTCAATTGAAACAGGGCCACATCCATTCAATCACTCAGCAAACCCCACTAAAAGCCATCAGTATAAGTAGGAAGCAGCAGAATGTGCCTGATAGATAATCGTGGTATCTCATGGTTTCCCTAAAGGACAGTTGAATCCATTCCATTCCATTCCAATGCTTATCCATAGACCTTAATCAGGACCTCCCCTCAAAAATGCCCATTGTGTTTCATAATATCAAATGCCCAAACCCATGCGCGAAACGCCGCCTTGATGCAATCCCTTTTTTCAATATCCCCATGTGTGATTGAACTGAGTTCTATCTTGTTACTGTTGCTGCTTTCTCAGCACTGATGCTCTTCGCGCGATCGTATTCGTCGAGGAGCGGCGATTCGGTGCCGTCGTAGCGTCTGCGGTGGGGGAAAATGCGCCCGGAGGAGCCGATAGGCGGTTTCGGTTCAGGCTTTGTCGGTTGGGCTCCTGCACGCTATCGGAGCGCTTCTGTAACTTGCTACCCGTGTAGACGGCCAGGATCTTCTCGCCCGTGTCGGTGCTCGAACTTCGATCCATCGCGACTCCCTTCCCCTTCTCTTCATTCGTCGGTTTTTTACCCACAGCTAATAGGGCTAATCCGGATGTTCCTGAGACGGTCGAGCGAGCGCTAGCCCAGTTATCGGCTACCGATTTCGTCTCGTCCGTCACCATGAAGACCACCCCGGATAGGAGGCCGAAGAGAATAACGACAGTGCATATAGCTGCGCCTGCTCGATCGCCTGAGGTTGTCGGCCCGTACAACCTTCCAGAGGGGTCCACTCGCCCATCATCTGAACCTCCAGCTGAAGGATTGCCAGCGCTTGTTCCACCAGTGCCGTTGGTGACTGGCGCTTCGGCTTGTTGGATCATGTTGGCGAGTACTACCTCCAAGGCAGCCATCTGTTGTCCCACGCCAGTCGTGCCATCCCATTGCCCGCTATTGTTCGCCCATTTTAATCCGCACATGCGGTGATTGTCGCCACCTGTGCATTGCTTCGCTGCAGCTACGGCAGAATTCGACAGGAGGGTCTTGATTCGGTCGAACGTCCATGGAGCCCACTTCGTTGTCGCAGCCATCCATCGGCTGAGATAGGCCTTAAACGACAACTCATCGGTATCGCACAAGTTCACGGGTTCGCAGGCAATCTCGATCATAATTCTATCCGCGGTGTCGTTTCCAAAGAAGAAAATCTGCTCTGTACTGTTCAATATTCCATCGACTCGTTCGCTCCACATCTCGACGTCGCCCGACTTCTTCGAAGTAGTGTTCGAATACTCCACCATGGCAGCGGTTCCGAGAAGAAATGCACCAACATTGTAGGAGAATTCGTAGGGTGTAATGGTGGTGCAATTGTCCTCGATATGGCCTCCATCGTAAATCCTGTAATTGCTGTCGATGAACTTCACATTCACCATCCAATCCCAAGTCTTAGTGGCCCAGTCGGCGTAAGTGCTGTTTCCAGTGTAAAGGGCTAGTCGCGCGGCGATGTTGAAGAAGCAGGCCTGCGAGATGGAATTCTTGTAATCGAATCCGTTATTCCATGTGAAGATCTGCCAACGCAATCCACCATTGCAGTGGTCGGGGTCCCAACGGGCAGCTTGAGTGTTAAAGACGGCTTGAGCTAATGCCAACCATCCGGGTTGACCTGAAGGGGGGTTCGGGAACTTGTATTCGGCCGCAGACATGACAGCCATTCCCCAAAATCCTTGGTCATCATTACCTTCAGTTAGGGTCTGGTTAGGGGGCATGTAGTCGTTGTAAGGGCCAACCTGGTGGAGTAGACCCTGGGAAGCGATGTCGTTATAGGTGGTGTCTCCAGTGTAATACCAGTAGTCAACGAATGTACCCATCAATGCGCCAGCCTCCCACCCTAACATAGCGTCTTAGCATATATCGAGCTTTGAAATAAAGGGCGGTATAAAACTTACAGTAATATGGTTGTGGGAGAAGTCCAGGGGTTTGACCAGGTTCGTTGCCATTGTAGAATGACGCCAGATCCTGCGCCATCTGCTTCGCAACATCTTTGATCGAGTCTTTTTAAAACCAGTCAATAACGAAAATCTATACAAATAGAAATGATTTAGATAAATTAGGACTAACCTGTTGATTGAGCATCAAGGTCGTATGTTGCGACTAGACTGCTGGTCATCAAGACCGAGGCTGCCGCAAATGCAGCATTTCGCCAAGAATACCACATCCTGGATGACTTCTGAGGTCAAACTGAGACCTGGTAAACGAAGGAAGTCAAGTCGAACATGGAGATTTGAAAATAGAAAAAAATTACACAGGCCCAATTAAAGGTGTAACATTGCAATTAAGCAAAAAATAGGTTACCAACAGACAGGTCAGGTGTAGTGTGTTTGCGGTACCGACACCCGACTACACGAAAAAATCGTGTGATGATGTTGGTATTTCGTCTAAGTTGTGTCGGTTGGGCGAGTTGAATAACAACGAAGAACCCACGGAAGAGACACGGAAGAATGATGACAAAGGATGATGTCGTGACTTCCTAAGACAGAGAGATACAAGAGATACACAACCTCACGAGATAGATACGTGGTAAGGTAAGTATCTGCATATGTAGAAAGTGAAGAGCATTCGAAATGTCCCAATGAGGAAACTACATTTCCTCTGGAATGCTCCTAATGCCGCAAATCTAGCGTTGAAATCCACTAATTACAGAAGTACATAATACGTACGAAAATAAGCTGTAATAATCAATGTCAATACGAGGAATGCCCCGCGTAAATTCTTCAATTGGACTCAATTGGACAGGGGTTTGGCTGAGTCGTTCGACCTTTCCGATATTTCTCACTGCGTGATTTGAAGTGATAGGAGGTATGGAATATAGAAAAAAAGAGAGAAGGGACGATAGAAAAGCAATTAAGAGGCACTTACCACTAGCCTTATGAGCCGTCTCTTTGTCGGTGCATTTCTATACGAAAGCTGCTACCGATTTGTTTTTCAGCAGATCAGAAGCTTCAACCAGCTAAGAGAGCTGAAAGTGGACCGGCCTTCTCGGATGTAAAGCTCCAGAAGCTCTCGGCCACTACAGCAGACGCTAATGCCACTGTTACGTTGTATGTCGTAGTTGTGTTACTCAAACAATAAAGTTGGTTGTATTTGGATTAGTTGATTGGTAGCCGTCTTCAATGTTCTGTCATCTTCGCAACTCTCTGCAGCTGAACCAAAGAATGTTAGGTTTGAAGACCCCGAATAACCAATGGTCCGTACCGCCCGGCGATATCTCTTGCAGCTCTTGCAGTAGTAAAATGGCTATTGGAAAGATGCGGCGCAAACGGAAGCGATAAACCAACGATAAGAGAAAAAAAAAGATACCTATTAATCAACGTGACCGAATCTCCAACTATACGAGAAATACCACATGCTGTATTCTGTACATAGAATGATCTATATGCACTATCCTGTTCTGCGTATAGCATGCAAGATAGCATATGGAACTATAGTTAATAGTGGAACTGTCTGGAACGACAGTAGCTATTAGCGAGACCCCAGATTCAATTAAGTGCTCAGCTTAAAGGGACTACCTCAATCAAGTTCAATGCCAAGCTTTGCGGAGATTGATATATTTCGCTCTAGCCGATGAAGCCAAACCGGATTGACATAATTGTTAGAAACCCTCATGTTTGCGACCGTGATTGCGATTACGATCGTAAAACCAAACACATCAAAGGATGATGGATTGTCACTTGTGTAACGTCGGTGTCGTATTCTCGCTTTAAACCCGAAAATATTGTCGATCTCGATGAACATGCTGGCATTGATGTAAGGCTTACGCCATCAAGGCCATGGATAACTCGGATTTGAAATCCAAAGAGCCGCAAGAACAATTAGCCGAACGGATTGAATCTGCAAGGAAGTTAAGGGGTTCGTAAGTTGTCGTAAGCTTATTGTCAATGGTCATTGACCTTTGTTGGGCGACACGACTGTTGAAACGGCCATCATCAAGACATGCACAAGTCATTGGAGGAGAGTATCTGGCCGCGAAATACCACACCTGAGCCGATACCAACATCAAATAAATAAGAATCACTGACGACCGGAGTGCGTGGGATGTTATGTAGTACGCGAAGTTGCCATCCTTGGGGTTGAATTGTCGACTAGTTGTCTCCTCGTTGAGTACGACCGAATTTATTTTTATCTTAAGAAATGCGTCGGGTATTTACATAATGGATTTCTGTTGCTGACGTCAGACTCTTCCAGATAGTCGGCCGTAAAGAACAAGAGGACAGGTTGGAATCGTTTATTGGCGTTACGAAGGAGACAGAGGACTTTTGCTACGTCGTAAAAGTTGACAAGTTAAATCCTATTCGATGAAAATATGTAAGGGATCAATGGCAGTGAAATCAAGCTTTTATTAGATTTTAGGGGATAAAAGGCTAATCAACATAATACCAGCGATCTTCATGATCGGCATATTTAGCAACAGAATCGGATAGTGAAGAGATCACGTGGAATGGAAAGAAAAACACGTGATATCTAGCAGCATAGTGTTGTCCGATGTCATCAGAAGTTAATCTACAGAATATTCGTATGATAACTATATGTCTTCTGCATCACTAATGCCGGCTGACCAGAAGTTGATTTATTATTACGGCATAGGAGTTCCGCTACTTCTTTGTATCTATGGATTCACAGCCCATGTAATCCTAATATCGTTAGCATCACCGCCATCTACGTGCGTGTTGAGGGGAACGGCAGGGATCGACACATTGTGGCTTTGCGATCCCGAGAACGAAAAAACCGGGGAGGCGGCACGATGCTGCAATGCGGGGGACACCGACCATTCTCTCGACTCAAGACTGGCCAGTCATTTCTAATACTATTAATATGACAACACGGGAAGTCATAGACCAAGGATAATACCGGTTATCAAGCCGAGTGGCTCTCCGGTGGCTCGCCGGTAAAGAGCCGGAGCGACGACGCTTTTGGCGATATCCCCAACGCCACTCTAGGTAAAGTTGAGTCAGGGCCACGAACTCAGCGAATGAACTCGATTGCTACGCCGCTTTATGAACACACGTGAAGTCCTCGCGTAACCCTAGGTATATATCAGCTTATCCTATAACTCGGCAGTTTCGCATCATGATACTTCGATCAGTAGCCTACAGCACGGGAAAGAGACTCCAGATCGACTCCACAAGACCAACTAAGCTTTTTGTGCCCCTAGGCGACATCATCCGACACCACCCGATTAAGTAATAAAAACCACGCCTTTCATCAGTTAGGACAAGTGTAGGATCCATAGGGCTGAGTGATAGTGAGTGTTGCTTATTTCAGCCCAGGGAAGCGTCCCGATTGATTGGTTATATCCACGAGCTGAGCTCAACGCCTCGCCGTTCCGCAGATGCCGCATCGAAATATTGAATCGGGCGTTCATACGCTAAGCAAAAAGCATGTCCTAGATGAACGCCAATAGTTCTGAGATCGCGATGGCAGTCTCGTAAACTAAGCCTGTGTTCGTCGTCCTAAAGTGTCTTAGTCGAAGGAGGATGAAGAGTCTCACCTCATCCACCGAGTATCCCAAGATCCATAGTTATCCTTAATGATATCACAGATGAAGGCGATTCGAGTCTAGCATTCCAGCTCGCTCGTCTATCGAGGTCGGATGTGGCTTTTACCGGGAAAATCCTTCGCAATTTCCACTCATAAGCCGCCCGGACCATCACGAGATCCAGCACCAGATTGCTATTCGCCCACCGGGGAAGAAGCAAGGACGGCCTAAATTGCGCTCGTCAGATGGTCTCTGCACCTCTCCACGACGCCGCAGAAGATGGCTAGATTGGTAGTACCACAGGAACGCGAAAGGGGGCGCCAAGAAAATATATAAACCCCAAGCAGCCTCGTCGATGAAGAGAGATATCATACATCGCAAACCAATTACCAAGACTCACATCGCCATCTTCACCTTAACTCCAAACTCCAAACTCCATCTATCCAATTACCGACCCCCCACAACTCAAAATGCAAACCTCCACCATCCTCACCATCGCCATCGCGGCGCTTCTCCAGGGGTAAGTTCTCCCTAAACCAACCCTACCTACCAACACCCATACTAACCCACCCAGCGCGACCGCCGTTCCCGCACCAGAGATAACCTCGTCACCCACCTCTCTCCCAGGACACTACGTCTGCACCTCCATCACCACCATCACCACGACCCAGCCACCCATATTCCAATGTCTACCCGTGTGCTCCACGCCATCGAGCGTCTGCTCCCCGGGCGAACCGACCGCGAAGCCGTTCCCCACCATCACCACGACCCCGTCGCCCGGGTGCACTGCCTCCGTTGTCGTCGTCGAGGGCGGTTGTGATCATTGTCCTACTTGCCACCTCCCGAACCCGACTGCTTAGGTCCCGGGCGTGAAGGTGCTCGCCGGGGCTGGGAAGTTGGGTCGTTGATAGTTGGTGGGATGGGGGATACATAGGTATATACATATATTGGTGATGGAACACTTTGCATTGGGTACATGGTCTATGGGATTAGGGAGGACTTGGGCATATACTTAGGGTTGGGAAAAGGTACCTAGACGATAGAAGGGTTCACAGCCTACTTAACTTTTATTCTTGGGTTAATTCATTCATTCATTTGATTGGTTACAGGATGTTCTTGTTGGCTGTGATTGGTTCTTCAGTGCTGGCATGTGTGGTGTTATTATGAACCTCGAGGACATATCTCCTTGGTCCTAGGTTGTCCAGTTTGTAAGGTTTGGTGCCATTGTCAGATAACTTAAGGAGTTCGGCATTGTCCCTTAATCCAGCCAAGTAGATGGAGTAGTAAACCGGGAGAAGATTCCTCTGACAAATCTAGTTTTCATATAAGGTATATGATAAAAGATCGACGTAGCTAAACTCAAATCTGGGTAATATATATGATAAGGAAGGAACACGCTATTACGGAACCTGAATTTGGCTAAAAGGTTAAAATCAATTGCACTATACTTAGACGCGCTAATATTCGGCATATAGGCTACCCCTGTGAGAGTACCGGCATAGGTTCGTCACACACCCTAAACGACCTGAAGAATACGGGGGTTATCAGCGGAGATAACAGCTAATAGACCACAAACCACAGGCGATTCCATCTCATTATTTTGAGTTTTTTTTAGGGAATTTCGGCGCTTCAAAATACAACACTAGTCTATTATACCTAAAATTAAAAGACCGACACACCACCCGGAAGCTCAGTGATCCACTGTCCCGCGCCTCCAACATCCTCAACAACCTGCTGCGCCTTCTTGCACTTCATAGCATCCGCAGCGGACTGGATCTTAAGAACGCCGCAGTTGGCGTTGGCGCATCTACCGGTAGGTAAAGCGTCCATGGCCTTTTGCAGAGAGTCGTCCTTCCATCCAAAGAGGTAATCGCCGTGCTGGCCATATCCAGTGCTGCAGTAAAGGTCAGTATTTAGGTACAGAATTGGCTTGGAGGAGGGAACGTACGAGTCACCGAAGCTGTAGACGAAGGGCTGCTTGCCATTGCCGTACCAGGCCGTGTTCTTGTAGATTCCGGTGTCCCACATGACCTCGTACATGACCTGCGGAATAGCAACGGGGTGAGTAGCAGGGCAGTTCGGGCTACCAAGACCACCGCCGTTGGAGTAGGCAACGTGGGTCTTGTGGTCCGGCGAATCGAGGTTCTTTCCATCCCAGCAGGACGGGAAGATGATCGTGGCGCGGATACCGCCAGGACAGTACTTGGTCGGGAGCTCGCCGGTGTCTTTGGCATCGCAGGGAGCGAAGCCCTCGCCGTTTCCGAGGCAGCGGTGGCAGATCGAGGGCTTGTACACGTTTTGCTTGTTCGTAGGGTCTCCTGCGATCATTCGGAACCCGGGCTTGAAGGCCGTCATCTTACCGTTTTTGGCGCTGTACGGCATGTAGTACACCGTCATTCCTCCATCCTGCTGGAGACCGAAATTGGCGAATTGAGGGACGCGCTGAAAGGTGCCGTTCTCAGGGGACCTGAAGTATAGCGATGCGGTCCAGTAGTTGCTGAAGTCTTCCGAGTAGGTGCAAGTTGTGCAAGTGGACAAGCTGGGCGGATCATATTCAGCTGGGGTCATCTGCGTCATGTCAGTGGCAGTCTTCGATCAGATTCATGTCCACTACCGTAAGATTGAACGAGTTCCCTCCGATGATCTGATGTGTGTGGGGGGCGGGATTTTGACCAGGAGAGACTAGAGGGTCAGCGCGTTCGATAGTGAGCTGCGAGCAACCAAAACGAAGCATATTTTGCGCAGATGCGCGCTGTCCCAAAAGGGCGCCAACGACGAGAGAGCTCCAAAACATAGTGAAGTCCGTTGCGTGAGGTTCTAAAGTGAGCGTGACGATACATTCTGCATCGGGCCCTGCTGGCTTCTTAAATAAACGGCCAGACTACAACAAGACTCCATAGGTCAACCTATAGATTAAGTCTTAGGTGCCGTAGAGAATCATTAATATATATAACTGCCGGTGAGAATTATTTTAGCCGGAGACGAAGGCCGGCCAACTGGAACGTCAAGATTTAAAGGAACCGCCACATGGAACAGGCAGCGCTCGAATCGATTCGACGCCAATCCATGTAAAGCGTATACACACTGCGAAGAAACTCAATTAATTCAATCCCGCAAAGACCTTCTCGTCTTCGTAGGGTGGTCAATAAGGCCGAATCCGCCAACTCGCCAATTCAATTAATATATTGAAATGTATACAGTATAATACAGTACAATAACGTACAGTCTGATACATATTTTACACAGTGTCCTGAATCTTACAGGGGGTTATAGCGTTAGAGGGCGCTGGAAGCCTTGTAACTTATAGGTGGCTTTTTAGGTACCTTAAAGCTAGTGTTAGAACCTTTTAAGGTTATTATTAATTTTGGAATATTTCAACCTTTTCGAAACGAATTAAATCAATTAACCAATCTGATTTAATCGATTAATTCGATTTAGTTGAATACCTAGGTACGTAATAGATAAGTAAATAAAGATATACGTATAATAGTTTAAAACGAGGGGTGTTATACGCTGAGCCTCGGGGCCCTATTAAGTGTAAAAAGGTTATACGCTATAACCCCTATAAGTTACAGGACTTTCAGCGCCCTTTAGCGCTATACCCCCCTATAAGATTCAGGGCACTGTGTGGAATATATATCAGACTATACGTTATTGTACTGTATTATACTGTATACATTTCAATATATTAATTGAATTGGCGAGTTGGCGGATTTGTTCTTATGGTCCGCCGTCCTACCGTCGTAGGAGCTGATTGAACTGATTGAACTGAACTAATCGATTACTTATTAATCAGTTTTTTAACAGCTACCTAGTAAATCGCTAAAAAGAGGGATTACATAATTAGGGACTAGAGTATGCACCCAATCAAAACACTGAGCGTTGAAGGATGCATCCAATGAAAAGCTCCGATAATTGAAGCTAGAGCAATGCTAGAGTGGTCAAGGCGACTTTTTGAGCCAATTGGTGTGTTCCTGGCACGGGAACCTCCTGTGAAATGAGTAGGCACCATGCATCACAACGCATCGAAAGTCAAGGCACAAATATCTCGTTCATATACTCTCGGTTCACTAGTGAGCTAGCTACTTAGACAAACTGGGTAGGGCTGCTACATCGACAGTAAATAAATTTAAATGAGTAATGTAAAGTCAACATGTGCTCTCACTGCTCGCGCCCGAAAGTGAAAGAGCTCGAGCTCGAGGACGTAACGTGGCAGGCAGAGCTCAGTTGTTTGTACCAGACAAAAGACAATTATTCCTTGTAAAATGACCGACTAAGTGAGAAATTGGTTCTTTGTTGACTCCTCCTCATACCAGATTCTGCCAGCCAGAACCGCATACAAGCTGACATTTAGAATGCGAGCACAGCGATGGCACCGACGAGCTCGAAGGCCGGGTGCCCGGGCAGGATCGTCTCACCGCCAACGCGAAAGCCATTCTCAACAGAGTGGTTCTGATCAACTTCCTCGCAGCCGTCCGCATCGTGCGCGTCATGGCCTCTGCACTTTTTTTCGTGCCTGCACGTGGTTGGGCCGTGCCGGCAAGTTACGACGTGGGTGCAATCCCTCGGAACCCGGACAATGCCGTCCCACTCGGTGTTCACCGACCAGGCTTCCCGGGCCTCCGGCTTCGGCATGCTATCCTGGAGCATGATGGTGCTTCGCTTCAGCGGGTACTCGAATTCGGTCCAGGCAACCCGCTCGATCTGATCGTCGGACCGGATGCTGAGGCCAAACTTGTGATGTAAGCCGCGCTGGGCGACCATGCTACAGAAATCGTCCAGGAATGACTCGATGTCAAGCTCCGGGAGATCGTAGCGGCCGTACTCGTAAGCCTGAGGCTTGCCCTCGTCGTTGACGAAGAAGTTGATGCCGCGGAGCAGGGCCTTGCTGTCGGCGGTCACGACCGGTTGCATGGTCTTGATCTTGCCGTGGCCAGGGATGTCAATGGTCTCAAAGACCATGACCTCGCCATCCTTGGTGTCGAAGTGCTTGTGGATGAGACGGATGACCACGTTCTTGGGGACTTGGTGCTTGACCAGGAGGTCGCCGAGATCCTTGAGATCCTGGGCATGGTCGACAGGAGCATCGCGAACGTCTCCGATGTAAGGCAGGTTGTTGTAGGTGGTGGAGGGCACCAGAGTGTCGATTAGGGAAACCATATTGAGCGAGAAAAAAAGAGGGGAGAGAGGAGGGGGTATATGTGGTCTTGGAGTATGGGATAGAATGTATGTGTTTAGAGACGAGAGCAGTAGTTTAGTGATGGTTCTAGTAAGTCTGTGGAGAGATGGCTGATAGTGAGCGAGAGAACGCCGTTTGATAGTAGTCCCCCGGTGGACTATTTATACTTTGATTCAGTCTTGACTTGAGGTGCTTGGCATCAACATGCTAACATTTTCTGAGCAGCTAGCCCTGTGTCTAATGAGGTAGCTGAGAAAGGCACATATGATTGAGCTGGGGAGGTGATCTCCAAGGTTGACTTTACTTACCGCCAGAGATGCATCCGGGATCGATATTGGGTGAAGCAGCCTGGCCTCCCAGAACCAGCCAGGCAGTTTGGCTCCAACAGAGCCAACAGAGCCAACAGGACCAACAGGGCCGGCTAGTTAGCCTTGTACGAGGACATAAATGAAGACAAACACTCCTTAAAACTTATCTCAGGTGGCCTTAAACTAGTACGCGGCGTTGTAGCTTTACTTGTGGTTTAAAATTATTTAATTATAAAATTATTAATACAATTAAACCGCGTAAAATAAAATGCTTAAAACGAAAAAAAATAAATAAAAATAATATTAATGTATAAATATTTAATGTAAAACGAAACGATAACCGTGGAATCTACTTGATTACTGCGAAGCAAGTTTGCTAGTGGCTTAGCTCTGCAACCGACGGGTTACAAGGAGCCTTTCCAACATAGATAGAAAACAATGTTGGGAGACTTATTGGCTGGTGTTGCTTGGTTTGTGTTGCCGCCTGTGTGGTTGCCTGTTGGAGCTTCACTTAAGGCGGATTTCTAGGTCTATAGGCGGCTAAACCTCGCAGTTGGGGCGAACTTCAAGCCTACCTAGTACCTACCCCTCACCACAGCTCAACAACGTCGCTGTCTTCATATAAGACCATCATCTGCACCTGCCAATTTTATCCTCATCAATTCTTAGGGCCTTTTCCCTAAGCCGTCAGGAAGGGGGCTGCACCAGTTCCTACGAAGCCCACACACCTCCTTGCCTATGGGCAGATAAGAATGGTGTCCTTATATAGCACCGACTCCTTCATCAGCCCTGATGGACTAAGCAAAAATCTGGTTCTCAATCGCTCTCTTATGAGCTTGGATGGCAACATTCGCTCGGTTGTCAGCGGCTTTGTCCACCCCGGACACGAATCAATCCAGATGGCCGAAGAATGCGCCCGCAGACACCAACTTCCCAACGACCAGCGTGGCCTCGATCGCGCTCTCTACCCATTTATCAGCTTCCCGCGGCACTATTTCGATCGCTCACCGGGCGAGTGGCACTTCTACAAGCCTTTTCAGCCGCAGCGTGTCCACCTGTTCCTAATGGCGGAGGCCGCGGACCTGACGAAGCAGAGCAGCTGGGCTCAGGTCCTAGCCGTTGCTCAGATTTGCGTGGATGGCTCGTCACTCTATCGGGAAGGACTCGCATCGCTCTGCTGCCACGTCAGCCAGGTTTTTACTTTGCAGCCGACACGCCTCTATGTCCACGCCCTCTACATCCGGGGGTCGACGCTGGAGCTCTGGGTATTTGACCGGGCGGGGATGTACTGTGCCGACACCTTCAACATCCATGCGGACCCGGTACGATACGTCGCTCTCGTTCTCGGCTACACGCTCATGGATTCTGAGGCTCTGGGGTCCTTTAACGTCATCCGGGTGGATACTACCAAAGCGGACTACACAAGAACCACCTTCGTCCCTAAGTCTAAGCACTCTGATTCTCCGACCGTGGCGATACCTGTCAGAGACACCCCGTTCGTGCGAGTCATGGGAATTGTTGGAAGTGGCATGGTCTGCTACCACGCCCAGGACTATAGCGAGGAGCCCCATCGGGTCCTCAAGCCCAACCGGGTCCTCAAGCTCAAATGGCGAGTTACCGACGACATGCCCGAGGAGGGGCCTCTCCAAAAAGCCCGCAACCGCGGTGTCTGGGGTGTCGTCAGGCTCGATCACCACGGCGAGCTGCAAGACACGGCGGAGCTCCGCAAAGGGATTGAATTTGGACCGCCCTTGAAGTTGATTGTGCGGCAATGGGGCGATGCTCTCGATAGGAACAACAGTGGCTTCAAGTCGCACACGGAGTCAGCCGGCAAGGATGATGGCATCCCCCACCGTGTGCTCTGTTTCCACGTCCTATCCCCCCTCGGCCGTCGTCTTTCCACCTTTCAGACCCGGGAGGAACTTCTCCAAGCCCTTCGGGACGCCATCAAAGGCCACAGGTCCCTCTTACAGAACGCCCGGATCCTCCATCGGGACGTTTCCGAAGATAATATCGTTATTGTCGACGATACTTCAGTGAACAGCCCTAAGGGTATTCTGATCGATCTCGATTCCGCGCTGGACTTGGAGGCTGGGCCCAACCGCCGACAGATCACAGGCACCCGCGCCTTCATGTCGATCGGCATCCTCAGGAAGCATTCACACACCTATCGCCACGACCTGGAGTCGTTTCTCTACGTCTTCCTCAGTACAGTCATTGCCAACCGGAACCTCGACCTTCCAGAGGACAGCAAGCTGCACGACTGGAGTCAGGGTACATGGCAGGACTCGGCGCGGAAAAAGGCGCACTTCATGGAGAAAAGCAACTTCACGTACATCCTGGACGAGTTCCCGGAAGAGCATGAGACCTTGAAGCCGCTCGCCGAGGACCTGCGCGACATCCTTTTCCCGATGGAGGGTGATGAGATTTTTACCGGCACGGACCTCGCGGCTGAGAATCGCATTTATAATGGTATGATCGGGGCTTTCGAGTGGGCTATTTTGCAAGAAAAACGCAGAACCAATTAATTTAAAATAAAACTACGCGAAAAAAGGTTATTATAATTATATTAAAAAAATATATTATAATTTTTAAAATATATGTAAAGAGTGATACTGCCCGCGCAGTACGGAAAGTGGATTTTCCCGCGCAGTGTCATGTGACAGTATTGAGTGTACCTCTCCCTGCATATAAATCGCTGTATAAATATATGTACTAGTGATGACTCAATTGACAATTTTCGAAACTTTAATCATACCCTACTATACCTGTACACCTTTAACTTTAACCTTTTATATAACGATGAATTAAATCAACAAAAATACAAACCCGATCTTAATCGATAGGTCTTTCGAAGGGAATTCGATCGATATAGGGTGCAGCTGTTGCAGTAGAAAACTGATCGATGTATGAGTGGTTGAAGTCAAGGCCATACATGGGCTATTTGGTTCGAAGGGCTTTGATCTCATATAACTAGCAAGTTTATAAAAGGCTTCTAGCCCGGATATCCAGTTGAAGAGACGGCTCAGCAGCATACAACCAACTTCAATCCACTGAGCTCTTGAAGGCCATTCATATGAACCTGGTTGCAAAGACCTTCTAGTGGATCCGAGTTTGTACTTTCGTTGATTTAATTCATCGTTGTAGAAGAGGTTGAGGTTAGAGGTGTATAGGTGAAATAAGGTTTCTGTTTGGTGTCAATTGAGTCATCGCGAGTACAAGTAGTTGTACGGCGATTTGTATGCGGGGAAAGGTACCTTTGATTCTGGCGGGGTACTGCGCGGGAAAAATCCGTACTTTATACTACGCGGCCAGTATTACTCTGAAAAAATAATAATTAAAATATATACTTTTTTTATATATTATAACATTTTATTACATTATTCCTAAGATAATGAATTAGAAAAATATCCTTTTCCTAAGTTATACTTATGATCTTCACTATTAAGATGAATTTCGAAGTTCTTGAACGAAGTGTGTGGATCCGGTTCATATAACTTGCCCGAGCAGACATTACAGCAAATTCGGGGGAAGAAGTAAAAGCTGATATGGAGAGACGAGGTATCTAGTAGAGGCATTTCTTGGTCCGTAAATATCATGCCAGTGATGACATTAACCGCACCGTAACGCATGACTCCCTCGAATAGGCCGTTTCGATAGGCTCCTTGTCTCTGCTTGATCTCCCCAAGCCCCTGTTGAAGCCATATTGGAGGAGGAGGGTAGATTTCTGAAATGTAATGATCATTTTTAGGTATTGTGCGAATGGCTTTTACACAACCAATCTCTGGATAGGCCTCATAGATGGGTTCGCCCTCTGGAGTCCTAGCGTAATGTAGCTGATATTTTCTGGATTGTAAACGCTCCACGTATCCCCTTTCCTCCTTACTAGGCTGAGGTGATATCATCCCGTCATGTTGTATAATACTTGCACTGATATCCCCTGGGTTCAGAATCTGGTTTGTCTCGTCCATGGATTGGTCTTGCCATACCCGGGTACTCTCTGAGATTGTAGTGTTCTTGTGGGCAATATTTGTTAATTTATCTGAGACCCGTCGTATCGACTTTCGAGCTGGTTGAGAAACGTGGTATCTCTTCACATGATTCCTAAGAGCTTGTACCGACACAAAGGGAGGATTCTGGCAACCGGGGAAATTGCATTGGGGCTGCGGTAAGTGAGTCATCTCGTGATGCAATCGAAGTGCTTCGGATTCAAAACCAAATGTGGCTCGCGGACAAGAGGCGAGTCGACAAGTATATGCGTGTCCTCGAAATTGGCTTTTGAAAGCATCGAGTTCTTCAGCCGAGACTCCAGGATAATCGTTTTGGGCGAGCAGAAATTTGACGGACTCTTCATAAGATGCCAGCATGCTTGATAACCCATCTTGCAGTGGTATACTCGCTGAAGGAACATAGTTTCCAGCAATTCCTGTTTCACTGTTAATGGGTTAACTATATCGGTGCAGGTAAAAATGCTCACTATTAGTTTGAAGATTTGATTCAAGTCCCTGAAGCGATCTAGCCCATAATGCAGACTCTACTTCTTTCCGAAGTAAAGGATCCAGTATATTTTCCAGTCGTTTGTCCTCGAATACTGGGACGGAATTATTTTTTGAGTCCGGTAAATGACTTCGGAGACCAGAAAGCTTCTTTGCTAGTTCCTCTGCGAGGTCAAATATAATAGAGGGACCGCGGGAATAAGTGGATGCTGCGTGGGACAATAGATATTCAATCCAATATTCGGTAGAATATACATGAAACCCGTGCAAACCTCTAGCCACTCGTAGGTACCTAGTATCTTTAGGGTATGGGCTGCCGAAGATATTTGATCCGGATAGGAGACATGTGATTGTGGCTATACCATGTTCCGTAACGGCTTCTCTTTCGTCAATAACGAAGTTACTTGACGATGATTGAAGAAACCTGACAATTATATGAGTAATCTCAATGAATGATTATCCGTTATAATATGGAAACTTACTCTTTAACTGATACGTGGATAAAAGCCAACGTATTATCTCGACGTTCTTCGATCAAAGTACCACAGATATTCAAAATATATGTGGGAGCAAGGTGAGCGATATCTGGGTCTCCAGCACTGAAAGACAACGCAGACAGGAATTCCATCCTTTTCAGCGGCCGCCTTGCAAATGCAATCCAAGAGAAAATAGATTTAACACGATCCGCCGATTGGGTATCCAAACGGACTAGGATTTGAGTTAGGATCTTTCGGTAACTACGGACAAGTTAGTACTTATTGGGCTATCAAGTTAATAAGAAGGGCCGGGTTTACAAATCGGATAACTCTTTTGGAAGCTCGTTTACGGACGATTTGACTTCGGAGCCTCTGTAGAATATTTTGTTATCGAGGAAGTCAAGAAGTAAGCGCGCATAGAGGAACATTCCTAAGAGAGTGTTAGTTCACCATGGCTAAAGATGCGCTATCCCGACCTGACTTACCGTCAGACTTCTTTGTAATCTCATCTCTAATATCCTTCATTTCGTCTGAATTGAGGTGGAGTTGGACGAACTTTTCATGAAGGGTTAATAGTCTCTGCCACGTATAGTGCTTTATAGCTAATCCCATGTTCTCTTTCTCTTCGGCGAGGGAAAGCACCTGTCCTTTCCGAAGGCGGGAAGACATAGACGGCGAGACACGACTAGAAATGAGGACTTTACAAGTTGTTCGGATAGAAGAAGGGGACCTGGACGTGATTTGGTTTATCAAAGTAGCCACACTAGCCTGTTTTTGTGCGTCACACTCGTTCACGCCATCAATGACAATCCAGATGTACTCATTTTGGCGGGGATCGTGGGATATGCTTGCGAGGAGATCATGTAGAAGTCTTTCAAGGGTAGGTATTGCAGGGGACTTCTTTCCCAAGACATACTCTTCATAGACGTGAGCGACGAGGTCGCAATCTTTCTGGAGTAACTGGAGAAGCATCGATCGGAGGACATGTTCGTAGGTAGTAGAGTAAGGATACAACTGTGTGCAAAAATGGGAAATAACAAACATCTTGGCTTTCCTCATGAAGTTAATAAGTTGTGCTGATAAGACACTTTTTCCAGTTCCAGGGCCACCTTGCAGCCAGAGGACGTTTGTCTCCGGCCTTTGCTGAAGAAACGAGCTGATTTTCTTATCTTTCAAAGCCCAACTACATGTCCCCGGGTACTTGGATCCTTCGGCCGATATAGAATCGAAGATAGTCAGTTGCTCCGATTCGTCTGCGTTGAGCCACGAAATAATAGACCGATATTTCGTGGCAGCTTGCTCTTCTTCAAATTGCTTCGTTTTGTCCTGACTTTCTTCTTTCCATGTATAAATATCCTGCCGTAACTTCTGTAAGTCTGAGATATGATGGGCCTCCGCTTCTTTATCTATAAGTTCTCCATGACGGTCTAAATCCTGGAAGATATTGTCAAACCGGTTCTGGAAACGACCCCATGATGTGAGGAACAACAGCTTCCAACCTGAAAGGGAGTCAGACATAACTTAAGCAACGGGGAAATCACCACACTGACCGCTCCGATGAACGAATTTATAAGCGTGTTTGTGGAACTGAAGTATGTCGGCGTAGTATATAGCAAGTGTTTGCTGGAAATCTGGCTTGTTGCTAAAGGTGGTGCCGAGAACTTCAAATCTTTTTAACGACTCGGCAATTCTTGAGTACCCCTTGATGATTTTTTCGAAGGCTTCTACGTATTCAGAGGCGACTCGTAGAATCAAGGTGATTGGAGCCCATATCCAAGCTAGGTATGGTGTGCCATTACATACAACATCCACAGCCTTAGCGTAGTGTTCGAGACCTTGAAAGAGAGGTCCAAGTCGTCGCATATTTCGAAGACATTGCCTCGCAGCAAGCTGGTTTTCAATATCAAGGGCTGCTTTCCTGATATGTTGAAGTGTTGAGTCAGGAAAGTCGCGGGAGTCGGCGGGAGTAATGGTACGGTCAAGCTCTTCGAATGCTGTCCTTATGGTTCGGATAGCTGGCGCTGAAACTGGGTTTTTTAAAGGCATTTCGAATGATAATTGAGCTTCGACTACCCAGGTACCTAGGTAGTTAGATGATTATCATTGAAATTAAGTAGCTGGTGACTTTACCTATTTAATCGACAGGTTCTGAAGTCATGAACATAGGCAGGCAGGTAGGTAGGTAAAGAGAAGAGATTAGAGAACTGTTGGCTCGTACGTACATACCTATCTACCTACATATGCCCAGCTTTAGGTGCCTATCCGCAGTAAGGCATAGCCACCGCCACTACAACCTGAACCTGATACGTGGACCTATAGACAATCAAATTTATCATCGCTCATTCTTCCTACGATTCTACAAATTTCGGCCATGAGCTGAGATTCTGCGACGTCCGCATTACCTGGTACTATTCTCATCGCACAAATGGATTTCGATCATGGATCCCATCGCCCTTCGAAGCGACCTCGGTTCAACCTTCCTCCACTTTCATGGGCAGTATCGACACAAGAGCGATTAAATTTGGAGTTTCCCCAGCACCCTACTGCTAAGCTAGGACTGAATTATGATTCTATATCACTTCCGCCACCTAACAGATTGTACGAATCCGCTTCCAACAGCAGCCTATCTCCTAAAATTGGGCCAGAACTTGCGCCTTTCAGTTATGCACAGCCGACCTACCCCCCACTGCCAGTCGATGGTATGAGACCGCCAGTGCCTCAACCCTACAGCCCTTACCAACCTTCTCAGGCCGAACGCTCTATATATGCATCCGGTACACGTCCCCAACTCACCAGTCCGGCCTTGGAAGATAATCCCGGACTCCAATCACACATAAGGCCTTTATCTCAAGCGCATTCAGCAACGCCTCCACTGCAGGACGTTACAAATAGAACAACATGGCCTGAACATGATTACAATGCCCAAGTGAATGTCCCGTGCAGCCCAGCTTCAAACCAGAGCGAGACGGTTTGTTTTGGAATGGTTGGTTGATACGCCTTTTATATCCCTCCAAACTAACATTCAAAGGTATCCCACATACCTGGTACATGTGAGCAGTTGGGGACAGTAGAAATTCTACCAGAGTTTCCAGTTCGTCTTAATAGTCCAGGTATGTTTAGTCTGGAAGGTAAAGAAGATATGAGCGGTCGTATCCAGTCAGCACACAGCCAAATGATCCACGGCTTACTCGAAGAGCAAACCCTCGAACTTCATGTAAACTGTGTCCTGAATACACACTCAGCAAAGACGAAATCATTCCGGAAGTCCAAGTTGTTACCATGTATATTAGAGATCACTGTATATGGACCACTAGATCTCTACGATGAAATCGGCAGTTGGTTCCAAGAATACGAAATTTACCTTCAGGATCCTCGGATATGTCATCTGGACGTTAGATACTATAACCCTCACAGACTCTCGTCGGACAACCTTGAATCCCATACTTTAGTTTCCGAGGTAATAAACAAGAATTTGGCCTTAATACCTCTTCAGCATGTCGTCGAGCAGACCGATATGCTGGATGTTCTGAGTAATAGTGCCGATTTAGAAGAGACCCCACAACCAGAAGCTATAAGAGCAACATTGAAGAAGTATTCTCCATTAACTTAGCGTCTCTTGTTATCATACTAATAGCTCATGCTAGACATCAAAAACAAGCTCTTACATTTATGCTCCATCGAGAAAAGGGTTCGATAAACGCCGAGGGATGTAAAGATATTTGGGAGACTGTCAATAATGACCACGGGCGAGTGTGAGTATTGCTTGGCGGCATTATTCCATTATAGAACCGACTAACATTATCCTAGATTTGTCAATACAATTACGAATACCTACCAGACCGAAGAACCCCCGCAGTTCAGCGGCGGCATCATTGCAGACCCTATGGGTCTCGGTAAAACATTGAGCATGATTTCCTTAGTAGCTACTGACATCGACGCCCGTTACGGGCTTAGAGCTTTGGATACTGAGAGGGGAATAGGCACTACACTTATCATCATCCCTCCGCCACGTAAGTTTCCCTTCGTGTATCTGATATCACACGTACAAGAACTTATCGACATTAGTAATTGGTACCTGGGAGGAGCAGCTAAATGAGTATGCTATTATACATCAAGTCGCACCCTTACCAACCTACTACTTATGCTAACAATATATTAGACACGTATTTGGAGATTGTTTGAAATATTGCCGCCACCATGGCAAAACTAGATTGAAAGACCTAACAGAACTTGAAAACGTGAATGTGGTATTAACGACATTTCATACCGTTTCGGCGGAGTGGAGCGCAGATGCAAGCGCGGCCGACTCCATCTTATTCTCAGTTCGCTGGCGAAGGGTAATTTTAGACGAAGGTAGGCTCCTTTCAATTTGATATAATACATTTCAATCTTAACGGTTATCTAGCACATTTCATCAGAAACGGGAATTCAAGAATGTCCCGTGCTGTATGCGCACTTGAGTCCGAGTGTCGATGGGCTGTTACGGGCACTCCTATCCAAAACCGACTTACCGATCTGGCAACTCTCTTTAAATTCGTTCGGGTCCACCCATATAGTGATCCCAGACGGTTTGAATCTGATATTTCAAATCTTTGGAAATCAGGAGAGGAGGAAGAAGCTGTTCGAAGACTCAAGCGTCTCTCAGCTTTCCTCTTACTCCGTAGACCTAAAGGGACCATCAACCTTCCCGCTAGGCAAAATCTTTTATTACCTGTTGATTTCAACCATGAAGAAAGGCAGGTATATGACAGTATGCGGAACCAGGTTATCACCAGAATCGATGAAGCTCTGCATGGCATCTCCGGGGTGCCTAGGGCTAGTTCATATCGCAACGCACTCCAACAAATTGAATCATTACGATTATTCTGTAACTTAGGGTTGCGATACCACTCGAGACACAAAAGTGATGGGGGTTTACTTCCAAGTTCAGAAGAGTGGCTCAAAGTAGCCCAACGTACCTTCGACTCCCAAAGAGAAATAACGCCAATATCATGCAGGCAATGCTCTTCGGTGGCTGAACCAACAGCAGAATGGTTGAATGAGCCAAGCACAACTCGACGAAGCGCACAGTTTTTCGAATGCTTGAAGTTTGTGTGCGGTGATTGCATGGATAAACTTAACCGCAGCGGCCATTCGATGACTTGCGGTCATAATCCTTCATGTGCTGTAGCCGCTGTTTCGACAAATAGCACTGCTCTGGAGGAGACTCCAGATCTTGAAGCAGCTGAAATGGGCACGTCTTTTACTAGTCTTCCTTCGAAGATTAAAGCTCTAGTAGCAGATCTCAAGAATAAACCCACTGGTGTCAAATGGTACATCTCATTCAAAGGAGACCCCCCTCCACCCAAGATATTTAGGTACTAATCGGCGGCAATAGTGTTATATTTTCTACTTGGAGACTTACCCTTGATGTCGTCCAAGCTGGATTGAGTAATGCAGGAATACGGAGCACCCGCTTCGACGGCAAAGTTCCTCAGAAGGACAGACAATCAGTCATAGACAATTTCAGAGCAGATCCGAGTGTCAGGGTAATGCTACTCACTCTCTCTTGCGGTGCAGTTGGGTAAGAACCTACCTACCTACCTACCTACCTACCATCTCATCAACCCACCCTTGACCTAATTACGGGACAACCACTTACATGTAATAGTCTCACCCTTACGGTAGCGTCGCGTGCGTATCTCATGGAACCACATTGGTAATACCTATGCTTCACTTTACACTCTGTCTTGTCGTTTCTGACGAACCAGGAACCCAACTCTCGAAGAGCAAGCCCTGGCACGGGTTCACCGGCTCGGGCAGGAGAAGGAAGTCACAACTGTGCGTCTTTATATACGCGACTCGTTCGAGGAGGCAAGTTGGTCCGGATGATGTCTTTAGGTGCTCACCTAGGTACACTAACACCTCAATAGCAAGTTATGCAAGTGCAAGAATCGAAAAAGCAACTCGCTGGTGTGCTATTATCACCACACGACGGCAAGAACACGGACAACAGCCTCGTAGGACTGGAGGTAAGACAGCAACAATGTATTTTGACGCTTCCAATTGACACTTGAACAGAAATTGCGCGCATTGCTTTGATGTCCAGCTTGGAACAAGAGAGGGTGTGAACAGATTGATTGTAGCCGAATATTTCTTCCCAAAAGGGGTAACGAGTCATGTAGCACAACAGGAGGCTGTATGCATAGAAATAGATCTAACTAAGAGGATTGGATTTCAGTTTTCGGTGAACAGAACACTGCCCTCCCTTTTACTAACCATTTCGTAACGCTTCCCAATGATGGCAATGTACCTATAACCTGATGCATATAGGTACTACCTACCTACCCAATGCACCCCAAAGTTTGACAGAATACCGATGAAGCCCAGAGCCTACATTCGTAACTTAAGGCGTCAACCGGAGTCTAATAGGATGTACATATCAGGTAGGTAGGTATGGAAGGCTGCCAGCTATGAGATGGCGCAGCCTGCTTTTCGATGCGGTACGCAAACCGGTAGACTGGAAGGATCTTCCACCCCTACACTGCCGTCTCTTGGAGGCGTCTTCGATCCATTATCAACCTATAGAATTACATCTTGCCCCCAGCAAGAACGCAAAGCCTGCATATTGATTGCTACCTACATGCCGTGAAACGATCAAGTATCAATCTTTATCAGATCATGACCAGCAAATAGGGATGCATTGGGACGACTTGGTTACACGTAGATGTATATGTGTCGCATTCAATCCTTCAAGTGCTATGTTGTAATAGTTAATAGTATAGATACCTGTTTTTAGATTCTGACATCGCGCTTCTATGAGTCGCATTTAGTAGGTATTGTTGCGACGACGTACCGGAATGACCTACGATTTCGTGCGCGCTTCCTGAATAACGTGGCGCTAAATGCGCTCCCCATACTGCACGATAATCCTTTTCCGTCCGGAGATCGACATGGCCGTAGCAAATCGGTGTATGTGATGAGCATGAGGCTTGCAGACGAAAAGACAGGCTGGCGCCACGGCGGTCTTAGTCGCTACGTAGTACGTATTTCGCCTTGTGAAAATTGATTCTGCTTTGTAAAAACACTTAACTTGGCAGCTGTCTGGGACTCTGGGTGTGCTGGACGTACAGAAGGCGCATTCAAAACATTTTGCCATAGGCTGATCAACACCAGCTGGCGGTGTATCCGCTCACAGCTGTCACCCAGCTGCTGACTGCTGGCTCCGATTCCCATGACAGCTGCAAACACTCATATCAACAGTTGGCTTGCAGCTGTGGCCCACTTCAATGCCAGCTGTTGCCGATCTACCTATGGCAAAATGTTTTGAATGCGCCTTCTGTACGGACCTTGGGCTAACATAACGGAGCCTTGCAAGCGTGTATCCACCAGTTCGATCTCGATCACGATGCTCCGTTTCTCAGTCTCGATGAACTAAACTTTAATATTCATCGTGAATATCCATTCTGATTCCCCTGATTGCTGCAGGTAATTAGGTAATCTATGAATAGAGTCTTAAGCGAGATGGAAGCACTGGCCATAATGTGTTCTTACCATCGACTCGCCATGGATATTAGCTGCTAGGATATGAAGATATTTCAATGATTGGCAGTCAAAGCGTTCGGTCTCAATAGCTTGGCCCGGCGTAAACAGATGTGAGAATCGTCTAGGACCTCACAGGCCATGATATGTCCTTTCACCCCTTCCCCCATACCCGTTCTGTTTTGGATCCCTAGAACCGCTGCAGCCGCTGCTACCGCTATCTAGACTCCATGTCTGTTAATCTTTTCGGCTCACGGCAGAACCTAATCTGTCGACATTGTGTCCTTGTCGTTAGTGATTTAATTACGATCCGACTAGGTGTTAGATAGTTGCTTAGTGTTTGGCTTATAAACTGGGCCAAATAGTTGAGCAAAAGCGGAGTTTCACAGGGAAGTTAGCTGGATATCAGATATTTCACTGGCATGATGCTGACAAACCTACGGAAGAACTCAGCTGGCTATCTCTTTATGGTAAAATATTATTGCTCTAGTTTAGTCTGTAAAAATTGTGATATTCTTATGCCTGCCTACCTCTTCTTAGACTTCATATTTTAGGAAAAGACGAGCATGATACTACTACTTCATCCTTTGACCTATCCCTATTAGTCGTCTTGATCAACCCATAATGATTTACCATTCACCCTAGCATGTACCAAACACGAAGTTTTCCCACCAATTCTGGCAAGAATCGATCCGAGAAGAGAAAGTCCATGTCTCAAGATGCAAACTACCCATGATGACTAACTAGCATGGAAGATGATATCCATGTTGACAACGGTGTTTTCCGTCAAAGAGGTCGAGCCAGCATTGAAATATTCTGGATTGGCCGACCGAACCTTGCGAGACTGGTACAATACAGTCGCATCGTTGCAGTTTTGCATCGCATACTCCTATCGTGCCCCCCCGGAACACGTGCTAGCTGTGATTTACAAGGACCCCAGGCCCTACAGCACACTAGGGAAGCGGTCTGTCGATCCGCGATGTTTCTTACAGTGTGTAACATCCAGGTAACATCCCAAAATACTGTATGTAGCTGACGACCGTCTGGTAGCGATTCTCGGCATGGCCGATTCTGGTTAGGGCAGACTCCATGACGGGACCCTGCAACAACGGGACGGCCCCGGTTATGGCCCTGTCTAGCGCAAGAAGCCTGGACAGAACAATTTCACGCTATTTCCCGACAAGTCAGGGGATATTTGTACTAACCCCCACACGCTATTCTGCTTCTCCGAGCCTGCAAGCCTGCGAGTATTTGCCATGTGGAGCCCTGTATAGCATGATGATAATGCTAGAGCCTAGCAGGCTGGCACTGGCAGGTCAGGTATGTACATACACCAACGAACATATTGTCATGCTCGGCAATCCAGATATCTGGATCATGTTGATTAGAGAACGGTACGAATAGAGCTGAGCGATGAAACCTATACTCTCCACCGTAGTTCCAGTAGTTTGTACCTAAAAGAGCTGATCTACAACTCGATCTGCCAGTGAACGCAGCTGTTGTAAGGGTGAGGCGCGGTAACATTCGTCTTCGCCTACGGTCGGATTTAGGGGTAACACAGGAAGCCGTTCCTTCACAGAAACCAAATTGAAATAGACAGCCATTACAGCGTACTTTGATATCATAACAAAAATCAAACTAAGAATCACGGAGTCACATCAAGCCAGAAGACCATTACCTAAACCAAACCTACCAGTCCCATACCTACCTCCCTCGCACACAATGAAAGCCTACAAATTAACCCAATGGGGGCAACCAGGCCAATACGTCGACGTGCCCAAGCCCACCCCCGGGCCCAGCGACGTGCTAATCCGTATGAAAGCCGCGGGCCTCTGCCGTTCAGACCTCGACATGGTCGACAGCAAGCCTGGCTCAGCGCCTTACGCGAACTCTCTGGAGGCAGGGTACATCCTGGGGCACGAGAACGCGGGCATCGTCTCAGAAACCGGGAGCGCAGTAACGGACCTTAAGGTCGGCGAAGCCGTAGTCGTGCACCACATGCGGCACTGCGGCAACTGCGAGTACTGCACCGACAACGCGGAGCAGCACTGCGAGGCCTTCAAGCGCAACGCGATCGGCATGACGCGCGGCTGCGGCATCGACGGCGGACTAGCGGAGTTCCTCCTCGTCCCGCGCACAGAGGTCATTTCCATCGGCGACGGCGACCCCGTGCTCTACGCGCCGCTCACTGATGCGGGGGTTACCGCCTACCACGCCATACAGACCGCGATCCAGCGACTGAAGCCCGGGACCAGCGCTGCGTTGATCGGGATCGGGGGGCTCGGGTCCTACGGCGTGCAGTTCGTCAAGCTGCTCTCCTCAGCGCGTATTTTCGCAATCGACAACATCCCGGAACGTCTGGAAACCGCGCAGGAAGTCGGGGCGGACGAAACCGTGCTGTTCGCCGGCGACGGCAGCGCCGCGGCGCGGGAGATACTGGCGAAGACCGGGGGGCGCGGGGTCGATGCGATCGTTGACTTCGTGGGGACTTCGGGGACGCTGGGGCTCGCGGCGAAGATATCGCGGCCGCGGGGACGGATTGTGCTTGTTGGGATGCAAGGGGGGACGTTGGAGGTTGGGTGGGGGTTGTTGGCGACGAGTTGTGAGTTTGCGATTAGTTTGGGCAGTACGAGACAGGATCTGCGCGAGGTGTGTGATTTGGCCCGGAATGGGAAGTTGAGGATCGATGTTGAGAGGTTTGGCTTTGAGGAGCTGGATAGGGCGTATGAGGCCCTCAGGAATGGGTCGTTGAAGGGGAGGGCGGTGGTGGTGTTCTCGTAGATATTGGATGCTGATAGGTGCTTCTGTAGGGCTACCTTGATGTCTTACCTTGATGACTACCTCGTATGATAGGAGGTATGCTGCTGCTTTTGCAGGCAATATCTCATGAAGAAAATACAAAATAGGTACTTAGGTACATATTCAATGCTCAATATTCCATCATAGACAGTGTTCGTTCGATGATTATTACTGGCTTTACTATGGTGTGGTGGTATCAAGCGAGTAGATCCCACGGAGCGCTAGAAGGGTTCACCGCATAGGTTAGGCCTTGCTAATTTCGGTCACCAGTAACTCCCTTGTCCTGTTTCAGTCAAAGTCCAAGGCGTTCTAGAAATCTGTACATAGTAGGTACCTAGTATAATCAAGTGGTCTGTAAGAGGATTGGATGGGATTATACATTACTATTAGTGTCGTTATAGATACCTATATACTGGGTGAGGTTGCTAAATACTAGGTAATTTACTAAAACAAAAGAAACTTATGTTGGTTTAATGACAGTTTTTTTTCTCTTCTAATATGGTGCAGTCTAAGCTGTAAGGTCTAGATACAAAGTTTTGACGACGCAAAGAGATCTATGTGCAAAATTACATGTACATAACTCCGGCTTTTTACAAGGAGTACTGCAAGAAGTTAGCTTTCTAGGCTTTTCCGCTTAAGCCTCTCCTTCAGAGGTTTTTGTAATTTGCTTTGTCTCGGTAACTGCCTCTCCGTCCTGCGTGGGGGAACGGTCGACCAATGACAAGACGTCCTTGTCCGTATCGCTCTTGTGGTAGAGTTGTCGGCTGACGTGGTCTGTTAAGTGGCTGTCGAAGTCGCGGATGCAGAGAGCTGCAATGAGAGAAACAAGACCCAAGGCCAGACCGGTGTAGTAAGGGTATGTGTAGGCGCCAGCGTAGGCCTGAGCAATACTTTGAGATGCTACTGTGAGGATGTCGTCGTTCATTCCGGGTACAGCTCGGAGAGCATCTTCGGTTCCGACAGAGACAGCCGAAAGAAGGGCCGTTACAGATGATGAAGGTAAACCGGCTGCGGTAACGGCAGGGACAACGATCGACGTCAATTTCTCGGGGAGCTTGTTTGCTATCTCAGCTGTAAAGACTGCAGTAAAAATGGAGCCAACAACACTACGCATCGCAGAAACGACAGCTGCATATATGTTAGTTCAGTGCCTCGAATATTAGTTAGGATAAAACATACCAAAGGCGACACCAAGGTCCATATCAGATGCGACGTATTGGACCATAAGCATAGTGACAACTTCACCCCATCCTACGGGAATAGTAGCTAGGAACGAAAAAGCAGCAGCCCGTCCCTGTTGATCTGTCTGGATCGAGGCCATGGCTCCAATAAACGCGGACATCCAAGCACATCCGATAATGAGCTGCCAGCGAATATGCTTGATGATATGGAACAGAGAACCGACAAAAACAATACCAGCCCAAGCTCCAAACGCGACCGTTGTAGTAAGCCAAGCTGTTGTCTCCCAATCGCTGTTACCGAAAACTCTCGTGACTTGCGAAGGCCAGGTGATTTGTAGAGCGACGTTGAGGCAACCGGTGACGGCCGAGATGACCACGATAGGGGTAAAACCAGTCAGGTCCTTGAAGAAGTGCATCGGGATGATGGGGCGCTCTGCCCCGCCGAAGATTTCATACAGGATGAAAGCGACAAGACATACGAATCCTGAAATGAGAAGACCGAGAATCGTGGCGGAATCCCAGGCCAATGGCTGACCGCCCCAAGAAACACCAAGTAGAAACAGTGCCAGGCCGGCGACGAGCAAGAATACTCCAAGAAAGTCTATCTTCTTGATCTCGTCGATTGTCTTGCTTTCTTTTCCGTGCATTTGGGTGAAGGACGGGGGGAAGTAGAAGAAGTAGAATAAGATCGTTCCGGGAATCATGAAGATGATGTAGATGATGAAGATCCATCTCCAAGTTGTCTGGAGTACAATCCTCTGGCCAAGGTAGGCGCCGAATCCGGTGGCGATGACATTGGGAATGACGACCAAGACAGTAGCTAGGTACTTCGTCTTGTTGGTCGCGAGTTCACCGGTGAGTAGAGGGTAAGAGGCCGGCGGGCCTGAGGCGAGTCCGAGCAAGACATTGGCACCTATCAAGACGTCCATGTTCTTCGCCGTGCACGCGACGATCCCGCCGACTATTCCCAGGAGGTTAGCGCCGATAGCCAACCATCGGCGACCGAACCGATCCGATAGTCGGCCAAAGAGCAGAATGCTGATGCAGTCGCAAACGGTCCAGACGATAGAGAACAGACTTGCATTTGCGCTTGGGCCAATATCCCGGTTGATGGCGGTGATCACAGCGGCGCCGACTGAGAAGGCCCAGTATGTGCCTAACAGACTGAATCCTATACCACCAAACGTGCCAATGACTCGAGTGCTAGAGTAGTATCCTGCCGGTAGCTGTTTCGAGTCGGCAGCCAGCGCCTCAGAACGAAGCTGATCGCCATCTTCTTTCGTGCGCGTGTGAGCGATTGTTGACCCCGCGATATCCGACATGGTGAGATTTGGTGACGAGCATGTAAGATACTAGGTAGTCGAAAAGAAATAAGGAAAAATAGGTTACAGATTATTACAGATTACAGGCGACAGAGACATAGGATAAAAGACACGAGAAAACCCAAACGTTGGCGTTCACGGCCCTTTTCTTGCAGCCTCGATAGTGGGAACAGCTACGAAAAAAGGACACCAGCTAGCCTCAGATCAAGAATCCGAAGGAGCATTCCAAATCCAGTGACAGGCCGGACTAAACCCAGAAGCATCGTATGGTCGACCCAGTTCCTTGGGCAATAGTGAGGGGAAGGGATCCCAGATAGGCACTCGATACATACCAATATGTTCATTATACCGTCTATCAACATGTCTATTCTCCTTAGTATGCGGTGTTTATTACCTTAACTGGAAACAGGATGCAACCCCCTTATCCTGCCAGTCCGGCCAACCTGGAGCCAAACGCAAGTTCCCTTGCATCTAACAGCATGATATTACCTGGGCATACCTACCAGGGCAGTCATCGTCCATTAATCGACCATTACCTAATTTAAGGTCGTCCGCGGTAACCTTTAATAGTTAGGAAGAGTGGAATCGTGGACGATATAGACGATGTAGGCGATGTGGGCGATGTGGGAGAAGTGGACAAAGACGTAAACCATAACGAATATGATCCGATGATCTAGAATTGCCAGCATTGCGCGAACTATATGGATATGGATCTTATTCAGCGAAGCAGAGAATTGCAGGGGGTTCACGCAATCTTACGCCAGCTGGACTGATAGTCTGGTTCAGTACTCAAAGCGTCCTGACGCGGGAAACTGGCCTACTATTTGAGTACTTGCGTGCCGCAATGGCTCGTGCAAACCCAGATGGAACTCCCAATTACCTCCTATGCATTTTACGTCTAGTTATTTGATTTACATATTACCTACTATCTTCCAACACGTCTTAAGAATCAAATATCTTTGTGTGGACCGCCAAAACTACGATCACCGAGCGTAAAATGCCCTTCACTATTCGGGGAATGCAGTTCGTTTCCGCGTATGTATAAGGCGACTAGCATAATTGCCACTGCAAATGTTTGAAATCCAAACCGAGCCAAGCGAGCCACCTTCGGCAAGTACCTTTTGTGCAAATTACTCCAGGGGGGTGACCTGTCGACTTTCATAGAGACGGCCCGAGGTGGCTGACGATGCGCGATGGCTTGTTCAAACATGCCTTGCAGGCTTCAAGGGCCTCTTTCTATGCACTCGAAGGTGTGTGACATGAGTTGCATAGGGAGTGGGTTAGTTGACATTAGTACCCGGTCCTATATCTTGCACAGTTATAACCGGGGGTTGGTTCTACATTTTAAGGTTAACTGCAGTATGGATGCATTTATAGACCAATCAGAGAGCCGATGATTGCATGTATCTATGTACGTATATATAACATGGTCATATGCTTTTTATACATGAGCAAAAGCCACCAGTTATATCCAGCGGAACGGGTCCTGACGACATACGCGTAATTAGAACTCTCTTTTTTACCTGTCAGATTTTGACCTGTTATCTCTTCTCCCGTTGCCGTGGGCTCAAAAGAGTTGCGTTGAGTCGCGAGAGTTGCTAGTGGCTTTACTACCTAATTATGCCCATCTCTGCTATGTACGGCATTCAAGCCGGGGCGAGACGGGAGCTAGTGAGGCTCTCTTGTCTCCTGCCAATACGAACGAGCCAACCTTGTCCTGTGGATTTTAGGATCCGGACCCCAGAAAAAGAACATCAGCATCTTCGCGGTCCTAGCGTCTTACGGACCCTTCCCGTTGCAGGGTGTGCCGGTTTACAACACCCTAGCCCTTTTCTATTGCCGGGGTTTTGCATGGTCGATATGACTACGCCGTTAAGCTTACCAGAGTAACTGATTTGTTCTTTTTGCGAACCCTTTTCCTTTTTCTATGCGAAGAGGAAAAAACCGCGAGATTCAACCCCTGATCTTGAGGATCGACAATAACTCGAAGTCGCTTAGGTAACACTACAGATTGTAACTGCGTGAAAAACTCTGTCTCTGTCCCTGTCTACGAATGTAGACGTCTCTATATTATAAATGAGTTACCAAACCCGCTTTGCGGCCGCCGAGTAAAGAGCGATCCCCATCAGCCGCTGAGACACAGTCACCGCATGCAGTGACTAGCTTCCGCCTCGGAGAATTTCCCCACGAGAAGTCCAAGATGCCGACCCAGGAGGATGTGAACATCGAGTCGTACACCGAGTATGCTCTCGGCATGGCAATATTCCTCACTCGACTCATCACTCGATTAATGCTGGTGGGCTTCCGAGGATTGTACTGGGACGACCTCTTCACTGTTGTTGCTATCGTATGTTATTCTCGCCGGATACTCGGAATCGAATTCAGGAGAAGGGATGGCTAACGAAGATGAACATATTAGTCTTTCTGGACGACGGATTTAGTTATCTTACAACAGATAGGTGTCCATGGAAGTAGTGTCGGACAGACCTACGCATCAGCAGAGCTCCTCGACGATGCCAAGGTGGAAAGTTTTAGAATCGGCGACAAGCTGACCTTCGCTTCTTGGAACTGCTACATCTGCCTCATCTGGTCGATGAAGGCCGTTGTCCTGTTTTACTATGATCGTCTTGTACGTCTTAGACCTGATGCTATTTTCAGGAGAAAGCTAACAACTACTAGACTATGAACCTCTGGCAGAACAAGCTGGCCAGGTATATTCGTATCGGAACTTTAATAACCTTCACTATTGCCATCTTGTTCCAATACTTGCTTTGTACGCCCATCGAGTTGGCATGGCAAGTCAAGCCTTATCCAGGAGGTTAGTAGAAAGATCCGGATACCCCTTTTCCATTCACCAGAGCTATTGTCTAACGGCACTTTGTAACAGATAAATGTGTTTTCCGTAGAGAGAACTACATCATATACCCGATCCTCAGTATTCTGTAAGTTTACACGCCTCCTTTAGCTAGTTGTTTCCTGGAGGTGAACATAGATGATCTAACATAAATTTCACTCGGTGCAGTTCAGATTTGGGTATTATGGCTATTCCACTTCCATTGTTATGGCAGGTCAAGATTCCCGTTTACCGCAAACTTATTCTTGGGTTCCTTTTCGGATCTGGTATCTTCATTATCATCGCTACTCTGCTACGAACGGTTTACTCCCTTCGATCTCTCCTCGATCTCCTCGTCGCTACGCAATGGGCCACCCGCGAATATTTAGTTACCGCATTCGTCGTTTCCGCGCCAGCTATCAAGCCGTTGTTTAGCAAGCGCCTTTGGGGTCTTAAGGGGTCGACAACTCAATCAGGAACCGGTGATCGATATGGGTCTGGTGGATCTGCGCTACGTTCTGGGAAGGGATCCAAGGCCAACAGTCACTCCGTCGTAGTCGAAAGCCAGAACGGCGGCGGAAACACCGGAAGTTCGTCTGGGGGAAAAGCATTCGAGATGCCCTCTCGAGGCTGGCCTAGCAGGAAAGGGAACAATGCCAAGATAAGATTACCGAGCGAAGCGAGCCAGGAACATTTTGTACAGTACTCAGACGAGGAAGCGGGTATCTACGTCACGGAGACGTTTACGGTCTCGAGCGAGGAACGGAAACAAACAGCAAAGAAAACGGATGCTGATTGAGGGAGTGGATCATATGTTGAAGCTCTAACCACGAACGCTTCATGGTCTGAGTTGAGCTCGGCTGGAATGGTGGAGGCATGCCTAGAGCTCGCAGAGCATGTCGTTAGTTGCGTAGACTTCGTTGAAGCTGCCCCTGTATAATACAATTAAACATTAATTCTATCATAGGTAACAGGTTACTCAAGCAGCTAGTTCTGCTAATCCCAGTACCTGAATTGTCCTCTTCATCGTGAATACTGGTCTTTGCTGCTGAATACCTAGTACCTATGGAACAGACCGCTTTGACACTGAGTGAGGCGAAATCTGTTAGTGCCCGTTCATGGAAACCTGTACTGCAATCGGAGATTAGGTACCTATGAATGATATCCATGTGGAGAAATTCAACTAATGGTGTAAGCCTCGAAAGAGGCTGTTATGCAGAAGGATCAAGTTATTTTGGATTCTTACAATACTTTCAGGTGCATATTTCAATAGCCTACCTACATTTCAATCTGTTGGAAGACGAAGTTATCCAATCACCCCAGGCGCACCACAATTCACGGAGGTTCCATATCAGTAACCATCTAGACTTGTTCGAGTTTGCGATTTCATATACCTCCCATGTAATATTGCACAATTATGTACTTCGTATGGGCCTCCGCAACTTTTCCTTAGGCGAGACGGCTCTCTTCCTAACTACCTAGTATATGAGCCAGGGACGGCGCACTTTCCTGGTGAAACATGTAAGTCCGTACCTAGCTGGACGATGCATGATATCTTGGTATCCCTTTTGTTCTGTTAGACGACCGACCAAAGTAAGGTAAATTCCGCTTCGGCTACCTAGATCAACTATGCGAAACGGTTCATTAATGATAAAATACTGAAGGTATCTATATACGTCTGTATATATCTCGTTATTGAATCGCGTACTGTACGAAGGCATCGTAGTTACCTAGGTAAGTTATCATACTTTTTCTCATACAGTACGCTGTCAGAAGTCTGGTCTTCCTTCATACCAGTACTAGGTAGCCAGGGGTCTATAGGATCTAGACTCGACCCGCGGAGTCCCCGTTGAGTCTGTGAGGGTCCTGTTGGCCACTAGTCCTGGAGACAAAGGGCTTCATCTGTACGTATACCGCGTTCTTCATGGATAGCGAGGGTAGTTAAGAGCTCCTCGTGCAAAAATGTCGTTGTTTCCTAGTCCTTTAGTTCCGCCTCGTGACATACGCGGAGTCCACCTCGACTTAGGTACCAGTCAACTCCCACACATGATAACCCACCTAAGTAATTAAGATTGCAGATTGATGTCAATAATACCTACATAGGTAGGTACACGGTACGTATTGGAGACATCAATTAAGAAGTCGACTGATGAAACAATATACCAGTATACCAATCGAACTGAATCGAAGAATCAAACAGAATTGAATAATCCAACCTATCACAGTTATAATATATCTTACAATACAACTTCTAAGTTGAATTTCAAGGTTTAAATAATAGAACCATTATATCAGTTATGAATCATTGCTTCCAATTAAATGATTCAAATGCAAGTAGCAATTCACGATATTAGAATCACTGTATCGACTGTAGAACCATTGTATCGATTGTAGAATAATTTTTAACAATTAAATCATTCCTATGCATGTAATAATTTGACGATATTTAGAATTAAAGTATATTCCCATTACTACCTTCCTACTGGGTAGGTACCTAGGTTAGATGAAAGAGACTAGAGATGTAAGATGCTTTTAACAAAGCCCATAGCATTGCGAACAATATTTCTCTGCATTGTTAATCGATATGATTTCTCAATTATAATTTATTTCTAGTGTCGCTGTGCGCACTTTATCTCTTCCAAGGTTAGGTACTAGGTAGTTAAGTAGTTTTTGGAATCGAGATAGAGAGGAAGCTTGGGGTTAGGGTTAGGGTTAGGGTTCGAGATAGGGGTTGGTGTATTTGGTGGACTATCTTCCGCTAATCTACTATCATATTATACTACTCGACGAGTACCGAAGTAGCATTCTAACTCCAAGCAAGTAGTTTATAGCTTTGTGTAACCCATTTAGTTGTAATCCTGTCTACCTAGGTATTCAACGTAGCAGCTTTGCCCCAGTGGTGTGATTTCGAAGGTTAATCCAGAATATTACCATCAAGATTCTAGTTAATTAGAAGTCTGTTATTGATATGACTACTAGAACAGCTCATCATATAGATGAAATGAAATTATATGCTCAGTTATGCCTTTGTTAATGAGTAGGTAGCCACGTAGTTTTACCCCAAATCAGTAGAACAGAACATTGAATTCCTCAAAATCTAAGCCGCTACCTCAAATACCAGGTAACCTTGACATTACCTACCTGGTAGGTAGGTAGGTACGTACGTATATAAACTAATGTAATATACTCAGCATACTCGATCTAACACCGCATGAGCCATTCCGCCTTGTTCTATAAGAACACGTTCTATCACTAATCGCAAAGTGGAAGCACCCTGTGTCAGTTCGAAGGATACTCGCTACTACTTGAGGTCACCATTTATCTTATTTTACGATTGAATGATCCTTAGGCCATCGTTTTAAGATAATGATAGTGATGATTTGGTTAGAGAATGATTGTTAAGTTCAAGTTGGATCAGAATGTTGGATAGGTACCCAGTATCTAGTATGGGAGGTAGCTTCGCCCCTTTTATCAGGGGCTCACCTCATTGAGCTTCATTTCAAGGTACTAGCTGGTTACACAGCTTCATACTCTGCGATTCAAAAGAGCCTGGGTTTAGTCACTAAGGTTGGCTTTCTTCCCCCCTTAACAACTTACGAGTTGGTAATAGAAGACCTCACTAGCGGCGTGGTGTGTAACAACATTAAGCTACAGCAGGTCTTTCTTTCCCATTGCGAAACTGGATAACAGAGTTGCTTGAATCGAGAGATTTGAATTAATAATGTCTCTTGTCAGGTTCTTAGTGTAATCGCGTTCTTATTGTGTCTTCGTTTAGTGGTCTACGTCAACTCAATTATGCCGACTGAAATTAGCTTCTGTAGAACGATTCAACATCGTTCCGAATCATACATTGGTATCCTGACTCACTCTGGAGACATATAAGACTCCAATTCTGCTAAATTCTAGTAGGTATGCTCATGTTGTGACATAGCTAGCAGTTATTGTGGCCTACTTATCTACTAGGTACCTTAATCTGAGTCTCTAGGTCCATTTGCCCTGTGTTCCAAGGTTAATGGAAGATTGGGGATTGGATCCACGCTGTAGTAAATACCTAAATTTCGACCAAACAAGACAGGCCTGGTACAAGAAATCGCCAAAGCTGATGTATGCCACTATATCACCAACCACGCAACCATACACCTGTCGCCCAGAAGTCGTTATCGGGACATAACCCAACTATGGAATCAGATCCATCAAAAACATGTGATACAATCATGTTTTGTTCGAGGTTCTAATTGAATCAAACGTTGAGTTCATTTTCGAGGCGAACGGCTGTGATAAGAGGTGTAACCTATTATCATGTCTGACTGTATGTTCCATTTGCCACTAGCAAGAAGCTGGAGGGAATGAAGGTAACACCATGACTTTGTGAGGTTACCTCATGTCTACTGTCGTTTAAGTTTCAGTCTAGTTCGACACATCCAACACGCGGGAGATATAGATGGACTTATGTATTATGGTTAGGTAGGTAGCCATAGATAGGTAGAAATATCTTAAGGGGGGCATACATTCAAAGATTGTGATGCTTAGAAACCTCATCTCACCACGTTGTTCTAATACCTCCTAATTGCGATACAAACCACAGCGTCTCTGGGATTGTAATATCTCCGCGACGTTCGCTTTTGATGTCACTCAGATCTCCATCTCACCCATCATAAATAGTTGCTGACGAAACCTCTAAGGGTTTAGATACTTGGTCAGACTCCTCGACCTAATATAATTTCACTAGACATTTTATAATGAGTTATTCAGATTGAGGGGATTGCGGATTCTCGAGTGAACTTTCTTTCCAAACTCATTGCTTCATAGCTTATTTTAGATCTAGATACTCGCATTTCCGCGTGGCAAGGCTTCTAAGATCGGATGAGAACTCTTCGAGTCTAGGATAGGATAATCTCCATTGTGTAGGTATCTAAGAAGTTCTGAATGGTTAAGATTTAGCCCGGGAAATCTAACACATGAATACCTAGTAGCTTCATCGAATGGGTGATAGCGTAGGTAGCGCGAGTCGTAAGACGCATGGACGGCGAATCTACCTAGATGACCTTTAACCTTAGCTGTGCACCACACTTACTGTAATCCTGCGAAGATTCCAACACATGGACCTTTCTTCATCAAGTACGTCTAGCAACCTAAGAGATGAATTTTGGATGATGATAGCGCTTAGATACTATGATTTCGATATTGTATTTGGTTACGAAAATAGCCGATCATGATGATGTTGGCGTTTGGTCTCACATAGATCCTAGTAGGTTTGTAAAATATCGCATAAACTAAAAATTCACTCCATCATATTTGAAAACGTCGAATATTCCAAAGCATTCCGGCTTGATAAGCGTGATGATCTGGATGCCGGAAAGTAGGTGAAGAGCTGATGACCGCTACAAAGAGAGAAACAGTTTGTTATCGGACTATGGCGTCGGGCGCCTTTTGAATACCGACTTTCCAGCTACTCGACCAGTTAGCGGCACGCCTTGGCTTGGCTGCTTGGTTGAGGGGATCCGGATTAGCTAATCCAATCAACCACTTATATTGGTTCAGCCAACGACGCCTTTAAGCTTAAACCATTGAAAATCGTTCAGATCGGCAAGCCTCTGATTCTCGATAATGCCATCTGCATATATTAGCTACATATATTTGATCTCGTAGTGGATGTATCAGCCACTTGCCTAGCTGCCGCAATAAACCGGGAATATTTGGTTCCTTTTTACGCCTCCCAAGATTAGTGTGCGACTTTCGCCGTGCTGGCCGTAGTAGCTCTTTAAATGGCTGCCTGTATTATGTTCGTCTTAGTATTGCGTATTCCGGATCTCAGCCACAAATAAAGCTGAACATTACAGGGCTGTTAATAGGATAAAAAAGGGGCTAGCTGCTGACGTACATATCTGGATAACAAGGTATTAAAGGTAAATCATTTGTTTATCGGGGCTTATTAAGTTGCTGTGGTAAGCTTTGGCAAAGTTAGCGGTCACATGAGTGGTCCTTCTAAGCTTTATTAGGCTGGTCAGGCTGGTCTGGGCTAGTGTGTGTGCTAGTGTGGGCAACTGTTGCACAGCCGAAACAGATTTAGCGCGCCCCCTTAGGTGCGCTCGTATGTAGGTACGTACCTAAAACCTGCTAAAGCAAAACTTCCAGTGTTGCCAGACAACCTAGAGACCCTAAACAACCTTGGTTCCAAGCGTCTCGGATACGACTTTAACCTTCGCAACTATTTCCTGAACTTCCGACCTCCCTCCAACCTCTTCTACCTTTCCCATTCTTCAACTTTTCTCGCCACACGAATACCATCATCAACTAGAAACCCAATTTACATCGTCGCGACAAATACACAATCCGTTTTGCATTTATTCCCCGACGCTTCCGATCACTTTCGCTTCGTCCGCCGATAAAATAAAATAAACAACAAACCCGACCGTCGGTCATCACTTGCCAATATGTCGTCGAACCAGGAAGCTCCCTACGACCCCTATATTCCTAGCGGCCAGGCCGCACCTCAACAGGGTGGAAATGCTCGAACACAGGCTCTGCAAGCTGTAAGTTTTATATCCTGAGAAAACATGATTTTCAATGTTTCCCTTTCCGGATCACGAGATTTCGATGGCCTACGTAATTACCGACCGCGCCTCCACTCCGCATCCGACGAGATGGCTTCAACCGCACCCAGCGAAATCCATCATCAATCTCAGAGCGATCATCGCCGATAGTTGAGCATCAATATCCCAACAATGAATATGTGCCCAGAAATTGAAAGAGATGATGCGCATGGACCCACGGTAGATGACGGTAATCTTAGGGGCCAAGGATCATTTCGTAGCTACTTTCGACCCAACGCTGTAGGATTCAACATCGCATTGAGCATTAATCTTTCTATCCAGCATCTAAGGATCTTGCGATAATACGAATATTCCAAGCCACGATATCATGATCTGGAAAGGAAACAACGTGATTTATACGTAGTGACAAGAACAAAGAAACTAACAATGTGGCCTCTTAGCAAATCGATGACACTGTAGGTGTCATGCGAGAAAACATCAACAAGGTCTCTCAACGTGGCGAGCGTCTCGATGCCCTGCAAGATAAGACCGACAACCTGGCTGTCTCCGCGCAGGGATTCCGTCGCGGCGCCAACAGAGTTCGCAAGCAGATGTGGTGGAAGGACATGAAGATGAGGGCCTGCCTGATCGGCGGTATCATCGTTCTGATTCTCGTTATTGTCGTTCCCTCTGGTAAGTCACATGATGTCACCTACTAGGTAACCAAAACACGATCTAACTAGATATTAGTCCTGGCAAGCCAAGGCAAGGTGTAAATCAATCCGACCTGTGACACCACAGGGTGCATCAAGTACGGAATGCCAGTAGATGACTTGATGGGTATGACGAGGAGTTGAGATTTTCTCGCAGGCTACGAGCAAGCATATATGCGAATTCCCGAATCCACCACCACAACGACACGCACAACACGACACACACCACAAAACCTTTTGGGGAGAGGGAAATCGCAAAGAGCACAGAGAGGAGTTTGTCTTTGATTTGACCGGTCTTTTCTTTTGGCTTGCTAATGGAGAGAACGACGACATTGCGCGGGAAATGCTTGGGATACCGCCGATTGTTCCCTCCCCGACCCCAAGCCGCACACGGGCCGGAACGGTGGAGGAATCCGAACTTGTATGTATGATGGCGAGGCGTTTTTTCCACTAATTAAAGAGATATTTTACGACCCTGAATACTAATACCCCCTTGACGTGCCCGCGTACCTGCTCTTGCCTCCTGCTTTAATGCGCTGCTGTGAATGTACATCCTTCTCGGACGTTGCTCTGTGTGAGACGAAGATTGGGTGATACCGATATGTATGTGTGTTTAATTGATATCGGGTTTGCTCCCGATATGTTACGGTACACTACTTAATTCCGGAAAGCCGCATTTCTAAATCTTCTATCCTGAGATTTAGCTCGATGGTTTTTTTTTCTTTTTGGGCTTCGAGACAACCCCTCCGTTTGATAAACGTCTCTGTGTCGTATGGGGAAGGGATAGGCACCGTACATACTGGGTAGGCTGGAAGGGTTTCACTAACTTCTTGAACGGTTGGTTGGGCAATTAGGTACTTGTTATTGCTATTGGATTTGATTTTTTCGGTAACTGATGCCTGTGTTTTGTTTCAATCAACCCATATACCTATATCTATTTACATACCTACCTCCTACCTACTACCTATTATGGTTCATGATGGTAGGTATTAAGCTGAATTGCTTAATGTGTAGGTAGAAGGACATACGTCATCGGCTTAAGTGGGACAAATTGAGGGAAAGGCTGGGGTTGATGACGGCTGGGAAATCCAAGCCTCAATGATTGTGGTTGTGATTTCCTCGTACCTACCTATAAAAGGCTGTTTGTGGAAACTAAATTCAAGTGATTGAGGTACCTACACAACTCGCCAGTCTTCGGTATCACAGCAACGTCGCGCAACTACGAGGTGTGATATATGACACATATCTCATAAGTGAGCCTGCAAATATATCTATATAGCCCTAACAAAAGCTAAGAAGAGCGCTATATGGACTTTCCTGAGCCTAGTTGACCGATTATCCAAGTCGCCTATCATGATAGAGTCAGTTATCTCATCTCACAAAACAATGATCTTATTCTTTATACATAATTTGTGGTGTCATTAGTACACCGATATGTTGGCATAGCCTCGAAAAGTCTTGGGATTCCTCCTGGGCGCATTGAGAGAAAAGTGATAGATTACTTATCGCATTCTATCAATTTTGAGTGCTCTTCATAGGTGGCTGAAGGTGCTGGGGCTTGCTTCTGGAGGGACACAGCAGGTCTAAATTCAACTAAAATTGAAGGCCTTATGTATGGCAGAAAGCTGTAGCTTCCGACAACTCGGCGAAATCTCGAAAAATTCAAGTTGCTATCATATGTATAAGCTCAAATCAGGTCATGAAGGATTCGGTGTAGGGTCTAGATGCGATGTGTTTCCCATGGAGAACGCGGTGGAGGGTGACTCTTAAGGAGTAGGAATTTTAATCTGCTCGGCATCTTTGGAGTTTGTTTCACCGGCCAATCTGCATGAGCATTAGCAAGATATGATTAGGTGGATATGTTGATCTACTAGAGCCTCATGTATGAAATTACGCAACGGAAAAGTTAATAAAATGTCGTTGTAATCGCTGTTAGATCATTCCGGGACACTAATCGCATTGAGCGCAAGTGAACAAAGGGATTTTCAAGACGTGAATTGGCGACCTTGCTCATCAAAGAATTATACCGAGGTATCGAATTCAGGGGCTGGTAAAAACACGTGATGGCGATCAGGGACTTTCGGTTCTCAGGTCGACAATCGACGAGAATTTGTTGAGGGAAGTCTGTACCTAATCTCACGATGTAGGAAAATAGGCAAATGTTTATCGGTGTGCCGAAGTAAATTTGGGAGTGGAAAATGAGACGGAGGCCTTAGGGATAGACACGCAAGATCGAGGTCGTATGACCGTGGAAATTTGAACTCGGTCGCCCGGCTGCATTGCGGTAATACCCAAATTCCCGACTACTATCTATGTATGCAGCTTTTGGAGAATGTTGGATAGTTGGAGAGAGAAGGGAGGTCGATTTTAGTATATTCGACTCCTCTCTTCTGTATATCGTAGTAGCCGGAACTCGAGATGCTCTCACATCCACCATCTGACAGTACGGATTTAAATACAGGCCTGTGACTTTCGGCTGGCACTACACCGGAACAGACTAATCCGGCTGCATGAGCACTGCCTCTCCCTCTAAAGTCGGCAAGTGGATAGATTATGGCCTCGAGCGTTCGCGATATTTTCGAGAATATTGAAGACATAGCGGGATTTTCTGCTAGCTCGGCTTGTCTCTAAAATCTTACCAAGAACCTTGAGAGCTTTGAGGAGCTGTTGCTTTTGCTATCTTGATAGCTACAACATAGCCTCGATCACGAAGGCGAACTGTCCTCGGATTACTGTAATAGGAATCTGACCTTGCCGATTATTTCCTATGATGATACACCAATTTAGGTTGAATGCTAAGTTCCTGTTCTACTCGGCATCTCCATGACTGGCGGCAATCTAAGAAGAGGAGTTCTTGTGCAGAATCAAGTGCCTTGATTCGAAACCCACTCCAAGTGCAAGATAGGTAGGCATACGATAGGCATATGAGAGTTGTGAGAGGTGTGAATGGCGTATGATAGGTAGGATAGTGTACCTAGATTAGAGTGAATGTTGACATCCTTGGCTGTGCAAGGTACGCGGTGATGAAGCTTTATGATCTGCTGCAGCTTGAAGCTTGAGGCATTGAGTAAATGGGGCCAAGCTTATTATGGTGTGTCGATGTGACAATTTGACCTGGTTCGAGAGATCCAGATAATATCTACGAAGATAATTATTTCTTCTAACCGAAAGCGGCTGTTGTGTATCGTAGCACGTCCTGGGCTGAATGTTGTTTCAAACTATAGGTACGAATTTTAATGTGAATAGTAACATAATTGAACCTTTTTCGTCTTTTTTAACAAAGTGACGTGATATGAATAGAATAGAAAACTTACTTAAAGTCTTACCTACTTCCTAATAGTAATCTTGGAAGTCATTGCCCAGTGAGGGAGTTTCAACTTAAAATATTAGGTAATTACCTCCTACCTATTAAGTGACTAGTCAATTGCCACATCCAGGTTATTAATGCTTAATTCTTCGTATAATGCGATAGCGTGGAAAATATATATTTTTACAAGGGTTAAAGTACCTATCGATTCCCCAAATCTCAATCTCAATTGGAAAGAACTGCGGTTTTCGGCGTCCCAAGAATTTTTTTTTCTTGGTCATATCGAAGTTCTCCAGGATAAGACTATCGCGGCGATTTGATTGCCCCTCCTCATAAACTCCTAACAATGTGAACTTTGACAACCTTCACAATTAGCAAAATAGCATTTTATTTCTCTAGTCAATTCAGGTAATTAGGTTTCAGTAGTTCAATTGGTTCGCCTACTTATACCCTGTGCTTCACTTTTTTATTATTCCCTTACCGAGCTGGAGGTGTATGTATAAGTACCTGTTAACTAACTCTCTGAATTCCCAATTCTAGTTCTCCTCTCTTTTTTACTCTCCCTTCCTAGGATCTTCGAAGCTGAGCCCGAGGCAGCTCGATCCTCGTCGCGATACCACGGCTTATACAGCCGTGGGGGCATTAATTAAACCCATAGACAACTTGTTATCCGCTATTCCATTCGATCAGACACCATGTTGCCGGTGCGCGCAGCACGAGCTGCAGTCCGAGCTGGCTCCCGCCGAGTCGCTCCTCGAGTAACACGTTTGTCTCCGGCGATCGCCACAAACTCACTACGAACCTCACGAGCTGCCTACTCTTCGACTTCACGAGCCTACGACTCTACTACTCGTGCCGCTGTTATTCAGGTTTTGAATAATGTCGGTTCGAAGAGAGAGGTTCAGCAATACCTCTCCCATTTCTCCTCCGTCTCTTCCCAGCAATTCGCTGTCATCAAAGTCGGCGGCGCTATCTTGACCGAATACCTCGACGAACTTTGCTCCTCGTTATCATTCCTATACCATGTTGGACTTTACCCCATTATCGTTCACGGTGCTGGCCCACAGCTCAACAAGCTCCTCGAGGATGCCGGTGTCGAACCGGAGTTCGAAGAGGGAATCCGTATTACCGATGGTAAAACCTTGGGTATCGCAAGACGACTCTTTCTAGCAGAGAACCTGAAGCTTGTTCAGCGCTTAGAAGAGATGGGTGTCCGCGCTCGACCTATTACATCTAGCGTCTTCACCGCCGACTACCTCAACAAGGACAAGTGGAAGTTCGTCGGCAAGATCACCGATGTTAACAAGGAGCCAATTCAGACCGCTATCGAGAACGGTTACCTTCCTATCCTCACTTCTATGGCCGAAACAAGGGAAGGTCAGGTACTGAACGTCAATGCCGATGTCGCTGCTGGAGAGTTGGCTCGCGAATTCGAACCCCTAAAGGTGGTCTACCTTAGCGAGAAGGGTGGCTTGTTTGACGGAAACGTACAAAAGATCTCAGCAATCAACCTTGACGAAGAATTCGAACATATCATGTCGCAGCCCTGGTGCAAGTTTGGAACCCGATTAAAGATTCGGGAGATCAAAGATCTTCTGGAGACTCTTCCGCGTTCTTCTAGCGTTGCCATCATACATCCTGGCGATCTACAAAAGGAACTATTTACGGATTCAGGGGCCGGCACTCTCATTCGCCGCGGAGATAAATTAATGACTGCAGAGAGCGTCGCGGACTTTAGCGATCTTGGAAAGCTTAAGGACGTGCTTGTGCGGGATCGTGAGGTCCGAGACGCCAGGGCAACGGTAGACAGATATCTTGACTTCTTACAAGGACGGAAGTTCAAGGCTTACTTCGACGAACCCATGAAGGCTCTGGCCGTCGTCCTCAACCCAGCCCCAGATCAGACTTACGCGACCTTGGCTACCTTGACAATCACTAAGTCAGGGTGGTTGACGAACGTTGCTGACAACCTCTTCGCAGCGATTAAGAAAGAATACTCTAGCTTGGTTTGGACTGTCAAGGCCGACGATGAAAACCTCACTTGGTTCTTTGACAAGGCAGACGGCAGCATTGTCAGGGGCAATGATGTCATGTTTTGGTATGGAATTGAGCCTGGCGAGGAGTTGAACAAGCTCATGAGAGAGTTCACCCTCCAAGGCCGAGCAATGCTAGGCGAGTCCAACTTGGAGTCTCGACTCCACCGAGCAGCCCAGATTGCTTCTGAGAACCTACGAGCTCACTTTGCGTCTGGCTCTGCAGCTAACCAGGCGCGGGGCTATTCGACCCTTGCCCGTCGCCCTGTGTTAGGAGCCACTCCTAAGAGTGCTTTCTCACACATGCCGCGCAGGGGCTTCGCGACCGAAACTAACCCTAACCCTCCATATGGAAAAAAGCACGCCTCGAACACGCAGCCCTCGAGAGTCGCATTGATTGGTGCCCGAGGTTACACCGGGCAGAATTTAATCAGTCTCATTAACTCGCACCCCAATTTTGAACTTCGACATGTATCATCACGAGAGCTAGAAGGAAAGAAGCTAGAAGGATATACTAAGAAGGAAATTATCTACGAAAACCTGAGCTTCGACGATGTTTACGAGATGGAGAAGAATGGCAAGATAGACGTATGGGTCATGGCACTACCAAACGGTGTTTGCAAGCCATTTGTCGATGCTGTCAACAAGGCCAAGGACGAAACATCTTCTCGCGAGGATAAAAGCATAATCGTAGATCTTTCGGCAGATTACAGATTCGACAAGTCGTGGACTTACGGTCTTCCGGAGTTAGTCAAGCGATCGCAGATTGCTCAAGCTACCCACATCTCGAATCCTGGTTGCTACGCCACAGCCGCACAGCTTGGCATTTCGCCGCTTGTGGGGCATCTGGGTGGCCAACCTACCGTCTTCGGTGTTTCTGGCTACTCGGGAGCTGGTACCAAGCCTTCGCCGAAGAACAACGTGGAAAATCTGACGAATAACCTCATTCCTTATAGTCTGACGGACCACGTCCACGAGAAGGAGATCAGCTCTCAACTTGGTGTCGATGTTGGGTTTATCCCCCACGTCGCAGTGTGGTTCCAGGGGATTCATCACACGATTAATATCCCCCTCAACAAGACGATGACTTCGCGAGACATTAGACAGATGTACCAAGATAGATATGCCGGCGAGAAGCTGGTCAAGGTTGTGGGAGAAGCACCGCTAGTAAAGGCGATTAGCGGAAAACACGGCGTTGAGATTGGCGGATTTGCCGTTCACAGTTCCGGGAAGCGGGTGGTTATCTGTGTGACGATCGACAATCTGCTTAAGGGAGCAGCGACTCAATGTTTACGTAAGTACTTACCCCCATATTACCATCTTCTTCCAAACTTCGAAGTCGATCTGGAATACTGACATGACCTATAGAAAACATGAACTTGGCTCGCGGGTATGCGGAGTTTGAGGGTATTCCTCCAATGAATTAGACAGGAGCATTTCTTTCATTCAGGTGTTTTTTTCGGGGTTCGACGTTTGGGGTATTAAAAGAAAACTTGTATATATGTGACAAGTAGGCGGGAGCCCTTACAACGTGCCATAAAAGATGTTCATAAAAGCTTACTGAACTTGATATGTGAGACGTTCTCTTAAGCTAGAGTGAGCGGGTGGGCATCATTCTTTTGTTGGGAATATAAGTCGTGGTGGAAAGAAAATAGGGAAGCATGGCATTGGTGGACAGGAGCGATTCCCGGGAGAGCTTGTGGCCATCATAATGGATATTATTATTAGTTAAGAGATGAACTGAGATTCGGTCATACCTAAATATCGATTTGACTTGACTTATCCCAGGACGGTACAATATTAAAGATCTCGGGTTCTGACCTGGAACAGCAAACGGCAGACCCCGTCTGAAGACGCCGTTTGAAGAGGAGTAGAAATGGGCAGATGGAGTGAATTCAGACACCGAATTTACCTAGTCACTTATACAGTATAATCTAGCGGGTCCAGGGGGTAAGATTCAAACCCCCCTACCCCTGAAAGGCGTGTTCCGATGGCGGATGGCGGGGTTCTATGGCGGGGCAAATTTTCGACGTTTCTTCATTTTTAAGAAGCAAGCACCCGATTATGGGATGAGTACTAGGTAGCTCTTGGCTAGAATATAATTGCGTATATCTGCATATCAGAAATCTTCAACTTTGACTCATCTTTTTAATATAAAGGTCCAAATACCAATTCGTCGTCCTAATATCCTATCTTTTCAACAGTCAATTAGCTCGAAGACGACCATGGCTTCCCAGTTCCCTACTAAGAAATGCGGTATGACCCCTCCTCAAAAGCCAATGGCTTGCATACGTGTACCTATTTAGGTAGGTACTTGAGTAAAATGGTGTGCTAAACTCGATTTTTGTATCATGTACAGGCGTCTTAGGCTGCACCGGCTCCGTCGGCCAGCGCTTCATCCTGCTGCTTTCGCAACACCCGCACTTCGTCCTCCATGCCGTGGGCGCGTCGTCCCGGTCCGCGGGTAAGAAGTACAAGGATGCCGTCAAGTGGAAGCAGGCCTCGCCTATGGGCTCCGTAGGCGAGCTCGTCGTCCGCGAGTGTAAGGCTAGCGAGTTCGCAGACTGCGATGTTGTGTTCAGCGGTTTAGATGCGGACGTCGCTGGGGATATCGGTATGTCCTCCCCCATCTCGACACCTTCCTTGTCCCCCCTATATCGCGACGTCAATCCCTATATCACTTATCAGTAAACTAACCTGTTCTTCCCCTAGAAATGGAATTCCTCAAAGCCAACCTCGCCGTCTTCTCCAACGCAAAGAACTACCGTCGCGACCCACTCGTCCCCCTCGTCGTCCCAACCGTCAACCTGCCACACCTGGACCTAATCCCGCACCAGCGCGCGCACCACAACCTTCAAAAAGGGTTCCTAGTCTGCAACTCGAACTGCGCCGTAATCGGGCTCGTAATCCCCTTCGCAGCACTACAAGCGCGCTTCGGGCCCGTCGACGCCGTGTCCGTCGTCACCATGCAAGCCGTGTCGGGCGCCGGGTATCCGGGGGTAAGCAGCATGGACATAGTCGACAACGTCGTCCCCTTCATCTCCGGCGAAGAAGACAAGCTGGAGACGGAAGCGCGGAAGATCCTCGGCTCCATCAACGCCGACGCCACCGCGCTCGCCGACCAAGACGGCCTGCGCGTCTCCGCGAGCTGTAACCGAGTCCCGGTTCTCGATGGCCACACCGCTTGTGTTAGTCTCCGGTTCAAGAATCGCCCGAGTCCGTCTGCCGATGAGGTCAAGGCTGCGATGAGGGAGTACGTTAGCGATGCGCAGAGGCTGGGATGCCCCAGCGCCCCGACCCCGAGTATTTTGGTCTTCGACGAGCCGGATCGTCCGCAGCCGCGGTTGGATCGCGATTTGGGGCGTGGGTACACGGTTAGTGTGGGTCGTGTGCGCGAGGATGAGAGTGGTATCTTTGATATTAAGTTTGTTGCGCTGAGCCATAATAGTGAGTTTCTCCCAGTTTCTCTGTTTTTCTCTCCGGCTCTTCGGTGTTGGTAAGGGGGAAGATTGCTAACGTTTCCTCAGCTGTCATTGGAGCGGCTGGGTCTTCGATATTGAATGCAGAGGCTGCGGTGCTTAAGGGGTTTATCTGAGAGGGATGAGAAAGGGGGAGAGATAGGATTGCTAGAGTGCAAGTATCCTGCATCTATGGCGTTAGGTTGGTTCATTTGCATAGGTACGGGAGATAAAAGGGGGTAGGTAGGCTTCGAAAGTGCGCTATTGAGGTGGTAGATGTGAGGCCCGAATAAAAAAGAATGTTTCGTTTGATTTCTTAACTGCTTCTTGCCCAAGGAAGTCTTCTGCTGTTGCTTACTGTAATTTTGCAATCGATAGTTTCCTACTCGCGAATTTGCCGTGTTTCGGGAGCACATAGTCGTGACGTCTAGATGAGTAAATCACTCCCATGTAGCTTCATTAGGAGACACGACTTTACCTTCTAATATAATGAGACCAATAAACGGCAAAGACTGAATACTCATACGGCGTCTTATAAAATGATACCAAGGTCCTCTATGTCAGTAGGTAATAGATATGAGCAAGCATAAGGTAAACAAAAACACATTGATTCTCTTAATAGTACTAGGTAGTTAGGTAAGTTATAGTATACAGGACGGCAGACCTCCGTCAAGCTAGCCAGAAGTTCATGAGAGGCGCCAGATTACCCTTTATGTAATCCTATAAGACAAAAGCACAAGTCGCTCCCAGACACCTAAAAAGATTCGTTCGGACGTAAGCCCCATAAGTACAAATACATACACATGATAGACGACGGATCCCACGATTCCGTTCCGCCCGTAAGATTTTTGATTATGCCCAATAGTGCCCTTTTATCTCATTATAAGAGTCGAAGTTATATTCATTAAATCAGAATCCCTCAAAATACCTGTCATACTGACGGGCCAGATCCTCCGTATACGGGTCTCGCTTGCCGTCGTCTTCGGGATAAACGTCGAAGCATTGAGCGTCGCCCGGGAATCGTACGTTAGGCTGGATTGGAGGCCTGATCTGCCGGCTGAAGAGCGCGTCCCAATCTATGCCTTCGAAAAACGGGTGTGATTTGACCTGCTGAGTGCCGCCGATCAGGTTCCCTAACCGCCTCGAGCGGTCTACCGTGCAGAACGAACGAATGACGTTTTGGGCATTGGGCGAAATAGGAGGTTCGGCGGGAAAGAGCACTGGTTTCTCGATAATCCTGGCATCTTGTCAGTTTCTGGAACCGATTAAAAAAGAGGATTGAGTTACTTACTGTTTGTAGATCTCGATAGGATTCTGATGCCAGAAAGGTGGATACCCAGTCAAGAATTCATATATCAGGATACCCAACGCCCACCAATCAACAGCTATGGTGTGTCCCTTGTTTTGGATCACCTCCGGCGCCAAATACTCGGGAGTACCGCAGAGAGTATATGTCTCAACGGGCCTGCTATCCCTACTACCAAGCCTCTTTGCAAACCCAAAATCAACTAGCTTCACGTGACCCTGACCGTCTAGAAGAAGATTTTCCGGTTTCAAGTCGCGGTATGCCACGCCGCCTTGATGATCATGAAGGTACTCAAGTACCAAGACAATCTCTGCAGCGTAGAACTGGGCCCATTCCTCTGGAAACCTTCGATGCCTTCGCAAATAGCTGAAGAGCTCACCGCCAGGGATGTAGTCGAGTAGCATGTATAGCGAATCATGATCGGAGAATGTGGTAATCAGCTCGGTGATGAAAGGATGGCCGGCGACATCGCTAAGAATACGGCGTTCGTCTCGAACATGGTCGATCTGCTTTAACTTGATGACCTCGGCTTTTCGCAAGATCTTAAGAGCGAAAACTTTGGCGCGTTCTTCTTCGGCACCGGTGGCAGGACGGACTAAGCAGACTCTAGCAAAGGTACCTGTGACAAGATGTTTTTTAGCATACCAAACACTTGGCGCATCTCATGTCGTCAATGCGATAGGTAAGTAGGTCATACCTGTTCCCAATGTCCTGACGAGCGCAAAGTCGTTCAGCTTCAATCGCTGGTGTTGCGGTGGCACTTTCGGGTCCGCATCCCCTTCTGCTTGCGCAACGGCCCCGGCGTCTGAATTTGTAACGGGTCGTAAGCTGTGTTCTTGTATAACTCGTGGTATTAGGCCGGGTTTGGCGACCGTAGCGGCCATCTTCTTAAAATTCATCCGAAGTATGATCTCCTTGTCCAGCTAACTTATGGGGGTAGCCTTTCGCAATTGGCGGGTCTCTCCTTCAGGCGACTCCCATCTCTCGGCGCTAGGGTTACTTTCGGTGAGGAAGGTTTGAATTAGAAATAGTAACGGTTGTAAGGCGAGGTACGTAGATTATATGTAGATGGTAGGATATCGAGTTGGAGACTTTCTAGAGAGGATATGAATCACGTATATTTTCCAAGTATGTGATTTAACTGATATAACAGAAATGAGGTAGATGATTATAGGTAATTAAAGATGAGATCTTGCCGATTCTTAGCGCAATTAGATCTCAGCTGGTAAGTAGGTAATCTAATAGGTACTGTAATGGACGAAAGAGAGATGAACGGGTAGCACGGGCAGTACGGGTAGTGTGGGTTATGGGCTATCAAAGTCCAGAAATCATAAAACAGGTTGGACAGACAGCTGGATAGGTCAGGATAAGTCATGGATTAGGCCCAGCCTTGTAGCGACGGTAGCGATGACGTTTGCTGCAGAAGGAACCCAAGCGGGCAAGCGGGCAGGGCGGGGAGGACCAGAAGGACTTCATTGTCGCAGGTGATGAAAGTGGATATTTTTATGGATATTTTAGGACGCCCGATCTAGACCAGCTAGACCTCGTAAGGAAATGTAATGAAATTGTAGGGGAGAAAGTACCCTTACTATCCTTGTCGCATTGGACCAGTGAGCGTGATGAGATGCAATATGCCGGCTAGTCGCATGAGGTTGCATCTGCATCCGGCAACTTGAGCGAATCATTTTTGTTTATCGAAAGTCCTAGACAATATAAAAACGTCAAGGCTGAGTTTTATACTTCTTATAATATTCTAGTCCGTTCATGAAGATATGTATAATCGTGGTTGAATACCCGACAGTCCTGACTGAATTAGAAATGAGTACTATTGTAACACCTAGTCAATAGCTCATAGTTATATGTGAGATGTGAGATACGAGATGTAAAGTGTACGAAATGAATTGAATTGTATGAAGGAGTTGAGGAGTAAAGGAATGGAAATTGAAAACTGGAAACTAGAAACTTGAACCTAACTCTATTGGTCCTCGTTTGGACGGGATGCCCAGATAGGCTGTACTAGTGGGGCTGGGAATGTGACTCGTTCTAACTTAGAACTTTATGCCCAATCAGGATTAGCTAAATCATTAATGTCTACAGCGTAGGTACTTAGGTACCTGCGTAGTTTCAGGACCGACTCACTAAAATGTTCATGTTCCACAGCACCTGGCGCTGCAGGCAAGGGCATTTAAAGAGCTTCAGCCACAGATGAGGTAACCCCTATTTGAGGCTGAATAACCTAGTCCCCGGCCAAAACGGCAATCATCAGACGTTAGCGACTTAGTACCTAGTTCAGTGCGGCGCACCTCGTGGACCGTTCCTTATTAGTGACAACTGACAACTGACATCCTCCCTCTCTCTCTCCTTACAGACGATAACGTCTTGACACGACAGCAAGCCTTCTATACGACAATAGGGCTGTTGATTCCACCTTTCTTGACCATTCTGATCCTTCACTTACCTGCAAATTCACAATCGAAAATCCCACGCTTACAAAGCATTTCCCTCTTTTCGGCTTTCGTCTCTCAACGCTCGTTAGACATGAATTGAGCTTACAAAATTCATGGACTGGACTCAGCTGGAAAGTCTTGAACCATGTTTAACATCAGCAACTTCGTGCAGAAGGCACAGTCGGCTGCCCAGCAGTTGATTGACCCTATGCAAGGTTTGAACCTGACTAACTCCGACAGACATCCGTCCAAGGCTTCTCTATTCCAGAATCAGTTTCGACTTCCCACTTCCCAGACTCCCTTGTACGAGATAACCGCCGAACTTACTATCCCGCCCTCCAACGTCACCCAGGGAGACAAAGATCGTGATCGAGGCTGGCACTACGCCGGAAAACTACATCTATCCGAATCCTACATCTGCTTTTCCACAACCCCCACCAGCTTTTCCCAAGGCTCCAGCCCCTCGAGCTCCGCCGCTTTTACAGGTCAAACACATGGTGCTGGACCAAGTGGAAATGGTTTCACATTCCCTCTTTGTTCTATTAGACGTGTTGAGCGTTTAAATAGCCAGAATTCTCAGGTATGAGAACGCCCATATTCATTGCTACCATGCTCAGGACTGACGTCAGAATCCCTAGTTTGCCCTCGCTATCACGACCTGGAACGGTATTTCTCAAGAATCACTTAAGGATAAAGATAAGGATAAGGACAAAGATGGGAAAGATAAGAAAGAGAACAGAGAACAGAGGATTACTATACAACTCGCCGCGCCTCGTCCAGCATGTGAGAGATTCTGTGATGGCCTCAAGAGAGGATTAAGAAGTGCGGTCGGCAATGTTGGGAGATACAAAAAGGTAGTGGGTGACTGCTACTCGGAGTACCTTCTCCGGCCAGAGGATAAGAAGAACGCAAGCCCCCCGGATGCCGGCTTGGGCATGGTATTCCGATATCCTGGCGACCCGAAGAAGCTTAGGGACCGAGCAAAGATGCGGTTGTGGGCGGAGTATCTTCGCGACAATGGCCGGAATGCGACCTTGATCCGTCAACCTACATTCCACAAACTAATCAGAGTCGGTCTTCCGAACAGGCTTCGAGGCGAAACCTGGGAACTAACCTCCGGATCCCTATATCTACGTCTCGAAAACCCAAGTTTATACACGGACACTCTCGCAAAATTCTCAGGCAAAGAATCGTTAGCCATAGACGAGATAGAAAAAGATCTTAACCGAAGTCTTCCGGAATATCCTGGATTCCAGAGCGACGATGGCATCAGCCGGTTACGACGGGTGCTGACGGCATATAGCTGGGTAAACCCCGACGTCGGTTATTGCCAGGCCATGAACATCGTTGTAGCCGCCTTATTGATTTATATGTCGGAAACTCAAGCGTTCTTCCTACTTTCAGCGTTGTGCGATAGACTCGTTCCTGGTTATTACTCGTCTACCATGTACGGTACACTTTTGGATCAAAAGGTGTTCGAATCCCTCGTGGAAAAGACGATGCCGATTTTATGGGAGCATCTCGTTAAGAGCGATGTGCAACTTTCTGTCGTTTCTCTTCCCTGGTTTCTCTCCCTGTATATCAACTCGATGCCCCTAGTATTTGCATTTAGGGTTCTAGACGTCTTTTTCGTCGAAGGACCCAAGGTTCTTTTCCAGGTCGGATTGGCCATTCTAAGAATTAACGGCGAGGAGTTATTAGATGCTACGGACGACGGCGCATTCATATCTGTTCTAAAGTCATATTTCTCTCGTCTCGACGAGTCTGCGCATCCAAAGTCCGAGAACCCAAAGCTACGAGCTATTAATAGGTTTCAGGAACTCATGGTTGTTGCCTTTAAGGAATTTTCTGCTGTCACCCACGGCACCATCCAAGATCTACGATTACGGAACAAAGATGCGGTTCTCAATAACATCGAGAATTTCGCTAAGCGTACCGCAATTCGGAACCTTGGACCCGACAGCAAGTTATTGGGTCCGGAAGAACTAGGAGCTCTCTATGACAGGTTTTATAGAGTGTTATATGAGCGACAACAGCGAGATCTTATTATACAAGAGCAATCGCGCCGAGCCAAGGCCAACAGAGTTAGAGGTAGCGACGCATTTTCTGACCACGATCACGGTGTAGAGAAGGGTCGGGTTGGTCTTGGTCCTAGTACTAGTCTGATGGATTATGATGCGTTCCGGGAGTTCTTAGCGAGTGTATCCAAATGGGCTATTTCGGACTCTCCACCTTCTCCTAGGCGCGAACCGTCCGCGGAAAAAGATCGCAATTCGTACTTTGGCAGCTTCAGGCGATCCGACGCCAGCCTCCTCTCGCCTTGGGGAGGAAACCCCGAACCGGCTGATCACGAATTCATGCAGAGATTATTCCGAAGATGGGATCTAGATTCCAGCTCAACGCTAACTCTGCAAAATGTCGTGACAGGGTTTGCACATATCAAGGGAAAGCGAGATATAATGGGCACGATCACTTATTTCTTTGAGCTTTACGATGATGACGGCGACGGAAGAGTTGATCGAGAGGGTATCCTGCGAATTTCCGAAGCCCTCTTGTTCCTTTCACGTCGCGGTCTCGAAGGATCGCTGAGCAATTCTAACTCAAACGTGGCGCTCAGTGGATTAAGTGACTCGACTGGTGGTTCAACGAGCCCACCTATTGGGGGTACTATTAACGAGCGATTTCTTGGGAGCGTGAGCGCTTTCATTAGACGCTGTTTTGAATATGCCGACCCCGATCACCCCAGCAATCAAATTACACACGGACAAACGGCATCCAAGGCAGATGAAGCAATAGACAACAGTAGTGCATTTGTCATTGATGATGAGGAAGATGAAGATGATGAAGACGACTTGCTTGCCTTCGAGGGCCCAGCGGACAGCCCCAAATCTGCGAAGAAAAAGCCAGACTTGGGGTCGTCAATCCCTCCCGCGTTGGGCAAACCTGATACCGAAAATGATGCCAGGCGTGCAGTATCCAGGGCTGTATCGGAGAAAGCTAATGCGGCCCTAGATCCTTCGAACCCGCTGCACATCACATTACCTACATTCCGCATGGTGGTGCTTGCAGATGAGCTACTAGAACAATTCTTCGAATCATCGTTTCCCACGTCATTGCACCTTATTGATGGCTTGGCGTCTTCTCACCAATCCACATCTTCTCTAACTACGTTCTCGAACATCAGTTTTGGACGCTCATCTGCCGCACCTATTCCAGTCACGCAGGCTGGAGTAGCAGGCGCCGGCCGTAGTCTACGTGGCGTCCTGGACAACATTGTCACAGACGCATCGCGCGTAGCCGCCGAGGTTCGACGACGAATGGAGGATGCGCAGCGCGAATTAGAGAAGAATGCGGTGCCCGGACAGAGAGACGAGGAAGAGGAGGAGGAAGACCTTCAGGGTCCACGTCCGACTGGATACGGTGGGGACCCCGAACGGCGAAGCGTGCGGTCATCTGACAGGGACCTCCTAGATGGGGCCGACGCAGGAGCAGGAGCGGCGAAAGACCCAGAAGGGCAAAGCCAGTTAACGGTCGATCCTAATGGCGCGCAAGAAGGGAGACCCAGAACCGCTAGTTCTGCAACGACACAGAGGATTGTGGAGTTCGAGGGTTGAAATGCATGTAGAGAATAAGCACAAGGGACATAACGGAGTCAGGTATCGGTCTGGAACATGATTGGAGGTCTCGGTTATCGTTCTCATTACTATGTTCACGGGGTGTATGTATGGGTCAAGCGTTACCGCGGCAAGACTATGTGCAATTCAGAGTCGATGAATCAGTACCCCAATGTGGCGTTGAGACATTGTGCATATCATGATTTGGCGGCATAATCCCTTCAACGCCGAAGATGTGTAGATAAGATCTGATAATGTCCTCTTGAGTAAACCTGGTATATGCGATTTTGGGTATTTGCGTGCTCGTTAATGGAGACTGCTGTTAGGATAGGTTCGAAGTATCAGGCGATAATTTACCTCTCAAATGTTGAGGCTGTCGGGTACACAAAGCTTTAGGGTTTCCACAGGTAGCTAAGGTGGTGAGAATGAAGATCTACGCCACCATTCCATAAAAGTGAGACATTTGAGCCAAATAATCGCAGGCCGTCCGTAGAAGACCTCAGTCAACGAACTCTAGGGCTACGAGCATTCCATTTTATCTAGATATTTTACCCCTAGCATAGACATAGGAGGTTGAACGAAGCGGCGTGCCCCTTTCCTAAGGTCCATGGATGTAGGTAGGTAAACAAAATGTATTTCAAGATCTATATTCCCCGACTATGGACTCAGCATGCCATCTACAATAATAACAACAGCTTTTCTCCAAGTCAATTGGCAATTCTTCTAATTCCGATACACACATCCTAAAAAACATCTTCAAGCTTGTGGATAGCATATCTACCTTACTCGTATCTCAGAACTAATCGACGACATGGGATTTTCCAAAGCGACAGCCGCAGTTTACCTGCTCGCGCTCTCCGCCCTAGGCAGCGCAGAGGTAACCACGACAAGCACAGGCACAAGCACGTCGACGAAAGCAATCCACTCCATAACCACAACGACCACAACAACCTCGCGCACAATAACCCACACCAGCGCCACCATCCCCGCCGGCAGAACCAGCACCTCACACGAGTCCGTGCCGGGCGTAACCCACATCCCCGACTCCGCAATCATCCTCTCCGTCGAGCGCAAGCACGAATCCCAAGATTCCCCGGAAACCCTATTCATCAGCGCCTCCACCCCCTTCCTAACCCCCTCCTGCGCCTCCGCGTCCGCATTCAACCTCACATCCAGCCGGCTCTCACTCCACGGCCACCCCCTCTCCACAACCGCCGACATCGTGTTCCAGCCCCTAACCACGACAAAATTCCCGTCCGCGCTGGACGGGAGGATGGGTATAGACACCGGGTTTAGCGTTGAGGACGGGTACTTGCGGTGGTATAATGGCCGGTTTTATGGGGGGCGGGCGAGGTATTGTGTTACTGGGGGAGGGATGGTGAATGTGGTTTTTCATGTAAGCAAGACGTGGCCTGAGGGGTGTGAGGAGGTGGATTTGAGGGTTTGGGGAGAGGGGGAGTGTGGGGGGGATAGGGTGGTTGAGGGGGGGAGGATTGGGGAGGGGGATGAGGTCAGGACGACGGGGGTGGAGAGTATGACGCCTGCGGCGGCGGGGTGGGATGAGTTGTGATGGATGAATGGAGGTTTTGATGATAGTTGGGGGGGTGGGGAGAGGAAATGGGTGATATCGGAGGATGTTGGTAATGGATATAATTACGGAATCACGGTTTGCCTGTTCACGGTTCCGATTTAGACGGCTGGTAGGTAGGTATGAATATTATTATAATGATATCAATCTCCATTTACAGATGCTGCAATAAAATACCGTCTCGACTATGATGAAAAGCCGAGTATTATGAAGCGTGGTGATGGACTTCTCGCAAAAAAGGGGAGGGGGTAAGTAACCCCCCTTTTCTTAATCCACCATAAAATCCGACACTACCATGCCGTCAATCTTGTAGACCACTAACTTCCATCTAATCTCTTTTAATTGTATTCAACTATTATATACCAAATGAGAAGTTTTGGCCAGGCTACTCAATAGCGATAGTTTGAAGACCCTGAACTGCCACCGGAGGGGGATAGCGACCCTTCGGAGTGATGCGACTTTTCGCGGGAATCTCTGGAGTCTTAAGTGGCGCGACCACTCTGCCTCCAGTCGTGGTGTTAAGGTTTTGCAGTTGGATAGGCCGACGCTCGACATCGGAACCGGCGCGACGAGATACAGGGGTCTTGTTGCGTGCAGCACGGCGCTTTCTGCGCGCAATCTATTTAGGTTGTCAGCTCTTCCTTATACGCTTAGTAAGAAGTAATAAGAATAACTTACGCAATGGAGGGATATCCATAAGCAACCCGATATGATAGTAGAGGCCACGAAGCAGTACATGACCACAAGGGCTGCCTCCACGTTTGCTTGGCGGAAGTAGACAATGTAGGTGACTGCGCTCACTGCCGCTATCGAGGCGAAGAGGATCACGATGTAGCAGAGCATCTGCCGCTTCATCCTGGACTTGGGCGAGTCATCGGTGGCGCTTAGGTATGGGTATGGGCATGTGTTGATGTATGCGTAGGGAGGCATGGTGTATTATATATGATAGGTAGTATACCTTCTAACGATGGAGTTTATGCTGTGCGGGATTTCCTGTTGGAAGTATGCTTTCAGGGGGTGGTTAAGAGGTTGGAATCTATGGTGTCTTTGACTGTTGTTCACTTTGGATAAAAAAGAATGTTGAATACTCGCCTACAAGGCGAAGAAGTGAGAAATATATGTTTAGATATATGTATCTCCGGGAAAGTAGTCTACAATATTTATTGTTAGGTATTCCGTGGTGCTCATACTTTCTAGATACCGAATAGTCGAAACTTTGAATCCGCCCCTGAATGCTATTTTTACGCTTCGTTCCATCTTTCCTCTAATCTACCTACCCAGGTGACTTTCAATATATTCGCTTGTACATTCAAGTATGAACTTAAATGCGGATTGAGGCGCAAAGCTTCCCGATTAAATATCCACGAGAATCTGTGCGTAGGTAGAAAATATCATCCACATAGCATCCATTCGAGGCGTAGAAGTTTCCGAGAGGTTAATGAGTACCTACCTAGGTATATTAAGGAAGATGACAGTATTTCATTCTGATATTTATATCAATATTCCTAGATTAGTTTTGTAATGGACAGCCACACACACATCCCTGGTTAACCGTCTTCACGTACGTTACGCGAGGGCTTTCTTTCTCTTGGATTAATATTTCAAAAAGATACATCTTCAATCGCCAGCTTATTATCCGTATATCTCAAAGGGAAATGGCGCAAATAGATATAGGTGTCCTTATCATTTATGCCGCGATACTCGTATGCGTTGGCAACGCATTTGCCTGTCAACTTGGTGCCTGGAAAGTTCGAAACCCAAACATCAAGTTCAAGATAGCCGCCGTGGTCGGTAACTTCATGACATTGGTCAGCATGTTCGTCTTAGGAATCACCTGCATCTACTATGACCAGTACCCAGTCTTCGGGTTCTTCTTGACTTTCCTCACCCCTCTGCTGGGAAGCCTATCTATCTGGTTAACACTGATAGATGTAAGTCATTATTCGCATTCTGATATTTAAGTATCGTAGATTTATACTCTTCGATAAGTCATCGACTAACAAAATTAAAACGACGTACGAGTCTTCCCGCCGAATAAAGGCAGCTGTGATTGGAATACTCCGCGATGAAACAACTAGGGCGGAAATGGAATGGGTAGAGGAATTCGACCCGGAAGTGAATGTGGACTTAAGAGAATATTCGTCTCATTCATCGCCTTCACAGGTTTACATGTCCGCCGATGTAGAGACGGCAAGTGAGAGTGACGAAGAGTGGGATGCTCTACCGCCAAGGGTTGAATTGGACGCCGAGTCCACCGAAAGCCCTCCCCAAAATTCCAAAAAGACGGTGCGATGGGCGACTGAAACCTGAGTCTCTTGTGTTTGATCTATGAGGCAGTTATATAGATACCTATATCTGTATCAGGATCTTAGAATCTGAGAAAGTTAATACGTACCTGTTAGTGACCTGTTACGCAATGTTCGCAAGTCACCTCAGCGTAAAGCACCTATCCCTTATCCTCATCAACATATAAAAAAAAAGCAGCATTTAAGAATCCACACGCTCATTTCCCCAATCTACCTATACCAAATAAAAAAAAGCACTAAACGCTACAAGAAGACAAAATAGAATAAAGCCGGAGCGAAAAAGTAGACCCATCCTTCAGAAGCCACTCAGTTCCCATCCAACCAAGGTAATCGCGGGATCGTCAAATTTGGGACACCGAACGTCGTCTTCATTTCTTTCACCACGGCCATGAGGTTGTGAAGATAATACCGACCTTCCCAGAACAATTTTCCCGATTGATCATCTGCCTCCATATCCACATTACCTCCTGGTGTAACCGGTATTCTCGTTCCCGTCGCCATCTGCTTTGCGATGATGATGCCTATGAGGTCGAATATGAGCGTCAGCACCCACCTTAGCTCCGGCTCGAGGTGTGTGAAGCCTTGGGCCCAACAGGACCAGGCGCGGGCATCGAGTAATAGGGTATCCACGGCGCCGCACCTCTGCTCCTCGTAGACTAGCGGTCGGAAGTAATTTCTAATTCGCCGCTCGGTCGCAGCTGGTTGAACGGCAGGCCAACCGCGAAAGTCCGTATAGCGGAAGAGGAAGATGCCCTCGTGTTTACGGTGCCAATGTATCGGCCGCACCTCGAAAACGGCGGGGTTATCATACGGGACGAAATGCTGTAGGAAAGCATCGTGAATGGCGCGGATGGGGACATGGACGAAGTTATAGGGAAGGGGAGATGGTGTTCTGCTGTCTGATGGTGCGTCTTCCATCTTAATGTCGCCGTCTGTGTCTACCCCTGAGTACTACTCGTTGTAATCGAACACATCATCGCTAGAGAAGGTGCTGCAGCAGTTACAGCTGTTCCGATGTCGTCTTGGCGATCTCGTGTCATTGTTGCGAGCGTGTTCGTAAATATTGCTGGCTGTGGTCGGGAGGGGGCGCTTAGGTCCATCCAGATCCATGGCGTCGGGGTTGCTAGTTGTGCTATCCACGCGTCCAAACAGATCGCCAGGGCCCTGAGGCAATGGCGATCTAGGTGTCATCGATCGACCATCAGGACCGGTAGTTGCGGTGAAATCGGCATCCGGGTATTTTTTGGCTTCTCCGGGGAATTGGAAGAAGAGCCAGGCGCACTCGCCGCAGACGGGTTGCGGAAAACGTCGGTGGGGTTTAACAGTGATACAGTGATAGACGCGATGGATGGAACAGTAGTAGAATGCAGCGCCGGGGCCCGTGTTTTTGTTATGGTTGAGCTTGGATTTCGATCCGTTTGGACGAATGTAGTGACACTCTGGCATAAAACAAGACATTTTTAGCGATGATACCTTTTTTCTTCTTTTTAATTGGGGTTTAATTTCGTATATTGGAGTAACGAATGTGTAATAGTGGAAATTTTGGTATGTTAGTATAGAATAGTTGTGAAAACTGACTGAAAAAGTGAGTTAAGAGTTGGGTGATAGATGGATGAGAAGAATTTGAAGTTGTGAAACGTGAAAAAGCAATTGAACTTCACCAGAATGACACGAAATGAGGAAAGAGCTTCTACTTCAATGGAAATGGCCTGTAGTTCCTGACCTACTAAGTACCAGGTAGGTACTCTATGAAGGACCTAGCAGTAAATCATATTCTACCCAGGGTAGTCGCCATTCGACCGATATGATTAACGTCGAGAAGTCGCAACAGAATACATCATTACTTTCCGAATTAGGCAACCCATGCTCGTTCTGAGTTTCCAGTTAGGTAATATTGAATATTAAATAGCCCTACTAGAAAATTTTGTGCTGGGGGAATCTCGGTTTGCTCCTCCCTCCTATTAGAGTTGTTCATTGGAGGGAGAGTCTTCCGCATGTGACCGGCTCCGCGAGCCCCTGAATAAGCGACCCATTTCTACACACTTCAATGACTAAGTCAAGCTTCGGCAGAATTAGAAAATACATCTTACTTCTCATACCGAGGATAAATAGAATTCTTTTAACATACCACAATGTTAAAATAACCATATTATCAGTCATTTTCTCGGGAACAAGCCCTCTCCGACGTTCCCTGCTAGGTCGAGAAAATCCATCCCTCAGGCCTACACGCGCTACGCCCACAAAGGAAAAGGAGTATCTCTGTCGCATCCTACAGATACCTGAACTAATAAGAATTTGACAACATTTACGTACTTATCAAAAATATTCGCTGGGATATATGTGTGCGTCGCACGGGTGGGAAAAAAACCACGAGGTCAATGGTGTTGGTGATGGAACAGGGATGGAACCAAGGTTGGAAAGCTTGTTCGGTCCCAAACCCGGTCTATTGGAAATCAGGTACCGAGGGGGAACCTTGGAAGCGCCCGCTTGCTGCTGTGTAACGTCGGAACTTCCGATCTCAGAAATCCGAGCCAAGATTGAGAGACCGGAGCCTCATGTAACTTGCATGTACTCTTGGACGGCCTTATTGATGGGTCGTATTACCTCACCATTACCTACTCGGTAGTCGGTCATCCCCGTGGAGGTGTGTGTGTGCGTGTGGCTTGCGGTGGCACTTCCCGACGTCGAGGCCACTCACGCGCATCTCCGTCTTTGGGTAGGTGACAGGTCGACAAAAGCACTGTGTTCACTAAGTGTAATGTAACCCCCTTGAGCCTCACTCAAGCCTCGCAGGGCTGACAGGGACCAGAGAGCGAATAACATTCGAGCAGGGAGAGCCACTCGCGTTTAAGATTGATAATTACCGACGAATCATGTGAGAGGGATTCAAGCCGGTCATACTCCGGTTACTTGACCTGGTTCATCTACAGCCGGTCTGATTCGCTAAAGCTCGTGATTTTTTTATGAGAGTCGGGAGTTAGCGTGCGAATCTGACTCACGATATGAAAGATGGTCGCCGTAATGAATTTCTTGTCTCTTCAACTAGACATAGACACGTGAAAGCTAGACCTTCACGCTTCTGGGTATTGCCGCTTCTACCTGCCCTCGCTGCCTTTTTACCAGCCGATCTCGAATCTATTGCGACGCCCTCCGAGCTCCCACACCCCCCGTACCCCCCGAGAAGTAAAAAGAGAGAGAAAACATATCAAGTTGCATATTCGCGGTCCCCGGACAAGACACCGACTTTTCAAGTCAGTAAGCCAATGACTATGAAATGACGTGTACTCTCAGAGTGTACCACCCCACGACAATTTTCTTTTCGAGACGCTAGGTCTTAGTGAATTCGATAGACTATGCGTTCGACCAGGATGGTGTCATGATCGATGCATGGCGGTAACTTTTTCGAACTTGTAAAGAATGGAATTGAGAAATGATATTGCGGCATTGGCGACAAAACCCAGGACACAGACTCGAACCACGCCTATGAATCCTCAGTCAGCCGGCCACTTTCGAAGACAATCGTTGAATTGGCCAACTTACTCAAAAGAAAAAAAATATCATTTTTTCTAGGCAACGTACGTCCCACAGTATGGACAGTCTCGTCCAGGCAAGACCCAAACCTCTTGGCCCTTCCCCTGACAGGTAGGGCAACGTTTTCCAGGGGCCTTGAGGCAGAATGTTAACAGTACTCTATTCTCGTAGACAGGCAATGGCACATACGGTCCCAGACATATCAACTAGAGGGCAATCGTGCGTAGATTCAGAATGACAAGAGTGAATAAGTTGGGACTCGGAGCTGGAGTCGTGGACACGGGAGCAAGCCATTGTATATTGAAAGTGTGTTTGTGTGTGTGTGGTTGTCTCTGTCTTTGTCTTGGTCTTAAGAAGATGCTGGAATATTCTAGAAAAGAGGGGAAGTCTCTCAAAGGAACGTTGATAATTATACTCAGGAAGGGAGGGCGACGGGGTGAGCGACGAGATAAGCGTGAATAATGATGGATGATGAGGTATGCTCAAGGAGACTCAGAGTCCTACGGCCGTACTTATACTTTTCTGGTGTAATAGGTCAACGCCCGAAACAAGGGCCGAGTAAGGTGTATCGCAGGGGCAGACCAAGAAAAATAGGACAGCTCAAATGACCACGATTGCCGCGTCGAATGCGGCTGGCGTACTTAGTGCCTATGTGGGAGAAAAAAAAAGCGATGGGGTGTCTGATAGTTAGAACCTGTACGTATCCGAAGCAGCACGGAATCATGTTGCGGAATCATGTTGCGGAAGGCTCGCGGCAGAGGGGTGCTCTCTCTCCATTCGTCAGGTAGACGGATTCTAAAGCGATGTAATAATACTATCAGGTCTAATTTTGAGCAATATCCCGGCAAAAAGCACCATTGCGGTGACTGAGCCCAATGCGTCCAGCCATACTTTCGATAGGGGAGAGGTACGGTGATCTGAATTTTCTGACAAGATACAAAGCCATTAAGTGGGGTTTGATATCGAGGGCAGGAAAACGTGGGACACAAGTAGACCAGGACCTTCTTGGCACCCCGAATTGTATCTGTTTCGCCAGTGCGGATATGGCGTCAGAAGACTATTGGGCTGGTGTTAAAAGAGTAGGAAGATCGTGACTGTCAGTAAGTGTATGTTGTATGCGGGTGGTGTATGTATGTTTGAAGGGTGTGTGTGGGCCACTACGCCAGAGAAGTCTGGACATTTCAGGTCAGACAGGGCGAGTTGAAAAAGCAAAAAACAGGGATAATCTGTACCGCCAACTACGGTTGTCATCGACCGGGTTGGCGGGTACTCGGACCCGTCGGGGATTTATTTTATTCTTCTTTTTTTTCAACTTCTTTTTTGTTTTAGGGGGATCGTAAGTGGGGAGATATATATCTGGGTAGGGCAGGTAGAAGGGTAGGGAAGAGAGACAAAAGAGAACAATGAAACAAAAGGGACAAAGGTAGGTAGAACAAGACAAGGGGGGGCATAATTAGGTAAGGTGTTTTAGAAGTTACGGATTATGGGTATTTTACTACTACCTAGTAAGTTGCATGGTAAAGGGTAGGTAAAGTAAGGATGATAAATAATAGGTACTAGGTAGGTATGGTTGATATTGGGACCCCTATACTAGCCGGAGGTATGTATAGCTAGGTATGTATGATATGCATGTACGTGGTACCTTACGCAGTACATTCGGTATGCATGTAGAGGCAAATACATACATTGATATGTATAATATATAGATTGTCAACCTCTAAAATGGGTGAAAATCATCCCAGTATCCGGGGTTGCCAAGTTTGCTTGATCCAAGCGCTCGGAACCCCCCGCGCGTGAAAAAAGACATAAAGTTGCATGATGGTAATGGGACAGATCATTATCGAATTACGGGAGATGGCGACTGGGGAAAAGGAGGAAGGGAATTCAGATATCGAATGGAGGGAGATCTATATGTAATTAAGTATCATAGATTTTCTCCAAAGAGGACCCCCTTTTTAGCGTGCCTGTAACGACCTGTGCGACCATACGCTCCAGTTGAGTCTTTCCCCGAGAAAGCGCCTCCTAACGAACCTCACTAACACTAACAGGAAACAACGAACGCCAACTTTTAAACCTTCACTAATAACTTACCTATTTTTCACTTTTCACTTTTCCCGACCAACTTCAACTTTTCAACATCTTCACACCTTCTAAGTTCGTACCTCGTATAGGTGAGAGTACGTGAGATATTTCTAAATGCCCAACCTTTCGTCACTCGTTTTCCCTCGAGCAGGTTTTTTTTACATCGTTGGGCTCGAGAATGGGAATCGGAAAGCCACCAAAAAAAAAGCTCCTAGAACCTCCAGCGCCGTTGGAACCCTGATTCGATCCCATGCGCGTCACGACGCACGTTTTTTTCTCAACTCCCTGTCTCCCCTTGAATGCAAAACTAGCGTAACATAAGTAAAAAGCAGACGCCGATTCGCCGATGACCCTGTCACTCTTCCCGTACTACCGCTGCAAAATCGACGCGACT